GGTGCTGCAGCGGGACCTGCAGGCTCGGCTGGCGCCCGAGTTCTGGAGCCGGGCCGGCGGGGAGCCGCCATGCTCGCGGCGCCTGCTGGAGGCCTTCGGACTGTTGCGCCGCCGCCTGGAGCCCTACCTGCGCGGCCTGGGCCTGCTGGAGGAGTGGGCGCGGCCGGCGGGGCGCTGCTGCCGGGGCGGCCCGCGCGAGAGAGCCGGGGCCCTGTTGCGCGCCGTCCTCTTCTCCGCGCCTCCCGCCGACTTCCGCGAGGCCGTGCGCCGCTTCTATGGGCGCAGCTTCCGCATCTACATGCGGCAGCGCGGCGGCGGCGGGGTCGAAGAGGAGGCGGCCGGCGCGGGCTGCGGCTGCGGGGAGGAGAGCTGCTGGTGCCCGCTGGCCATGGAGCAGTTCCAGCAGCTGAACGCCATCCTGTGGGTACCGGGCGGGCGCGGGACGCGGGACGCGGGGAGCGGATCGGCGGGACTTTTGACCGGGGTCTTTGTGCCTCCGCAGCCACGAGCTGGACCTGCTGGAGCGGGTGAGCGCCGACGCCGTGACCTACGTGCTGCACGGGATGCTCGAGGAGCGCGTGGAGCGGCGCTGCCGGGGCGAGTACGAGCGCTCCTTCCTCGCGGAGTTCCAGGAGGTAGTAGTAGTAGTAGTAGTAGTAGTAGGGACCTTGGAGGTCATGTAGTCCAACCCCCTGCTCAGGCAGGAAACCCTATACCATTTCGGACAAATGGCTTTCCAGTCTCTTAAAAACTTCCAGTGTTGGAGCATTCACAATTTCTAGAGGCAGGTTGTTCCACTGGTTAATTGTTCTAACTGTCAGTTAATTGTTCTGTCAATGTGGGCTAATGGGTGCCCGGGGAGGGGACGAGGGGCAGCCGATCTCCTTGCCCTCCCTGTTCCACCTCTACTGGCCGGCTGACCCTCCCGTCTGAGGGGGTCGCCCCTTCTTTGCCCTGCCCCAGTGGATCGAGAAGGTGATTGGCTGGCTAGGCGGTGTCTTTCTGCGAGAGAGCGCCGGGGCCCCGCCCAGCCCAGCGGCCAGCAGCAGTCTGAAGCGGTGGCAGCGCCACGTCCAGAGATTCTTCTACCGCCTCTACGCTGGGATGCGTATCGAGGAGCTCTTCGGCATCATCCGCGGTGAGCCCGGCTGGGAGCCCCCCCCCGCACCCCAACCCCACCCGAGCCTGTCCCGAAGCACGGCCACCCTTCTTCACGCTCCCGCGGCTGCCCTGGTGTCTGATGCAGATTTCCCAGAGTCGAAGCCGGCAGTGGAAGACCTGAAGTATTGCCTGGAAAGGACCAACCAGCGGCAGCAGCTCTTGACCTCCCTGAAAAGCGCCTTGGAACTGCGGCTCCTCCATCCCGGTGGGTGGCTTCGCTCTCTCCTGCGGCTCTGAAGGAGCACCAAATCCCCCCCTCCCCCCACGGCCTGTCCTCTCAGCCTCCCTGAGGGATCTGGCATTTAGGTCCCCCCTTCCTCTCTCTTTCAGGGGTGAACACCTCAGACATCATCACCCTTTACATCTCTGCCATCAAAGCTCTGCGGGAGCTGGACTCTTCCATGGTCATCCTGGAAGTGGCCTGTGAGCCCATCCGCAAATACCTGAGGTAAGAGGGGCCGGCTGGCGTTGGCGCCTCCCTGGCTGCCTGGCTTGCTTTGGCCGATGTCGCGTCAGGTGGTGGACCATAACCCACTGTCTCCCCCCCCCCAGGACCAGGGAGGACACCGTGCGGCAGATTGTGGCCGGTCTGACGGGGGATGCGGAGGGGTCAGCTGACCTGGCAAACGAGCTCTCCAAAGCTGACCCGGTGACGCTGGAGAACGGCCAGGAGAGCGAGGACGACGGCTCTGAGCCCGAGGACTGGCTGCCCGATCCAGTGGAGGCCGACCCAGGTGGGCTGGGGCTGCAGTTGGGAGGCCCTTTGGGGAGTGGGCCTGCGGTGCTCCCGGCCTCGGCCCACGCACCCCTTCCTCCTAGCAGGGAAGTCCAGCTCTAAGCGCCGCTCCTCGGACATCATCAGCCTGCTGGTGAGCATCTATGGCAGCAAAGACCTCTTCATCAATGAGTACCGCACGCTGCTGGCTGACCGCTTGCTGCACCAATTCAGTTACAGCGCCGAGAGGTGAGGCCCGAGCGGTCCCGCTGCTGCGCAGAGTCCCCTGAGGCAGGGCCCAAGCCCCAGCCTAGCCAGCAAAGGCAGCCTTGTGGGTCAGGAGGCTGCCCTTCCTCTTGCTGCGGCCGGTGATAGGAAGGATTGCGGGGATCCTCTGGCCGGGCGGGGGAGCTTCCCGGCCACTGCTCTGCGTGAGCTGCCGGTAGAGGGTCTCCTCTGCAGAAGTGCGGGCTGTTTTGTGAGCAGCAGAGGCCTTGGCAACAGTCCTTGCTGCTTCTTGCTTTAGGGAAATCCGAAACGTGGAACTGCTGAAGCTGCGTTTTGGAGAGGCCCAGATGCACTACTGCGAAGTCATGCTAAAAGTAGGTGCTGCCTATAGAGATGTGGCGGGACCACCCTGGTCCCTCCAAATGCTGATTTCACTTGGCTGGAGGGCCCCCCCCAAAAGGCCCCATGGTGGCCTGTCCAGCTGAGCTCGGACATCCCAGTTCCTTCTACCTTTTCCGTGCAGGACATGGCGGACTCTCGACGCATCAATGCAAACATTCGCGATGAGGAGCAGAAGCTGCCTGAGCAGGAAAGGCCCCCCTTCAGCCTTGTGGCCATCATCCTCTCCAGTGAGTTCTGGCCCCCGCTGAAGGAGGAGAAGCTGGAGCTCCCAGGGCAGATCAAGGAGGCCATGGAGGCCTATGCAAAGAAGTACGAAAAGCTGAAGGTAGGAGAGTTCTCTGTCTGCAGGAAGTTCAGCCATGGGCCTCTTCTACAGCTGGTAGCCAGCAACAAAGGAGGCCTTCTGTCCCTCCTCCGGGTTCAGCCTAGCTCTCTTCTAGGATTTGGCTGTTCCTTTTTCCCATCTGCCTCTCCCTTCGCCCAGGACATCCTGTGATGCGATGGCTGGGCCAACAGCCAGGAGCTTCTGGTCCTTCAGCTGAGTAACCATAAGGCTCCCTCATGGCTTCTTCACAGGCCATGAGGACCTTGAACTGGAAGCATCACCTGGGCTTGGTGAACTTGGAGGTGGAGTTGGCGGACCGCACACTCTCCTTGTCCGTGTCGCCAGTGCATGCAGCTGTCATCCTGCACTTCCAGGGCAAAAGTAGGTCTCCTGGCTCCATGAAAGAATGCCTCTAGCTTCTACCCTTCCCCCACAAAGGGATCTCCCAGTCTTCCGGGGAAGGACCTGCAGATATGTCTGCATACATGTGGGGCACATGAGCCAGGCGTGGGGAGGGATGCACATTTGGCGGTGTCAAGATAGAAGGAAGGAAGGTTTCCTATCAGGAGATCCTCCTTGTTCGCCCCAGATGCTCGGAGAACCGGTCTTGGGCCTCCCTATGCAAAATGCTGCCTCTGCCCCACCCTTGTGTCCCTCCTTGGGGACCCTTCCTTAGGCGGCACTGCTACCCTCGAGCTGAGGCCCTAAGCAGGGTGGGTGCCTCCTTTGCAGGCACATGGACCTTGGAGGAGCTGAGTGAAGCTCTGAAGGTGCCAGCCGCCTCCCTGCGGCGCAAGATGACCCTCTGGCTGCAGCAAGGGGTGCTGCGGGAGGAGCCCCCTGGGACCTTCATGGTGATCGAGGAGGAGTTGAAGGACCAGGCCGAGAAGGTGGTGCTGATCGATAGCGATGAGGAGGGGGATTCAGCCATGGCCTCTCAGGCGGACCAGAAGGAGGAGGAGCTGCAGGTGCCGGTCCGGGGAAGGAGGCTTCCCTCCATGGACCAGGGCTAAGGAGGGAAGGCCAGAGGGCAGCCGGGCTCCAGGCACTGGCCTTGAGTGATCCGCCCTTGTCCAGGCACAACAGTGGCCTTCCAGCTCAGGGCTGGCAGGATCTTAGAGGCAGCTGAACGAGAGCCCTGCTTTCTTCTAATCCCTGCCTCGGCATTGTTTCTGTGTCCTTGTGCACCCCTTTGCAGCTCTTTTGGACCTACATCCAGGCGATGCTGACCAACCTGGAGTCTCTCTCCCTGGAGCGCATCCACAGCATGCTGAAGATCTTTGTGATGACGGGCCCCATGGTGACTGAGATCGACATCCAGGAGCTGCAGGTCTTCCTCCAGAAGAAGGTTCGGGACCAGCAGCTCAGCTACTCGGGGGGTGTCTACCGCTTGCCCAAGAGTTGTAACTGAGCTGTCCATTCCAGCACCTGATGGGCTGAGAGATTTGGGCCACCCTCAGACTCTGGCCTGCTGTGCTGCCTTGCCTCGTCTTGGTGCAGGTGGCCGTGTGCGTGTGTGTGTGTGTGCGCGCGCGCGCACAGCGCAAGGGACTGCTAGCAAAACATTTGTTTTGATGGATTTTCTGGTTCATAATAAAGTGGTTTCCCTCTGAGCCATTGGGACTGCGATGTATTTTTTCTCTGTAAATCGGGCTGGCTTCCTCCCTCTTGCAACTCGGTTCCTTGCCAACATTTCCCTCCAGCCCTTCTGCAGAATATCGGGAGAGACGTGGCTGGGGTGGTTGGCTGGACGGTTCTCCCTTTCTTCTAAAGGGCCTTGCCCACACCTATTTCTTGCCAGCGAGTACAGCCTCTTAGCTGACGTGATATCGGAGAGGGGGCAAAGGGACGAAGCTCTGGGGAGCTCCCTTTGCCAAGGGCCGTGGTCTCCCCCTCAGCCTCTCTGGGGAATCCCAGGAGCTGCCAGGTGGCCCTTGGCTCTGGGAAGAAAAAGGACAGTGGCACCGGTTCGCTTGGCCAGGAGGGCTTTGGTTGCTTGTAGACACGAGCATCAGCAAAGCCTTTTTGAAGTCCCCAATGCCTGCCACAAAGCGCCGATTGCAGCTGAGATGGAGAGGGCTGGCTGAGAGGGCTCGGAGGTGTGGATGCGCTTCATGGAGGAGGAAAACAAGACCTGGAAAAGGACGGGAGAACCACCGGCGGGTAAGTGACAGAGGCAGCCAGTCTTTCGGAGGCTTCCTTGGGAGGAGGGGGCCACTGTGGCTGCTGGGCTGGAGAGAGGCCTGCCGGGGCTGCCCATTGGCCGACAAACGTTCTGGGACCTTGTGAGGTCACAGAGGCTCCCTTGGAGTTCCTGCCTGGCTGGAGGCCTGGCGTGTTTTCAGGGCTCCTGGGGATGGTGAGAGGTTGGGCTCAGGGCTCCAGGATGCAACTGGCCTGCCTGTTCATCGTAAGCGTCCTCTCCTTGGCTTCACGTGAGCAATGGGCCCGATCATCCAATGCGGGTTTGGGGCTGGGAAGAAAGCTTGGAGCTAGACAGGCTGCAGAGTGTTAGGGCTCTAAATCTGGGCGCGCTTGTAACCCCCGTAGGCACCAGAACTTGAGGTCATATCTGTAAGCAGTCCACAACTGGAGGGGGAAACAACACACAAAATATAGATTCGGGAGTGGGGAGGAAAGGACCACCATGGGAAGAATGGGCCAAATCTCCTACGTCCAATTTTGCATTTGGAATTCTTCCATTGATTTGCAGTGAGAATGAGCAGGGTAGAGGCCTCAAGAGCTCATCCAACCAATTTTGAGTTCCACCCAGAACATAAAAAGAAAATAGTTGCCTCTCCGAAAGATGCCTGGAAGGAGGAGGAGGAGGAGGAGGACAGAGAAGAAGGATTCCGTGAGCGGATTGTTCGAAGAGCCGTGAGGAAGGTCAGCAGTTGGGGCTTCCCCCTTGGAGTCTCAGGCCCCCAGACGGGCCGGTCACAGTCCCTGTGCTGCGGGGGTGGCAGCACGACTGGGAGAAGAGACCTAACGTGCAAATCCTGCCTCAGCTGGTATGAATCTGTAACCCAGTATTATCCCAACAGTATCCTGAAGATGCTGGAGACCACGTGGAAGCTGGCCATCGGCAAATCTCCATCCCCAGTAAGGGCTTCTCCCTCCTGTCTGTGATTTGGGGGGGGGAGGACATTTGCACCCCTTTCCTCCCCATGGCTCAGGGAATTTGGTGTGGTTTCGCTCCTACGTATGGAGGAACAGGAATATGTCTTTGCTCCACTGAGAACCAAGAAGAGGGCTTGCTCTGAGGACAGTTTCTGTCTCTTGGTGCCTGGTGCCCCCGACCACGGAGAGGGAGCCTGGATAGGTCTGGAAGAGCTTGGGAAGCCGGCTGCCCCTCCTGCCCCTGACTCTGCCTCTCCTTCCCATCCCAGTGGGCCGAGCTGAGGGCAGCTGTCCTGAAGTGCTGGCCAAAGGGACCCTGGCAGTGATTGTGGCCGCCTTGGCCTTCTTGGGCTTCTTTTCCACTTCTGTCCTTCTGGTGGTGGCGGTCTGCGTCTTGCGGATGGTGGAGAAGCAAAGGTGAGTCTTGCAGGCTGGGAGGGCTGTCGGGTCTCCATCCTGCTGCCGCTGCTGACCTGCAGAAGCCTTCTGGGGGCCAGAACCAGCCAGGTCATCCCAGGGCTCTGGAGTCATTGCAAGCCCTGCCCTTTGCCCTCCTCCTGGCTCTGCCTGAGGATCAATCCAGATGGAGATGGTGGAGCAAACTCCGCAGACCCAGGGCAGCTCAGTGCCTCTTGTTTCAATCAACAGTGTTTTTGTGTCTTTTCTCTCTTTGTCTCAAGGAAAACAGGGAAGGACGGGAAAACCAGCTATCCTTCTTCCAGGAGACCTCTCCCTCCTATCCCGTAAGTGAAGCACGCAAGTGGGGGCTATTGCAGACCTCAAAGGGTGTGTGTGTGGTGGGTCTCCTGAGATCTGGATTGTCAAGGTTGAGCAATGAAGTGCCAGAGGTTAGAAGTGTGATCTCCTCTGAAGACTTGGAACATTTTGAAAAAAAATGATCAGCCAGCCAAGGGTTTTGTCTGCTCAATCAGACAAACTTGCCTAAAACTTGCTCCGCTGCTTCAGATGCTGTGGCGTTTTTCTCCCCAGCCCTTAGCGAGGGAGGGAGGGAGGGAATGTGTGTGCCAAAAATGGACGCAGGCCCCTTGCATTCTTGCCCTTCCCTTGCAGACCTCCTCGCCCAGAGCGTACATACATGACCATGAAGCCACATGGCTCTGATCGCCTCTGTCCAGCCACCCCGTGAGTAGCAGCACTGGCATTGGCCTCGTTTTAGGGCCCTTTCTTTATAGCCCAGATACAATCCGTAACTATTCCAGTGTGGATTTTGAGTCTCGGGAGTCTGGGCAGTCTCAAGTGGCTGCTTTAAAGCTACTGGGGAGAATGTTTTGCAGAAACCAAGGAGGCCTGAAAGGGTCTTTATTACCACAATTAATTTTGGACGTGTGGTTTTACATCAGGAGAAATGTATTTAGCTGATTCAGAAAACAGCCAGAGCTCTCGATTGCTCCTCTGTCCTCCATGAGGGATTGGGGCGCTTACTTAATTCATAGGTGGATCAAGGAGGAGGTGGGGGAAGCTGGTCCCTTTCTCTGCTGGAGCACTGAAACCCATTCCTGTCCCCTCAGGCACACCACAGAGGATGCCTACCTGAGTGTCAATGAGCTGAATCCTGGTCCCAGGTGGGTCGGGGAGAGAAGGTGGGAAGGGAGGGTGAGACGGGATGCCCAGGAAAAAGAGCAGCTCTTTGGCAAAGCTGCTTTTATGTTTTTTTTTAGACTGCTCAGGGCAAGGGGGTAGGAATGTTGTTTCACCAGCAGACAAACGTATAGAGAAGGGCTGGCTTGATGTCGTGCTCTCTGACAGTATTCGGGGATCTTGTGGGGCACTAGTGAAGAAAAGACCTTCAGCCTCCTTCAGAACTGTGGCAGAAGGCTCTCTCAATGTGCCCTGGGGCCGATGCCGAGAAGCAAAGCGCCTCTCGGCTTCTCTTCTGCACCGGGAAAAGTGGGACGCTGCAGCCATTTTTGGTCCACAGTCAACCTGGAGGATGGAGGAGTGAGGAGGTTAGGAGTGGATGTTTTCTGGCTCAGGCCAAGCTCTTTTCCCCCAGCCTCAGGTTCCTCGACTTCCTCTTAAAGGGATGGCAGTTGTAGAGTTAGAGTTAACAAATGATCACGAGGGAGCCTTTTCTGCTAACCTGGAAGCACCAGTTGTCACGGGGAAGTCCAGCTCCACAGCCCAACAGCCATTCGTTGTGCTCTTTTCATTTCAGAACCCGTCAGAATCTCCATTACCAGAACCCGGGCGCGTCATCGCCACCCAAGTCAGTAGGAAGGAGGCAGTGTGGGTCTGGGAAAACAGGGTGGGCGGGTGCACGTGTTCCCCACCTGACAACTTCTTCACTTGCCCTGTGCAGAGTGTATCTGCTCTTTAAAAGCCGGGAGCAGATTCCTCACCTCGGCTTAGGATCCTTTTGGCAGATGCCTCTCGAGGTAGCCAAACACTGGAGCAGAGGTCCTGCCGAACCCCAGCCCTTGCAGTCCGCCCCCCTCCCTCCTTGGCTGCTGCAATCATTCCCTTCTGCTTTCAGGACCCCCGTGGAGAGGGAGTACATAATTCCTGAAAAGGTGCAGCCCTTTTCAAGGTAAGTGTAAGTGATCTAGGATGAAATTTTAAATTCTCCAACAAATGAGGTCATGGCTAAGGCACTGCTTGCCTATTTAGGACATCCATCGTTTAAAAAAGGATCACACGAGCTGACCTCGTGTAGAAGAAGAAACTAAAAATTTTTACTGAAAAATGTTCAGTGTTTTCTTCTCTGTCAATGTGCCTGACCTCTTAAGGAAACCTTGCATGTATGTGCACTTGTACTTGTGAGCTACTAGGTAGACTTCCTCTGTGCTCTGCTCCTGGGGAGCCTGTTTGGATCTGGACTGCATAGCTGGAACTGGCAGCTTTAGCCACAGCAATTTAGAGCTCCATGTCCAGTAGCCACCCATCAGCAGGTTTGTTGGTGGGCCGGGAAAGAGGAACAGAAGTGGGAAAATTGTAGCCTGGATTCCCAAAGGCAGCTTGGCTACCACAGACACCTGGGTGCCTGGTTGACTACTCTCATCCAGCAACATCCACCTCTGTTTCAGCCCTCCCTCAGCAAAGAAGTATGTGAATGTGGAAGAGTCGGAGCCTACAGCTGTGTAAGTTTTGTGGGATGAAGGAAGTGTTCCTTCTTTTGACCTCTTCCTCCTGCCCGGGTGAATTGTAGCACAGCCATGTCAACTTGAGGCCAAGCAGAAAAGGGGCTTTGTGCATGAATGTCATCTCTGTGAATCTTTAGCCAATGGTTAAAGAGCAGCTAGAATTTTGGTAACTTTGATCAGAAGAAAGAGGTGGTCCCCTGGTCACCCCCAGCCTCTTTGCAGCTGCTGAGCTGCCTCCCTTGCTGCCCAAGGAAAGGAGACAGGAAGCTCTCGGCTTGCCTATCCCAAATCCTTCGATCAGAGGTTCTGGTTATTTAGCACCTTCCCTAATAGGATGCTCTTTACCTTTTTTTCCTTCCCAGAACGGGAGGCTCTCCAGAGATTGGGATGACACCTCGAGAGTGAGTTAGCACTTCCTGAGACTCTGGGAGATGGGCAGGCTGGGTCAGCTGTTTTGTATGGAAATGCTTTTTCCAAATACGTTCTCCTTGACCTAAAGTGGTAAAACGAAAACTCGGGGTTTCCAGGAGACAGGGCGTTGGAAGGAAGAGGAGAGACTTCTACAAACAATCATGTCTTTAAAAGGCATAGATAAGGAAAAAGCAGCGCCTGTTGGCACCCAAACCTCTGAGCTTCACCTCTGCATTAATGGGATCTGAACTGGGTAGGATTAGTCAAGAAAGAGAACGTGATGGTGTAGTGGACAGCTTGAAGGAAAAGTCAATTGAGCATGCAAATTTCTTGCTTGTAATCATTACAAGTGGAACTGAAGATAGAATTGTCACTATATTAGTGCAAATCTTTGCTGAAAGTATTTTATGCTGTTCTGGTCGCTTAATATACAAAATTATTCTGTCCGCCCACTGATCTTGTTTTGTGTGAAATGTGTCCTAGGATGTGAAAAAACAGGCACCATATCATACTGGCTTTTGTTTCTCCATCTCATTGTTTAACAGACGCGACAATCACATTTACGAAGAAGTGGAATAGGAGACTCACCCCGGAGATGGGCTGATGTGCTGTATGAACTTTTCCTCAGTGTCCTTGGGCTGCGAAGTAGCTCCTCCGGCAGGGACCACGGGGCTACCCTTTGGTCTTCCTATTAAACCGTGCTTTAATTCCTCTTAGTCTGTTGCTTTTGCTGCATGTGCCACAGAACCCGTTTCTTGTGAGAAGCTTGGCCTGTTCTAGAACGTTGCATTCTGCAGCCCTCCAAAGAAAAAGTCTTTTGAAGTTAGCACTATTTTAATGTTAGGATTAAAAAGGAAAAGTAACTTGTTCTTAAAATATAGTGCTTCGCAAGACAGAAAATGCAGCTTTAATAAGTTGAAAACTGAACTACATAACTGATCGATCCTGAAAGGCATAGCGGAGCGCTGATCGCTGGCAGTCTCCAGCTGGTGCTGCCTGGCCCATGCTTTGGCCTCTGCCCAGCTGGCCTTTTCATTGCTGCCTTGGCAGGGGAACGATGGGAGTGCAGTTGGGGAATCCTGGAAGAGGAGCCAGGGGCTAGAGAGGAGGCCTAGCAGGCCTGGGACTTGCTTTCACTGCAACAACTAAGGACAGAAAAACCAGAGTGCTTCAAGGCGTTTGGCGCCTCTTTGCAGCCACGGGTTTCCATTGTGGAGGATGCTGTCCGCGTGCCCTAGGGACGTTGCTAAGGCAACCGAGCCCCGTTCCTAAGGAGCGCCATGTTTACGGCGTCCACCGCAATCGCCACGCCGATAACGCAGAGCGCGGGGAGCTTGCGCTTTTAACGTAGCACTGTTAACGTAGTCGCCGGGTGAACAGGTTCTCGCGCCTACATTTGCGCGGGCGTTTCCCCTACGACCGTTACTAGGAGACGCATCTCTCAGCCGTCAATTGGAGGTCGCGATCAGTCATTCAAATCACCCAATAGAAGAGGTTCCTTCGGATTTTTTTTTTTCCGTTGGTAGGGAGCACAGAGAACCAACGTACGTGAGCAGGAGGAGGAGTTTCGGACGACCGTTGAAACGTTCTAGTAGAAAATTCGAGGGAGAACATTCTCGCGCTAAAAAACGTTCAAGCGCGGGGAGGTTTTCGGTTAAGATTGGCATCTCGAGCGCCCAATCAATAGCGCAATCTAAGTATTTTTGCCCAATCGCCATTGGCGAGGCGGATGACGAGGGAGGTGGAGTGAGGTTGAGACGACGCGCGCGACTACGCAGCGCCGCCCCCTTTCTTGCGCCTCGTATATAAAGGTGTGTCCGTTACCTTGACGCAGCTAGTATTCGTCGTGCCGTCGGCCTTGCTTGTCTCGCTACCCGGAACGGAGAGAAGAGGCCGAGCCCGCCCGCCGGTTTCGTCGCCATGAGGGAGATCGTGCATTTGCAAGCCGGCCAGTGCGGCAACCAGATCGGCGCTAAGGTCGGCCAAGAAGGCGGAGGAGGCCGGGTGGGGCTCGGGAGGCCGCCTGCGCCTTCTTCTCATAGCTCTCCCCGCTTTTCCGCCCTTAGTTTTGGGAAGTGATCTCGGACGAGCATGGCATCGACCCCACCGGCACGTACCATGGCGACAGCGATCTCCAGCTCGAGCGCATCAATGTCTACTACAACGAGGCCACCGGTGGGTCCGCCGAGCGCCGGGCCTCTGGTCACGCGCAGAGTGCCGGGAAGGAGGGGGCCGTCGTGCCGGCCCGGAGCTGGTGGGACGGGACGGTGGGGAGCGGAGCGGAGGGGGGGGGACTTGGGATTCGGGGGCCGGAGCTGAGCTGGCCTCTTTCCTTCGCAGGCGGCAAGTACGTCCCTCGGGCGGTGCTGGTGGATCTAGAGCCGGGCACCATGGACTCGGTGCGCTCGGGCCCCTTCGGGCAGATCTTCCGCCCCGATAACTTCGTCTTCGGTGCGTGATGCCCGGTCGGCCGAGGGCGGCGGTCGACCTGGCCGTGGGCAGAAGCGGCCTCGGTGCTCGTCAGGCGGAGGGTTTCGGGGCGGGGGCGGCAGGTGGCGTGCCCTGCGTGGCATCCAAATGGCGGGGCCAGCGCATCTCATCCTTTGCTCATTAGGATTGGGCGCTGGAGATTAGGGAATCCGGGGGTCGTTGATGATAGCCGCTCACTTAGACGATTGAGTTTTCCTGGGGTGGTGGTGAGAATTGTCTTGAGAGGGGGGGGATTACTGGGGAAGGGCCTTCGGAGGGGGGGTGGCTTGCAGGGACCCCCCCATTTCAGGAGCGTTCCAGACAGGTGAGTTTGTGTTTCAGCCCTAAATGCGCCAAGAGCTGCTCCAGCAGCAGGAGGGCAGCTTCCAGGCATTCCTTGGCAAAGCTCGGGCTCTGAAACGCTGTTGACAAATGACTGTCCTGTGGGGGGGTTGCCTGATGGGTCTTCATTCTCCCACTTGCTCCCCCTCCCTTGCAGGTCAGAGTGGAGCAGGCAACAACTGGGCCAAGGGCCATTACACTGAGGGGGCTGAGCTTGTCGACTCTGTGCTGGATGTTGTAAGGAAAGAAGCTGAAAGCTGTGACTGCCTCCAGGGTTTCCAACTCACACATTCCCTGGGGGGTGGCACCGGTTCTGGCATGGGGACACTCCTGATCAGCAAGATCCGTGAAGAGTATCCAGACAGGATTATGAACACTTTTAGCGTTGTCCCATCCCCCAAAGTGTCAGATACTGTGGTCGAGCCCTATAATGCCACTCTCTCAGTCCACCAGCTGGTGGAGAATACAGATGAGACCTATTGTATCGATAATGAGGCACTATATGACATTTGTTTCCGGACCCTGAAGCTGACCACTCCCACCTATGGTGATCTCAATCACCTGGTGTCAGCCACAATGAGCGGGGTGACCACTTGTCTGCGGTTCCCAGGCCAGCTAAATGCTGACCTGCGCAAGCTGGCGGTCAACATGGTCCCCTTTCCTCGGCTACATTTTTTTATGCCTGGCTTTGCTCCGCTGACCAGCCGTGGGAGCCAGCAGTATCGTGCCCTGACGGTGCCTGAGCTCACCCAACAGATGTTCGATGCCAAGAACATGATGGCAGCCTGCGATCCCCGCCATGGGCGCTACCTCACGGTGGCGGCGGTTTTCCGTGGGCGTATGTCGATGAAGGAAGTGGATGAGCAGATGCTAAATGTCCAGAACAAGAACAGCAGCTACTTTGTGGAGTGGATCCCCAATAATGTGAAGACTGCCGTCTGTGACATCCCTCCCCGTGGCCTTAAGATGTCAGCCACCTTCATTGGCAACAGCACTGCCATCCAGGAGCTCTTCAAGCGCATCTCCGAGCAGTTCACGGCCATGTTCCGTCGCAAGGCCTTCCTGCACTGGTACACTGGGGAGGGCATGGATGAGATGGAGTTCACTGAGGCGGAGAGCAACATGAACGATCTGGTCTCTGAGTACCAGCAGTACCAGGATGCCACCGCTGAGGAAGAGGGTGAGTTTGAAGAGGAAGCAGAGGAAGAAGCAGCTTGAGAGACGGGGGGGGGGGCTGTTACACCTGTGTGTTCTGTTCAAAGGTGTCACAAACTTTATTTGCTCAAGACCTCTGTTTATGTGTGCTGCGTCATCTTTATGTCACTTGTCTGATGCTGTACATTAAAAACATTTTCATCCTGTATGTTGTCTCCGCTGTAATTCATCATAGTAAGCTTGCCGGGTGCTGTTACCAAAAGTTAGGGCATAATTTTCGCGGATAGCTAGGGAGAAAAAGCCCAAGTCAGCAGCTCTGCATGCTCCAACTGGTTCTTTCTGACATGTGGGAACACAGTAGGATTGAGTGCAGTGAAAGACGTCACTGTTCTTTGCAAGCAAAACTTCAGACAGAAGCGATCACAGTCTTTTGAAAGGCTAGAGAGGATCTCACTGGCCCAAAAAATAGGCAAAAAGTGTTGCCCTTGCTCTCCTTGCTTGCCATGTTCCATAACCAGGACTAAGCAGCTGCCGGCCTGAGCCAAATTGCAGCTGCTGTCTGACCTCGGCGTGTTCAGTTCTGTGTAGCCAGAGGCCCTGGGAGCAAATGTGTTGCTTTGAACAGATCTCACCTACCCCGAGGAGCCAATAGGGAGGGGAGAAAACTCTTAGCTTGACAGATCCCGTGACTTACTTGGCACAAATCCGGTGTAAAATGGAACCAGGCCTTTGCTGTTGTAGATCTTTGTGTTGGGCCAATAAGTGTGGGGCAGGCGTTGTCCAAAACTATACATGGGGTTTCTCAGCCTTTCCTGAGGAAGGACCATCAAGTGCGTTAGGTAGGAGAGCCGAAGTCTTGCTCTGAGATCAGCTAAACTTGGTCCTGAAGGACCAGATGCTACAATAGCAACCCCCAACCAGGTGTGTCTGTTGCACAGAGATAGCATTGCAAGATGAAAGGGCTGTTAAGCTGGACCCTGGCTCGGGATTCTTCCCGAGCTAAGAAATTCTTTCTGGGGACCAGTTTATTTGTCTCCAGGCAGCATCGGTGCCCAGGTACTCAAGCTGTTTTAGGGCACGATGGGCTCTGCTCCCTGCTCCAGTATTACCTGGTTTCTATCAAAATTGTTCATGGCATCTTTCACTCCTTTCAGGTAGTTGACTCCCATAATCCAGGTGAAGCATGGGATAAATCCAGCATATCCTGTGAAGGAAGTTCCAGAGAGCTGCTCAGGACCCAAAGTGGTTGCGGCTATAAGCCTTTTTACTCCTTCCAGGCCCGGAACTAGGGTGTGTGTGGGGCTGTGGCTTTTTTAAAACCATTCTTGCCTAGTGAGAATTGGGAAGCAGCTGAAGGTAACGTTGGACACACTTGGCGTGTCTGGAGGGCATCAGGCAGATGCAGGTGTTCCATCCAACACTTCCCACCCTAGATTGGCATGCTGGAGCAAGCTGCTGAATATGGGGTGTGGGTGAGGGGCGCTGGCTGAGCCATCTGGGAAAGATTTGGAGCAGGGAGGGCTGCTTCATTGCTGTTTATTTTCTCAGAAAGCCCTGTGTGTTTCGGTGTGCTTTTTCTGATCTTGTTTCCCTAACCCTGGTTAAAGAAGCAGAGCCTACAGAAGGGAGCACTCTGTGGGGGGAGGAAGACTTGGAGAGCACAAGTCTGTTGTTAAGAGATCCTTCTTATCTCACCATTGCCAACAGTTTACCTGAGATGGCTTTTCGTTGAATGAGGTTGGGCAGATCCAGCCTGGGGGTCCGGTCAAAGCGCCTGACATTCACCGTTTCTGTTGCTAGTGGCAGAGGCACTCCTTCGGTCCTGGTTGGCTGAGAGCCAAAGGAAGAACAAAAAAACAATTGTGTCTGACTTTCTGCAGGAAAAATGCAACTACCTTTCAAAGCAGTAGAAGCCAGTTGGCGTAGCTGTTAAGGCTCCAGGCTAGAAACTGGGAGATTTGAGTTTTAGCACAAAGCCAATTGAGGGACCTTGGGCCAGTAAACTTTCCTTCTTGAGCTCCAAGTACTAAGTTTCTTGGTCTAAACGGCAAACAACAAAAAACCCAGACTCCTTCCCATAGGTGCAAGTGAACATTGTCGGAAGGATTCCTCTTTCTGATCTCATGTTCTGGGTAGATTCCTAGGAAACCGTCTCCCTCTGGGCTTCAGAGGTAACGGGCTAGAGTCTAGACCTAAGACTCCCCATCCCAACACTTACAGAAGCTGTTGCCCCCATCAGGATTAGCCGTCTACCGTTGAGATTGGACATAGATCTTGACTGCTATTTCCACCCTGGCCACAGATGGGAATCGCCCAGGGGTTAGGTGCCTCTTTTCTGTGGTCTGCTCTTTACAGCTGGTCTCTATTCGCGGTCCATTTCTGAGCACCTACCTGATCGGTTCCTGCGTAGCAAGGAGGCCCCCTCCAGCCTTGCCCGCATACCAAGGACATGCCAGCCTTGCAAGGTCCTCGGCGCTCCTCCTGACCACACACCAGGGCAATGTCCGGGTGGCAGAGAAACCTTTCCTCGCCTTTCGGGGAGACCAGCTGTGAGCTGGCTGTGGCTGCAAACTGCCTCCACCCTGGCCCACAAGCCAGCCGGATGCCGGGATGACAGGGGATGACCTTTCTCTGAGCTGCCAGTGGTGCTGGATGGGCCTGTGTCCATGGAGGAAGGTCAGGCAGGGGAAGGACCCTTGGCAAAGGGCGCCGGAAGTCTTGGCCTGGAATAGGAAAGCAACCTCTGTAGGATTCAAATCCTAGAGGGAAAGAGAGGGAGAAAACCAACATCCTAAATTCAACCTTGAAAGGAGCCAGGAAAAAAAAAAACACTTTTCAATCATTCTGGGGCTTCCTACAGAGCCAGCAAAATGGTGGAAGTAGGGATGGGGGGTGGTCCTGGGATGGGAACTAACAGGCCGCCGGGGTAAAGCCCTACCCATGTGCAGAAAGCCCCTTGCGTAATTCCTTAAGAAACCACTTATCCCTGGAGTGCAACTCTGGAGCAGGGCTGGACCCTTTCTCCTACCAGTTTTTTTTTTTTTTTTGTAAGGATTTTTTTGGTGGTAGGATAAAATTTCCCTGAATTTCTATTATTTGCCCAGTTGTGTAGTTCTGTATTACTGAGCTGTGTTATTCAGTACTGCAGTTTAGTCCAGCCGAAGCAGTACAGCCAGCAGGAGTCATCCCAGACACACAAGGAGCCTTCTTGCCCACTGGGGCCACAGCCTTTGACCAGAGCTTGGTGTCCCTCTCCCAGATTTCCTTCAGATGCGCACCTGTGTATCCCGGGATGTACAGCTGGCCCTGATCCATCCTGTCTGCTGCAGGGAGCTTCTGCTGGCTGAAGTCTTCCGTGAACTTGGGTCTCCTCAAAGGTGTGAGAACGGAGCACGGGCTCTTGCGGACCTCAGGGTCGGTCAGCATCCTGGAGGTGGTTCTGCCATAGCTTTGCCCAACATGGTAGCGGACCTGGGGGTAAAAGCCCCCGTATCTTGGGAGGCACAAACAGGTAAAAGGAAATGAATCCACACATTAGCATGCCTGAAAAATGGCATTAATGTAGCATCAGTAAAAGTCGCCTGGCACCAATACTGTTAGAGATCTGCCATGGCAATTGTATTGGTTTAGGAGATCCATGAAGAGAAGAGCCTTCCCTGAAAGAGGGTGGAAAAGGGACTGGGAGAAATTGGGGCGGGGCGGGGGAGGGACAGAAAGCCAACCTAATCCTAAAATCGGAAAGCTTTTGCGAGGGGCTCAGGTGGAGGCGCTTCCCTGGAGACTGGCCTGTAGCTGGCACAGCCTTCCCAAGTTCTGTAGACTCCGGGAAAACAGGCAGCTTCGCCGCCTCCGGGCGTCTGGGGCTCAGCGGTAGACTGCCTCGGTAGGGGGAAGCTCTGCAGAGAGACCGGCATTAAGTCACATGTCTCCGGCGAGAGGGTTCCAGCCGCGGACTCACCCAGGGATGTAGTAGGGATCCTGGGGGAAGAAACTGCACTTCTGGGCGGCTGTCATGGTGGGTCGGCGCTGCTCGGCGGGCTTGGGCGGGCCGGACCCGGCTTGTCCCCCGGGCGACCATTGTGAGGCGGCCCGAGGGGCGGGGGGGGGCGCCTTCTTCGCGGGGCTCCCCAGTCCCACCGCTGGGGCTGATGCGCGGGGCGGCCGCGAGGGGGCAGCCGAGGACCGCCCGCCGGGCCGCAGTCCTGCCTCGCGGGGCCGTCGTCCCGCCGCCCGCCGATCGAAGGTTCCGCCCGGGAGTTGCCGGGGACCGTCTGGGCGGCGCACAGGCGAAGCGCCGCTTCCGGCAGCCTGGCCCAGCGCGGGGCCGCCGCTTCCCTCTGTCGCGCGCTGACTCGGCTTCCCGGAAGGGCGCACGGGAGGCGGCCCGGCGGGCGAGGGTCCAAGCCGGAAAAGCTCGGTTCGCTCCCGCGGCCGGTCCGAGGCCCCGGCGGCCTCCCCAGAGCGGCGCTCCGATCAGTGGGCGGTGGGCGCCGAGTAGGCCGAGAGCTTCCTCCTCTCTCCTGCAACGGCAGCTCCTGCCTCCGGGCGGGGGAGACCCCGTCGGACGGGAAGGCTGGAGGGCCCCGGGGAGCAGGTGGGTGCCTGAGGGAGGCCGGTCCCTCGCCGGGGGGGAGGACTGCCAAGCCCTCCCGCCTCCCGGGAGGAGGCCAGGTCCGGCAGGCCCTCTCCTCAGCTGGGCCTCCCCGCCCCGGGCTGCTCTCCGCTGGCTCCGAAGCGCAGGGTCCGCTGGGCGCCCGTCTCAGCCCCCTGGGGCCCTTTGGCTCCTTTGGGGGAGGGGGCGGGCCGGGGGAGAAGCAAAAGGGGGACCTGGGGGGGCGTTGGCGGCCTGGGGAACCCCCTGCTCGCCCATCCCCTACCTGGGGCTTCTGTCAGCGGGGGGGGGGGAGAAGCCTGGGGTGGCTGTGGGCCTTTTTCTGTGGCAAAGGCTGCTGGCCGCTCTCCTCAGGGGCTCCTGTTGGGCTCCAGGCCCTGGTTCTCCGTGGGGTCCAGTTGGATTCAGTGCGGCACAAAAGTCTGGTGGGGCCTCGGGCCTAGCAGAACCCCGAGACCCCCTCCGCAGCTGCAGCCTGGGAGTGTTTCTGCACCCGAGGTGGCGGGCGTGGGTGCGTGGGTGCGTGCCTGCTTTGTGAGAGCACCACAGGGTGAGGGTGAGTTTTGAGGCAGCCTTGATGTGATTGTGTCTCGTGGTAGACCCGGCTGATGTTTTGGTCATCAGTATGCCAGACAGGATCTTTTTTTCCATCGGTTTCTAATTTGGATGGAGCTGCAGTATCAGATCTTTGGAAATGAAGTAGATCCCTGAAGAGCTCTCTGTGCCAGGAACAGCAGCTGACTGACTCTCCATTGATATGGTTTGGCTTTACTGGACACTTCCATGTGGTTTGTGGATCTTTTCAAAGTCTGCAGCCCCTGAGAAATGTTAAATGGATCACAGATGTCAGCTGCAGGGGCTGCCTGTGCTGTACAGGACCTTAGGAAAAATATCCACATTCCTGGGAATCCTCTGTTGGCAGCGCATCCAGCAGCCCCTGATTTTCAGCTAGCTAAGATGCTAGCAGTGCATCTTAATTTTTTTGTGCTCTGGAGGTTTTTTTAAAAAAATCTTTTAAGTCAAAGGTGAAAAGCAAAATAAAAAAGCAGCACACTCAGCAATTGTCCAGGAAAAACATTTGGCTCTCTTTTCCTGTACAGCTGTTTTTATTCTCAAGAATAAATGCTGCCTCCTAGTGCCTTTCTTCAGCCTTTATCTCACTGGAGAGGCCATGCTTGGCGGATCCTGGTGCCTGTGAAATGCCAGCTCAGAGAAGTTGGCTTCTGAACACCCCTTTGACCTGTGCTTGGTCATGTTCCTTGAGCTGGGCTTGCGTCCCATCTTTCTTTCGTAAGGGGGCCTTGGTCTAGTCGGCATCTCAGCAGTGGCCAGGAAGCAGTCTTTAGGCATCCTGGAGAGGGACCTAGGAGAGGTTGCCCCTCAACTCCTCCTCAGCAGCTTTTCTTCCCAGCATTTGGCAGCGGCTTCCCCAGCAAGCGCAGCCCTCCTCCGCCCTTCAGATCGAATAATTTACTTGGGATGCGGCTACCCCCCCCCCCCCGAGGGTTGGTGGTAGCAGAGATGGCATTTGGTGTCTGTCATCCACTTGTTGCGAGTAACCAAATTCTCTCCTGCTTCCAGGATGAGGGGGCAGCTGTCTTCTTCCATACCCTAGAAGACACCAAGGTGGAAGATTGCCCAAGTCACAGCTCCAGTGGTGAGGCCCAGCTTCTGATGGCTCTTCCTCCTCCTTTTCCTGGCTCCTTGTGCGGAGTCCTTTACCCTCTGGTGGTCCCCCTTTTTAGAAAACAGCCAATATGTAATTTTTGAAATGTGAGGTTGGCCACAGAGACTACCAGGTTATTGTAGAGAGGTATGGATTTTAGGGTATGGGTCTCCTCCTTTAAATGAGTCCCTCTAAAACCACAGAAGGGTTTTAGTCCCCTGCAAGTTGTACCCAGAGGTTTCCAGGAGCCATTGATGCAAGCCCCCGCTGCTTTTTTTGGACTTTGCAAGCTTGCATCTCTGTGCTTTTGTTCATCCCTTCCCTCCTGCATATTTAGAAAGCTGAGTTGTCCGTCAGCAAAAAGTCTTTTTGGCTTTGGGAAAAGGGAGAGGGGGAGTCCACAGAAATACCCAAGGCCCTTTTTTTGGCCTTCTCATTCCAGAGGGAGGGGAGATGGACTGCTAGGTTCCCCCATCTATGTTTAGCATAAAACAAGCTTTAGCAGTGGGCCTTTTGGCAGAAACAATCTAAATTCTCTTTGGGCTATAGCTAGTTTGTGTCGTAAAATAAATTAATCCTGTAGAATGTGTGGTGGTAGGATAGAGATGTCCGGGAGGTGGGGGGGGTACAGTACAGGGAAGATTGCTTGGAGAAGCCAAGTTCAGTAGGAAAACATTTTTAAGTTTTGAAAGCCTTTGGCGAGGGAGCCTGCTGTGAATATTTCCAAAATTTCCCAGAAGACTTCTGAGAAGACTGCAGGCTTCCACCAGATGTAAGCGCTCCAAGGAAACTTTGGGGATTGTCTCCTATGCTCCAGCCCTCCCTCATCTGACCGGTTTGGGGGTCGCCTCTGCCTGTCACCCTTCCCCTGTCTGTCCTTCCTGCAACAGGCTGGCCCCTGTTTAGCTGTTTCCAAGACAAACATTGGCTTTGCATGGGGGGGCGGGGGGAGTGCAGAGCTGCTTCCTCAAATTAAAGGCCTGGAGCCCCAGGCTGTCAGCCTGCCAAGCTGAAGGCCCAGTTCCTCTTCTCCTTTGCAGGCAGAGGCTCCAGCAGACAAGAGGTGCTCTCTGCTGGAGCCCCATTGTTCAGATCTCAGGGTGCCCCCAGTGCTGAGTCATCACGTCTCCCCCTGCACGCTCAGATGGGGGCTTCCTTTCATGCTGTCGTTTACCCCCCCCCTTCTTTGATGCCCAATTTTGAGATGCAGAGACAGCCATGCCTGCAGGGTGAGGTGCTACGCCCCCCTCCCTTTGCATTTTGTCTGTAGGGGAGGAGGACGTCCTGGCTCAGACTGAGCTGCAGCTGCTTGCAAGGGACTATTTGCCCAGTATCTCCCAGGCCACAAAGGCTGGAAACATCAGCTATCCCACCCCAAACTCTGGGGGCCAGACCTGGCACCAACCAGCTTTATCCCGGGAGAGTCAGCCTCCTGGGGCTGCAGGTTGGGAGGGAGGAGAACTGGTAGTTTCAGGGCTGACCTCTCCCTGGGGTGTCTCGCCAGCCAAGCGACCTGAGCCCACACTTCCTGCTCCATCATGTGAGGAAAATGGGACACCAAGGAGGGTTTCCGGGGCGGAGGAGGAAGCAATCGTGGGTCTCTGCAGAGCGGGGCTTCCTGTAAGGGAGGAAGATCAGAGGGCCCAGCCCTGCTTCTTATTGGCCCCGGGTGGAGCATCTGGCCAGGGGAGCTGATTGCAACAAGGACACACACACACCCAGGGAAAAATGTTCTGGATGGGCCATTTAGACGAGCGATGGAAAGGCAGTTTTCTGGTTGGTTTTAGGGGACACCAATGCCCTCAGCAGGGCAGGAGGATTCTCCTCCATCCAGGGCTGTGTGTGCATGGTGGGAGCCCTGGTCCTCGCGGGTGGAGGGAACAAATCCCACTTTACATTTTGTTTCTCTCCTTCCCTGGGTTTTCTCTCCCTTCCTCCAGAACAGGACGCCTTGCTCCGGAAACTTCAGGCTCTCTGGGCACGGAGAGACATGGAAAAGGTGAGTTCAATAAAGCATTGTACAAGAAGTGGCCAAAATTGCTGCAGTATCCTCCCCCCCCCCCGGTAGGGATCTCCACCCTCTCCTCTTTCTGAAGAGGAAGCTGTGTGACCCCCACTCTTGCTCCCAACTGCCCAGGCCCCGAGGACCAGCTGGGAGCTGCTCGGTTAACTGCACAGGTGTTCTCCCTCCCTGAGGGTGGGGGGTTGGCCGTCTCAAAAGCTGGGTGCCCCACGTGGGATTTGTGCCCTGTGGACTGGCAGAGCAGGATCAGCAGAGGTCCTTCTGGGTTTCCCTAGCTCCAGGAAGAAATGCACCTGGGCTTTGCCAGCCTGCGTGACCCGTTGGCGTGGCTCCTGGATGTGCTGGATTTCTGTGGGGTCTGGAGAGGGCCAGGCTTGCTGACCCACATCGTCCGCGAGCTGCAGGGCTGGATAAAGAGCCATGCCAGTGATCAGCCGGTAAGATGACTGCCGGACTCAGCTTGGGCGTAGGCCTCTGCGCCTTGGCCCTGAATGAGGCTCCATGGAAGACTGAGGTACCCTAGGAAGACGCAGAGACCTTGCCCAGCTGCCCCTTGAACGGGCCACAGCGGAGTGGCATCTGGGCTCCTGTTGGGGCTTCTGGGGCCCTGAGTTTCTGCAGAGTCTGCTTATGGCTCGATGACGTTCGTTGCCACTTCCCTCAAAAGTTTCGCATTCCTTGCGGACCTGGGGAGGGAAGAGGGGTCCCCCACTTCTCAGTTTCCCCAATTTTCCTGCCAGAAGGAAGCCTGGTGGTGTCCAGCTGGGCCCTTGCTGGGCTCCTCTTGGCCTGCCTGCCCAAGACACCCAAGAAGCGATCTGTCCCGTGTTCCTGGACATAGACTGCTTCTGGTGCAGGAGGCTCTCTCTCCTCCGGCCTCCCGGATGAGACAGGGCAGCAGGCCTGCTCTTTGGAAAAGGCCCTCGAAGCCTGGATTGCTTTGGGTCTAGGATTCACAGCATCTCTCTCTCTCTGGTGCCCTCAGTCTGGCTTAAAGCTGAAGACGCTGCAGGCCCGTCTCTTTCCCTTGCTCACCCGGTGCAATGTCAGCCTGATGCAGCCCCTGATCAGCATCTATCAGCTCCACACCGTAGACCGCCAGCATTTGCTGTGCTTCCTTAACCAGCTCTGCCAACGGGGGAAGTTCAAAGAGGTGAGGTGCCCTCGCTTTGCCGCTGGGGGGCATTGTTGCTCTCCGTCTGTCTGGGACTGCGATGAAGGGGCCTGGGTGCAGGTGGCAGCAGGCGCAGGAGGGCCGGGGCTTTCGGGGTAACCGTGGCCGGCCCTCTCCTGCCAGGCCCCTTTTGAAAACCAGGCGGGAATCCTGCAGGCAGGCCTCGCCCCTCTGAGTTACCCCCTAGCCGATCCTGCCCGAATCGGCGGCCCAAAGGACACGGAAGGCCCTCTCAGCTTTGAATGGTGGGGTCCCACGGCTTAACGTGCCACGATGGTTCATGTCTGGATGGCGGCTGCCTCAGGGCGGCATGAATGCCGTCCTTTGTCCATTGAGTTATTTTATTCACATTTTTTAAACAGCTCCTAAAGGTAGAAATAAGAAGATATCTGTCCCTTTAAAAGGGAGGGGTTGGGGGGCTGCCTGGAGCAGAGCAGCTCTTCTTCAGAGGGCCGCTCTGGCCCATTCAGAAGCGGTGATGGGGCCGGAAGAACCGGCCTCCCTCCTGGCCACAGAAAGGGGGCAGGCCACGCTGGACGTCCCAGCCGGGGCAAAGTCTCTCCTGCTGGGAGGGGCAAATGCTTCCTTCCCCCAGAGTTTTCAGCATGGCTCTGCCAAGTAATTTGGAGTTGGATCTGCAGGAAATGTTCTTTTCTCCGCAGCCTCATGGGAGGGTGGCAGACGATTGGCAGTTGCCTGTGTGTGTGTGTGTGTGTGTGTGTGTGTGTTTCTGTCTGTGCATTTGTGAAAGGAAGGGGGGGGTTAAATTCAGAATAACACAATCCCCAGGGAGGAGGAAGGAAGGGACTGCGGCACAGGGCCTCTGTTTTGAGAGATAATTTATCCCTGGATAGCCGGGCTCAGAAAGAAGGGAAGGGAGGTGGCTTGGGGGCTTCCAGGTGGGCCCCTCCCTGATCACAAGGGAAAGCAGATGGGCGGCTAGTCAGGCATTTGCAGCAGCCCAGCAGCCCCACACTCCTTACCGGCCGAACTCTCAGCTGCCCTCCCTGGTTCCCACTGGATTCCAGAGAGCAACTGGTCCCAAGGGGATTATAAAAATAACAGCAAGGGAACGGCATGGAGGCGCAGTTAGGTCTGCTCAGTTTTTTTCTTGCCAGCCTCCTCCCTCCCCTCTCACTCCTTCCAAAACTGATCAAAATAGAAGCCTGGGAATGGCTTCTGGTCTCCCCCCCCCTTTGGTCGTCTTCAGCTTTTCAGAGGGGGCAAAGTTAGGTTCGTACTGGGGCCTTGGGATAGCTGTGGAATTGCTCTGCAGTTTAAATGCCATGTGGTGGGGTCGCTTTACGCGCTTCGAAATGAATGGCCAGAGACATCCTGGGCTCCCGAGTGCTTGCTGGGCATCCCTGCAGGCCGAGTGTCTTGGGGCGGGGGAGCTCTGTTTGTAAAGACTGGGTCGAGTGAGGCTCCTAGACCAGGCACACGCCTGAATAGCACTACCAGAGGGGAATAACGTTGGTGGAGTTCTTCCTGCTCTCTGAGCTGGGCTTATTTGCTTGCAGATGTTTCGTTGCCCAAGTGGGTACTACCCCCAGGGTGAGTCACTGGTGCTTACAGATGTTGGTAACTCTTTGGGGCAAAAGTCACTCAGAGGGAGAGGTGCCCCTTCTGAGAGGCGTGTGCACTCGGGGGGGTGGTAGGGCACCCTCTTACTGCGCTGTTCAAGGAATTCCCGGCCCCTGTGTGTGCCTCTCTGTGTGTGTATACTTCCAAAAACCCTTTCTCCTGACCCTTTGCACTGCTTTATTAACTCTCTTTCCCACCTTTCCTTGTTTCCTAGGCTGCTACTTTAAGTATAAAACTGAAACTTCAACCAGACCTGGAATTTGAGAAGGTAAATTCCATGCAAAATGCAGATGTCCTTGCATCGCCTTCCTGCTTCTCCCTGAAATGCTAGCTGTCTATCTGCAGGGACTGAGAACATTCAGGGTGGTTTGGCCTGGTTGGGTGGCTCCTCTGAGGTTTCTTCGTACAGTCTTTTTGATTAAAGAGAGAGTGGGGTGCCAATGCGCCTCCCCCCTCTGTGCCCTAGGTGTGCATTCCGTTGCTGCTTCAGGACAAAATAGAACTCGTCGAAGCTTACGTGGAAGGCAGCCCTGAGCTACAGCAGAGCCTCTTGCGACTCCTGGACTCGTGGTCCATGCCAGGCTTCCAGGCCAAAGACCTGGCAAGGTGAGGGGGCCGCTGGGAGGCCACCCGGGGAGGACTTCTCTCCTGGGGGAGCAGCATTCCCAATCCCACATCAGCTGAGCTCCTGCAGCTGCTAACATTCCCGAAATTCTCTCTGCAGAATGAGTAAATGTTATTTCTTCCTCATTGCTTTTATTCTTACTTTACTGTTACTTATAATTCATGTGGGGGGAGCCCCGCTTGAGCACCAGATTCCCACCTGCTGAATACTGAAAAGGTCCCCACATAAATGTGCTTCAGATCCTTGCTGCCATGTGAATTCGGTTTCAAAAGAGTGCCCGAATATGTCTACTGAGCTCCTGATGAATCAGAGCACGTTTGTGTGTGTGCATGCGCTTGTATGCACAGGGGGGGTGGGGGTATCCTTGGTTAAGTGGCTGGGAGGAATTCTGCCCTTACTCCCTCCCCAGGACCAGGGACACCTGGCGGGAGGCCCAGTGATCTTGCCGGCTGGACTGACTCCCTCCGTCTGTTTGGCTCCCTTTCAGACAGTATCAAGCCCTGCCTGGCAAGTGGCCGGAGAAGATCAACTGCAGGACGATGCATAAAGTGGCCTTCCGGTTGCTGGACAGATATAGCCTGGGCCCAGGTGGGCACATCTGGCATGTTCCATGGGAGGGAAGCCTTCATCCTGGGGACGGTTGGGAGCTGGACGAGAGAGAGAGAGAGAGAGAGAGAGAGAGAGAACTGGGTCCCGCAGTCTGAAGGGAGCAGAGAGAACAGTTTCTGCCCAGAGAGAATGCATGGCCCAACCCTGCACCCTTTTCAGGACTGAGAAACAAATGGTATTTTTCATTTGCTGGACCGATGGCCAGCCACGTATGCACTCCCTCCTGCAAATGCACTTTCAAGTATATCTTTTTTAAAAATGGAGGCTACAAATTGACTTCTGAAAAAAGCTTCAGCCTTTCAAGATTGCCAGGTCTGGTATTACCACCCGCGTTCCATTTGCTCTTCATTTTTACCATATTCACTCCGAGTGCTTCTTTAAATGCACCCACTTCAAGCTTAAGCAAGATTTTTCTTACTGCTGAGCTGAGAGCTGAATTCAAGGCCGGTGGTGGTTCAGATTTGCCCCCTCCCCCCACAATTGGCCGGGCCTTGGCCAGGCTCGCAAAGCTTGCTGAGGATGGAGGGTGCCCTGCCTGCCTGCCTGCCTGCCTGGAGTTTGCAAGCACCGCGTGTGCCTGAAGGGCCGACTCTGAGCAGCCTGGCAAGTGGCTGTGGGTCTCCCTGTGAGGTGAGCTGCTGCCAACAGCAGAGGGCAGGCGGGAGCTGCCCTGGAAGGCGGGTCTCTTTTGCATCCGCCTGGGTGAAGTGCCTGCACTCTCTGCCCCTCTCTGCTGCTGGTTTGTTGCTTGGAATCACACAGACACATGCTTCCATATTTCCAAGGGGGAGTTGACTAGCACAGCCTTCCCGGTGTTGGTCCCTCCGGATCTCTTGGGACTACAGCATCCTGCATCCTCGGCTTCAGAGCCTTAAAGAGTTCAGCACATGGCAGGGGTGAAGGACCTGGGCAGGTGGCGGAATGAGTCCTGCAGAACTGTACTTGGTCCCTTTCTCTACTTTCACTGACCCATCCTTTCTGTCTCTCCCTTCCTCCTCTCCCCCCCCCCAATAGAGCTTTGTCCCCATATTCTCAACCAGCGACACCTGGGTACTTTGAAATACTTACTCCACAAGAGATTTGTTGAGGTATGTAGTGGGAAGGGGGAGGGTGTTAAAAGGCCATGGAGGTTCCAGTGTCTTCACAGCATTGTTTTGCAATGTCTCTTGCAGAAATCCATGACGCAAGAAAACTGGGCAGATCACATCCAGGTCAGTGTGATTTTCCTCCCAGCCAGGCAGGTCTCTGTGTCCATGAGACCATCATGTGGCTGGCTTGGTTTGGGTTCAGGCCGGATGCCAAGCGGTTATTGTGGTTTGCCAGGTAGAGCTGGTGTGTCTTCCTCTACAGGGGACAGTTGGAACAAACTGTGGCTCATTGCAGGGGGTGAATCTGTCTCGGCCCTCCTGTGCTGAAGCAGATGAAACTCCTGCGTTCCAATCATCAAAAGCATGAGCCACACGTTCACTTTTTTGTGAAAAGTCCACCGGAGGCTTCCGGTCTGCAATAAATGCAGATGATGCTTTTTCTCTAATCAGAGAAGTTAATTTATCCATTCCAGCAAGTTCTGTCAACCCTACCCACCGTTCCTCCACAGTAGGTAGTGTCACCGCTTTTCCCCTCTGGGCACGCAGTAATCTCACTGGTGTGGGTTTCTTTTTTGTGGTCGGGGTCCTCTGCGTTAGACCCAGTTACATTGTCCTATGGTGTGATTATTCCAAAGTAGCCATGTGAGCGTAGACCTAAAGAGGTTACCTTGGAGGGGAACGGGAACGGGAAGCACGGGAGGGATGCTGCTCTCTGTGGAAGGTGGGAATTATGGATTGAGGGGAATCCGGTTGCATTGCCAGGCGGTGAATGTCTGCATGCATTCAGCCCACCCTCTCAAGCATCCGATCTCCACGACAGAAAGCGCTGGGGGGGGGTTTTCAGTACGGCCTTGAGAGCGATCCGAAAGAGGGAGGAAATGCCTCTGAGGAGCCTTCCATTGGTCAAACTTATTCTGTGCTGCTTTGGCCTGCAGCCAGGTGGACGCCTCAGATAAGGCTAAGGCTCTGTAGCCAAGAGCCGTCCACCGCAAAACGGGATTTGGAGAATGCAAGAGCCGAGCCTTCAGCTTATTTGTAACGCCAGGGGGATGGAGCTGGACTTGGAGGCATCTGCTCCCCCCCCCCCACTCAGCCCCAGCCCCAAAAGCACACCCAGCCACTGAGGCAGCTCAGCAGCAGGAGGGAGGGGGCTGTGCTGGGTCTTCCGCCTTGCTTCTGTTAACGAGGGGACTGTCAACTAATCCTCTTCCTCGGCCTAAAAGGAGCAGAGCGGGGCAGGTTGCCCAGAGCCCCGACTGCAGACCCCAACTGGTGGGGGGAATTCCCCCCCCCCAGAGTGCGGATGGGCCAGGAATCCAAGCTGCCCAGGCACCTTCCTGTTGCTGCCTCTGCTCCTGCCTCCCTCCCAGGGCGGGTGCAGATGCAGCCTCCTGCCACTGGGCGCAATGGGAGGGCGGAGCTGCCAGGTCTCATTCCTGAGATACCTCCAGACACCTGAAGGGGTGGCGCTCCTGTGGGAGCGGGAACAAATGACTCAGTGGCCCCAGGTGAAGAAAAGAGCTGCCAGGGGGCTGTGGACTGCCCCCCCCCAGCCCTAGAGGGCAAGAGGGACTGGGACAGAGCCAAAGGGAAGGAGAAGGCTCTTTGCCCAGAGAGAAGTGACGCTTTGCAGAGAAAGGCCGGAAAAGAGCCGGCTGGGCCAGGGGGACGAGCCCTGGGTGGAAGGCAAAGTGAAACTGTTGTGCCTGCCTGGGGGTGGGGGTGGGGGGTGGGAGGCGGACTGGAGGTCCCTTCAGGCAGGCTTCTGGCCCCAATGGGACTGCGGCCTTCCCATATCCTCCTCCTCCTCCTCCTCCTCCTCCTCCTCCTCCTCCTCCTCCTCGTGCTTGGCATCTCGTGGGCGGCGGCCTTCTGTTTCCACCTTTTAAGCCCTCCAAGTAATTCCTGTGCATTAGCCACATCCTCCTCCTGGGCTTCCCTCCTTGGAGGGGGGTGTCCTCCCCCCCCCTTCATCTTCGCCAGAGGCCGTGGAGGCCATTTGGCTTGTTGGCTTGGAGCCAGCGCTCCCCCCCATGCTGCCCCCCCCAGCTGGCTCCTCTCCTGTTCCTCCTTCCCAGGTTGCACAAGGCCTGCTGCCTCAGCAGCTCCACAGGGAACAGGCCAGGTTCCCACACGTTACCTGTAGCTGGAGAGAGGAATGTGGCCCAGCCGGTGTTTTGCCTCCGGTGCCGAACCCATAAAACAAAACTGGAATGGTGGGAAAGGCAGATGCAGGGCTCCAATTTCAGACTTGCCTGCTTGTTGAAAATCCCACACAGAAAGGCGGAAGGAGAGGAGATGCCCTCCGTCCAGGGAGGACGAGCAGGAGAAGAACAACGAATGTTCCTGGGCTACTCTTCCTCCTAAAGAAGTGGGGAGTGCTGGCTGGGGCCAGGGGGTGGTGGGTGGAGGCTTCAGGAAAATGGTGACATATTTTAAAACAATAAATACTAAACAAAAAATAATAAATACTAAAACAGCTTTCCGTAAAAGCATAAATCAAAATGTGTGGCAAACAGGTCTAAAAGCGGTGGAGAAGGTCCTGGCCTTCCCTTTCCCTCGTGGCTGGGTTGGGCGTCCCCCCCCCACAAATGCCTGTCTACCACCCAGGGAGGGAAGTCTTGGCCTTTGCCTTCCCTGACCCAGGGCAGCTCTGGGTCTCGCCTGCATACCTGGGAGATTTGACTCCCAAAGGCTCCGTGGGCTGCACCGCCTGAGGCCGGTGGGACAGGGCTGCCTCCCAGCCCCCGGGCATCCCCCTCTCCTCTCTCTGCTTTCCAGGGCATCGTCCAGGACAACCGGTGGCTGCAAGAGCAGCTGGTGCAACTCCTGGCCCGTTATGCTGGCCTGCGGGTAGCTGCCCAGTGGGCCCGGCACTACAGCCTCCTCAGGGACAGTTTGCCGCCTGGCCTGGCAGACAGGATGGAGGAGCCGGCCGGCCTGGAGAGGTAGGGAGACAGCAAGCGGGGGGGGGAGGGGGGCTGTCCTTGCATGGCAGAATCAGCTACAGGCTCCCTGGATGCCAGGCTAGGAAATCAAAAATGAAGATCTGCCAGAAACGTGTCTTGGAAAGGGACAAAATCGCTGAGTCTGCCTCATTCCTCCACTCTTCCAGCCCCTTGGAGAGGGACCCTCTGGGTGGGGGGTGGGGGGGGTGAGGGGTTCTTAGCTTCCGTGTCTCCCAGACCTAGAACAAGAGGGGAGCCGAGGAAGTCCCAACTAGGTCTGAGGCATCCCAAGACGTTTCTTCTGCAGGAAAGGGGGCAAAATGGCAAAGAGTGACACTTGGAGCATAACACTCCGTCTTCAGATGGGGGCACCAAGTTGCCAAGAAGCCGACTTGCAAGGAAAAATCTAGCCTGCTAATTTTCTGCTTACAGGGTTTTTTTTTTCAAAACGGCAAGCCTTTTCAGAAATAGCTTCTTGACATGCACTTGGAAGGAGGATGCTGTGTTCCGCCGCCTCCTTAGACCGAAGGGAAACAATCTTTGGTGCCCCCACCTGCAAGGCCAAGGTGCCTCCTGGGCTGCCTCTTAATGCTGCTTGTGGCTGCACACAATTTCTCCCACCATTTTCGCTCTGGGACCTGTTTATGAGTGGAGGGAATGTCTTCCTTCTGTTTTTTTAAAAGAAGCCCCTCCTCCTGCCCCCCCCCCAGGGACGATGCTTCAGAACAGACCCCTTGGGACACCACAAAGGACGGCTGCTATCAGCTCCCCGTGCCAAGGGGAGACATCCTTGTCTTATCAACCTGGGAAGAGGTGATGGCGTGCCAGCAACAGGTGCTCCAGGTGAGGACTTCCCTTCTCTGGGGCTTTTTTCCTGGCTTAAAAGATCCCCTGGGTGTTTCCCTAGTTTCACCAAGTCACTTAATCGGGGCTGGTGGCCAAGGATGCCCTTTCTTGACGTGCCCAAGCGGGGAGACCCCCTCCCCAACCTTTGGGAAGGGCTGACCATGCCAGCCATGCTTTTCAAGAACTCTGGGGGGCCCCTGTGGCCCTTCCGTCCACAGGCCCCACAGAGGGGGGAAAATGTGCTTCTGGTGTTGCAGCTTGGCGTGGGTCTCAACAACCGGCTGACTGAACGTCACCTAGGGAGGAAGGAATAAAAATGGCTGTAGATAGGGAGACCCAACCGTGGCAATTTGAAGACTTATAGACCTCAACTCCCACGTAGCTAAGAAAGGTGGTTGTTAAAGGAATCGTGCTGGATTTTAAATCATGTGGCCACAATTGAGCCACCTGTAAAAGGAGAACTGCCCTTACCTCTACGAAGAGCCTCCCCCGGGGTTCCAGAGGAACAGCCAGGTTGTCGAGGAAGCTGTCCAGATGCACAAATGTCACCCCGCAGAGCTGGCGCCAGTCGTGCCAATAAACGGAGACCTCCAGCTCCCGAGACTGCAGGGTGAAGGGAAGAGAGATCAGCATTGCTCGGAAAAGGATCCGTTCTCCGACATCCTGATTGCAGCACCGGTTTCTCAACAGGGCGCCAGACATGCGCGCTGCAGTGACGGTGGCCGTGGACTACCCCCTGGGGGTTGGCCGGGGACATTGGTTGCTAGTCCTCAGAACTGCAGGGTGTTGTTGAGCCTGCCTCCCTGGTCAGGGACAAATTCACCCCATCCTCAACTTGCAACCACAGCCGCCTTAACACTTAACGTGTGACTTAACAATGGTCTTGCTTAGCAGTGGAAATGTTGTCACTCGTAAGTCAAGGACGACTCATATAGAAACTCTATGTTTGCTCCAAAGTGGATTGCGGTTTCTTCCTATCTAAGTGAGGATGCACACTTACTTGCTCCAAGTCAACAGCGAAAGTCTGGTTCCACGCTTGCCGACCAACCGGCCCCCAGTTTGTCTGACCCACAACTTTGTTGTCGACCTTGAGAACAGCAAAGACATCTCCTGCCAACAGAAGAAAAAAGAAGGGGTGACGTTGGATCTTTGGGGGTCTCCTTGGGAAGAGACTGTGCCAAGCCCCCTAACAGTAAAAACAGTCATACATGCAGTCCCGTACCGTACAGTCCCGTACCTACAGTAGCATACAGTACCGTACAGAACCACGTACCGTACATACAGTGACATACGTATAGTGCTGTACAGTACCGTATGTACACTACCGTACAGTGCCGTACGTACACTACCGTACATGCAGTATCATACAGTGCTGTATGTACAGAACTGTACCGTACAGTCCTGTATGCACAGTACCGTACAGACCCACGTACCGTACATGCAGTGCTGTATGTACAGTCCCATGCCATACAGTACTCCTACCACCACCACCACCACCACCACATCTCTGGGGCAGTGTCCAGGGCTCGCGAGATAACCCGCCCACTGTTCCTCGTCCACAGCCTGGCCAGGTCGTTGGCATCGACATGGAATGGCGCCCCTCGTTCAGCACCATTGGAGGGAAGCCGCGGGTCTCCATTGTTCAGCTGGCGATTTGGGGCCACGTCTTCCTCTTGGACATAATGCAGCTGCTCCAACAGGGGGAACAGGGGGCGCCGGCTGCCCTCTGTGGCTTCTTCCAGACTCTTCTGGCCGACCCAGCCATCGTGAAGCTAGGCAAGTGGCGTCTTGTGCACAGGGTCCCTCCCCGAGGGCCCCTTCAGGTGGCCAGCGCTGTTTCAGCCGGAGTTAGGCTGCCTCCGCTTTCTGATTGGACTGGCCTTTCCTTTGGGCTCTGCGGCAGCCAAATTCAGAGGCAAACCCGAGCCGGGCTTTGTGTTTCTCTGCAGGCTACGGGATGTCAGGAGACCTGCGTAACCTCATGGCAACCTGTAGCATTTCCAGAGATGTGGACCTGCAACTCTGTGGAATTCTGGACCTCCATCTGATACATCAAAAGGTCAGGAGAGAAAGTGGAATTTCTGGCCCATGGAGAAAAAGTCTGCTTTGTCCCACAAGGAAAGAAACCCCTCCCCCCCACACCCCAGTGCTGAGTGCATCGGGCTCTCTCTGTGCCCACCCTGGGGCACATCAGGGCAATCCTGAGCTTTTCAGAAATGCTATACAGGCTCTATGGCCTGATCTTCTTTGGGAAACCCCTCCCCTCCATTTTTCAGCCTCTCCAAACCTGGAAATGCAGCTTCCCAAGATTTGGCCCAAATCCAGGGTTAGGGAGGCACCCAGACGCTGCCTCCACCTCACCTTCCTTCCTTCCTTCCTTCCTTCCTTCCTTCCTCCCTCCCTCCCTCCCTCCCCCCCCTCCCTCTCCAGTTGCCCAAGTGCTCCAAGAAGAGCTGCCAGCCACCACTGGACCCCTGGCAGGCGAAGAACAAGGCCTGGCGGAGCAGGCCACCCGAGAAGGGGCTCAGCCTGCTAGTGCAGGAGGTCCTGGGCAGGCCCCTCAACAAGACAGAGCAGCTGTCTAACTGGGAGAAGAGGCCCCTTCGGGAGACGCAAATCCTTTACGCAGGTCTGGCTTCCTTACCCCCTTTTGAGCTGAGCAACCAGACCAAGAGGGCACCTTAGTGGGGTGCAGGGACAAGAACCTGTTTCTGCCTCAGCTTCTCTGCCCCACGAGTTGACGCTGCCCTACCTCGCAGGGCTGTCGTGAGGTTTAAAGAGAAGAGAGACGGAAGGCTAAGCCTGACTTGATAGCAGCCCTGACCGTGGTGCCTTTCTGCAGCCTCTGATGCCTACTGCTTGCTGGAGGTGTATGCAAAGTTCTTGAAGGACCCGGCTGCCTTCGGCCTGAGCTCCGATGTGCTGGTGGTGGGGATGAGGAAGGCGGGAGAGAGCCCCAAGGCGAAAGCAAGGAAGCCGCCCAGGAAGCAGGAGGTGGGTAAGACTGAATCCAGAAAAGGGAGGCCTCCGCTGGGTAAGTCGCCCCCCGAGCTCCGTGCTGGTGAATCTGTGGGCCGACCCTGGGCTTGTCCCTTGACCAGCAATGTTTGGGGCTCTCTTCCTCCTGTGGGGTTCTTGCGTCACGGAGACCCGACGTGGCAAAGGGGATCAGCACCAAGTCTCCCCTTTGGCGAAATGGGGCTAGACCCCGGATGGGCCCATCTCCCCCTGCAGAGGCCAGCATCTGTCCTGGAAGAGGCCCCCAGAGCTTCAGTTGGCATCCTGGTGCAAGACTTCCGCGTGGTCTGCGACAACATGCTGCAGGGCCTGGGGCGATCCCTGCGCTGCCTCGGGGTGGACGTCCGGATCCTGGGGAACAATGATGAGCACCGGAGGGCAGCCGAGGTTGGTGGCCGTTGGGCCAAGAGGGAAAACGGGCCCAGCCTTCTGTCTCTGGCCTCGGATGGGTGTGGCTCCTCCTCAGGCAGGCGGCGTTGGCCCTACCTTGAGGCTGGCAGGGCAATCCGGGCTCCGGGCTCAATCCAGCCGTCCAAGGGAGGGCAGAGGCCCTGGGGCTGAGCGCAGAGATGAGCTTGGTTCAGACCTGGCCCCTCAGCCATTCCATCCCCTTCTCCTTCCCGGAAGGAGGTCCTGTTTCTCTGGAGACCGGGCGGTTGGCTTCCTAGTGCTGCCCCAAGGCCGGGGTCTTTGAGCCAGTCAAAGAGTTGCCGCGCTTGTGGTCTCACGTAGAGGAAGGGGCAGAGAGCACTGCTCCCCCAGAAGTGAAGGGTTGCCCAAAGTAAGTCTGGCTTTTGTTGATTCCTTTCCAGATTGCCAGGGAAGAGAATCGAGTGATTTTAACCTCTGGCTTTCCATTTCATTCGGTGAGTGTGCAGAGGGGCGAGAGGACGGTGGGTTCCTGAGCTCCTCCGTCCCCCAGTAACTCCTGGAAAACACCCTCCCCCCCCCCGGTCTCTGCGGTGGAAGGTCACCGTAGACTTCTCTCCTGTGGCTCCAGGATTTTCACGGTGTGGAAGCTGGAGATTGTCCCTTCCTGTTTTGTGATCAGGCTGGAATTCCAGCCAGGAGCTTCCAGGCCGCCCTGCAATTTCTCTCCTTCACCAGCTCTTCTCTCTCGGTCGCAGTGGGATCTCCAGGAACCCTTCTTGCCAACCAGACCCTCCCTTGCTTTTCCACAGCTGCGGTCCCAAGTAGGCGAAGGTCAGTGTTTCTCGGTCAGCTGCTTGGAGAAGGCCAGGGACCAAGCCCTGCAGGTCCTGAAGCACTTCAACGTCCGGGTGGCCCTGGCTGATCTTTTCAGCCGCTGCCAGGTAAGATGGCCAGAGCCTCCCTGCCCTCTCCCTCCGGCACGCCCTTTCCCAGGTCTTTGGGCTTCTTGCAGCTTTTTCTGTTCTCCTCCTCCTCCTCCTCCTCCTCCTCCTCCTCCTCCTCCTCGTGCTTGTGGGAGGGAGGCTGAGTACTGAGCAGACGGGCAAGAGCCGTTCTGCTGGGAGAGCAGGTGGCCATCTGAAGAAGGCGAGGTGGAAGGGAGCAGTCCCTAGGATCTGCTGGGAGGAGGGCAGTTCAGCCCCACAGAAAAGGAACGGCTTAGGGAGCACCTGTGGGGGGGCCCACATTTTGCTTGCAAAGCCGTTTCCTCTTCCTGGCAAGGAGGGGATTCCAGGAGCACCTTTCTCAGACTTGTTTGGCCTGTGGAGGAAATGGACTGCCACCTCCCTGGCCCTTCCCCCTTCCGGTCTCTTTCCTCTGTTTCTTCCTCGTGGCTTGGAGGGGAGGGGAACGTTCGCTCTGGGGGCAGGGCAGGGGGTCTGCGGGGCCCGTGTGAGTCCTTCTGTGTGGCTGCGAATGGGCCTCAGGCTCGGTGCTCCTTAGTTGCGCCTGTCCCCTTGTGGGATCCTGTACTGTACAAATGCCTCATTTCCATCCTGTTTTTCCGCCAGGGGGATCAAAGCAGGGGGGGGCCTTCTGCCCTTCTTATGTGCAGCGGTCCTAAAGCATCTCTGCCACCGGTGGGCTGGGGCGGGAGGGAGCTTGCGGAGGGACTGGGGAGGCCGTCTCCTGCAGAATGTAGGCAAGAGCCGGCACCTTGTTTCCCGGCAAGACCGTCCGTCTTGGATGTGGGGTGTGGTGGGAATGGGGGCACTTGAGGACTTCTTCAGCCCCAGAGAGCAGCTCTGGAGTGGAGCCGTGCCCCGTGTGGGAGACGAGGGGCTTGCTCAGGCGGGCTCCTTTCCAAAGCAGCCTTTCTGCTGCGTTTCCCCTCTGCATTCCACGCAGAAGCCTCCTGAACGAAGAGGGAGAAAGAGCGGGGGGGGGGTACAGTTGGACCCTGGCCGGGATCTCATCAGCGGTAGCTGCCTTGCGGAGCGCTGCTGCCTGGTTCCCACAGACGGTCTGTTTTCCTGCCAAGATCTCAGTATCTTCAGAAATCTAGCGGAGCATGAAGGTCACCACTAGGGAAGAAGGACACCCCCCACCCTGCCTTCTGCTTTTCCCTAACAAGCTCTGGGCTGCCCCCCTCGGAGCCCCAAAGGCTTGAGCGAGGGGGGCAGGCCCAAATACAGTACACGCCTCTCCTCGTCTTGCTCAGAATTGCCTCCCTGGGCAGTGGAGGAGTTTGGCTTCCATCTGGCCTGCTTGCTTCTTACCTTACCTGAGGCCGTCCAAAGATGGCTGGGGAGTCAAAAGCCCAGGTGGGGAAGGCTCCCCTTTGGGACGGAGCCCTGCGGGTTAAAAGGAGCCAGAGCGATCGGAGCGGGCGTTCTTCTCTCCGGATGGCCTCCCGGGCCTTTTCTGCCCAGCCTCCCATCTTTCTTGGAGGATGCAGTTGCCGAGAAGGAAGGAAGGTGGCTCCTTCCTTCCATCCCTGGGAACACGGCAGGATCTTCCCTGCCATGGATCCCTCCCCTCCCCCAGTGGGAAAGGGCCCCACAGAGTTCCCAGGCTGGGAAGGGCGGCTGGCAGGTTCTCCTCCGCTCCCCCCCTCCTGGTTATCTGAGGTCGTGGACTCCAGTGCTTGCTTGCGGATTCGAACAAGGGCTTGCTTGAATAGGAAGGCCTTTTCTTTCCCTGGAGGAGAATGGCCGGGGCCTTGCGGAGAGGGAGCGGGTGCCCTTTCCAGGCACCCCTTCTCTGGGGATGGTTCAGTGAGCGCCAGTGGGGCTGGGGGCTCGAATCTCAGCGGGTCCGTCTGCCCTGAGAGGTGGCACCCAGGCAGCTTCGTGGCTTCCGCAGCTTGCTGGCCCCTCGTGCCCGGTGGGGCAGACTTGCCGTGCAGCCATTCCCTTTCGCAGGGGTGTTTTTGAAAGGGGTCTCCCCAATTGTGGGGTTTCCTTCCCAGCAGCAAGATCTGCACGGCAGCCCCTGGCGCTGTCCTCCCTCCGGGAGATTTGCGGGGGCCTCGGGGCAGAGAGAACCGGGGAAGCCCACCCAGGAGGCCCTGGCCCCTCTTCCGCGCTCTCCCTGTGGGACAGAGAGTGGAGGTTGGCAGGGGCGGGCCAGGCGGCCCTTGTGCAGATGTCATTGGCAGCTGTTTTAATATGCTGCTGCTGCTGACCTGCCGTCCCCGGGCAGATCTTCGGGTGCTGGTTACCTTCGCACGAGCCCTGCTGGCCTTCAAAGGCAGGCAGCGGAGGGGGGCCTCCTTCCCTGCCCAGTGGGCCAGCCAGAGCCTCTTCATATTTCCCCCAGATTCCTTGCAATCCTTATTTTTCACAGTCTGGGCTTCCCTTCTCTCGCCAGTTTCCCAGGAGGGCTGTTGGAGGGCGAGGATTTCTCACGATAGCAGAGCGGCCAGAGCCTGCCGTGCCCTCGGGCCCCACAGTGGGGCTGTCGGCACTCAACTGCTCAGATAGCGGGGGGGGGCAACCTCCCCAAACCGGCTTGCTGAGGCAAAGGTGCCTTTTCTGCCAGCGGCGAGGGAGGCGGCTCCTGCTGGCCCTGCGGTAGGCTCCCTGTTTAGAGCCCGCAGGGAGGAGGGCCTCGGCTGGGGGTGGCGAGTCAGGCACTGAGTCGCAGGCAGTGGGGTCGGGGGAGTCAGGAGCTGCCGTGCACCAACTCAGCCCTCTGGCTCACCTCAAAGGAGTACTGGGGAAGTGGGCTGAGTGGCCCTTCTGTGCCCCTTCTGGGGACCATGATACTGAGCGCTGTCTTCCCGGAATGGATCATGTGCTGAGTTTCCAGGGCCCGTCCCTGCTCCATGATCTGTTCGTGCGCGGGAGAGTTCTCACGCTAAAAATACCCTCTTGTCAGTGATAAGAGAAAACTTGGGGGAGGCATGGAACTATCCCTGCACTAGGAGGAAAATGCTGCTGCGCTGCTGCTAAAAATATGTGGGTATCTCAGACACGGGAAAGGAGGTTGGGGCGCCAGTTCTGAACCCTCATCCCGTGTGTAAAGTTGCAGCCCTTCCCCAAAGTCGGGCGGAACCACGCTGGGGGCATTACGGGCATTTTGCTGCCGGCTGCTTCTCTCCCACCAATGCTGGTCAAAGGGGCTTCAGCAGTTATATGCCTGGACATCTGGCCAATCAGAATGCTCCCTCAGCCTCCAGGGACTGCCTAGCATGCCTGGGAACACCCCAGCCCCTTTCCTAGGCACCCCGTGCAAGCTCTCTTTCTCCTCTCCAGCATCCGAAAGGGAGGCTCTGCTTCCGAGGCAGGTGCTGCAGCGGGAGGGAGGTCGGCCGTTTGGCCTCAGCTGGGAATCTGTGGCAAGCACTGCTCATCTGGGCACAGAAGGGCATCCCCACCCAGCACTCAGCATCCAGGGCTTGAGCTGTGGGGCTAGGAGCCGGTCTCTTGTAAGCAAAGCAGAGCCCCATTCCAGTGGGGTGTGTGTGTGTAAACGGCGCTTTGGTTAGTGGCACCTGATGGGCATCCCATCTCCTCTGCCTGGGGGGGGGGCAGGCGCTGCTTTGCAACCGGGCCTCCCTCCTGCATCCTTGCTGCTGGCCTCTGGCCCGGCTGCTGTGGGTCAGATTAACCTCTTGGTCTCTTCCTGACCTAATAAAATCTTGTGTCTTAGTTGGAATGATTAACTGGCCATTGGGAAATGCTGAAGACGGGTGGGGGGAACAGACACGACTGATGACAGTGTAATCTCCCTCCACCATAACAGAAAACCCTGCTGGCCTAGTAGCCCTTTCAGAACCTCGGGAAGGCCCGGCTGGGGAGGTGGGCTCCCCGGAGGACGGGACCTAGCCTTGGGAGAGCCACTCGCCTGCAGCTGATGCCATCCCAGGCCCACAACCCGCTTTGGGTGCAGAGGGAGCACTTCTTAGCGCATTGCGCCTCCTGCCCAGGGCCCGAGCACCGGCTGCCTCGGATCCTCTTTCCTGGAAGGGCTCCTGCTGGGCCTCCCCACCATTGCCCCTCCCTTGCATAGCCAGGGCTGGGTCCTCTGCCCTCTCCACTGAGCTGGGAGGCAAAGGCCAGCTGTTTCCAGTTTCCTCCCCTTGAACTTGAGTTCAGGAGTCATCCTCAGCTGGAGGGGTGACGGGGGTATGTGCGTGGAGAACCAGGGGCCGGAGCTGCTCCCGTGCAGCATGAAGGATATAAAAGGAACGGAAAATTGCTCCCAATCCGGAAGTCTGGCCTTCTCTGAAATGTTCTCACAGAATCGCTTCTCTCTTTAGCTAGAGTCACGGGAGAGCAGGGCGCTCTGGGAATGCGCCTGGGGGCTTCCCAGGGCCCGCGTGGAGCAGCCTGGGGTCCGATCCGGCTTGCCCCACTTCCGTGAGTCCCAGCGAATAGGGAAGGGGCCTCTGCATTCAGAGTGGGTCTGTCTCAGGGGGGGTGTGGTCACTGGGGCGTGCAAGGTAGCTGCACGGGCAGGACCCGGATGCATCCCTCATAGATGGGCAGCTGCTGTGCGAGGCACACTTGGCGCTTGGAGGACAGAGGCCTTGGCAAATGCCCAGGCATGCGGTCCGGCCAGTGGGCTTCAGTGGGGGAAGAAAGACTACAGGGCCCAGAGGCTTGACCAAGGTTGGTGGGCTGGACTATAGGGGGAGCCCCAATCCATCCCTGCAGGGACCTTCCACCCATTGCTGCGTTGCTGTTGCTGTGACGGGGGGGGGGAATCTGGTGTGGATGCAGCCAGTGAGGCCCGGACCCTCCGTCAGGAATGCTGCCCCTGAGGAGCCTGGCAAAGGGAGCACCCCCCCCCCGAAAGGAGCTGGGGCAATATGTGAAAAAGAAGAATTAGACCCTGAAACGTGAACCATTGACTGGCACCACAAAGTGGCTATTTTTAAGGTTCCCCCCCAACTTTCACTTGTTCTGATCAGCTCTGCCCCTCCCAAAATTAGTCCCTTGCTGGGGGAACCTGTTTGTGGCCGGGCACAAGGCTGCTGCTTCTGAGTCCACCTTGCAAGGCCATTCTGGGCTGGCCTCTTCCCAGCCAGGCCAGCCCTGTGAGTGTTGGCTTCAGGTCAGCCTGGAGGAAGGGTGGGTGGGGGAGGGTGGGCTAGGGATCCTCGAAGAGATGCCATCTGTGGAAACTCCCTGCTAGGTGGGAAATCCGTAGTGTTGGCTGGAGGCAAAATCTGCTCTCCCAGCTTTGTGTGTTGGGGCAAATGCAGCCTGGGGGCAGGAGGGTGGGCTAGAGTTGGGGTTGAGGGGAAAAGACTTCCTCCCCTCTGCTGCCCGCCAGCCAGCCAGCCAGCCTCCCTCCCTCCCTCCCTCCCTCTTTTTTCAAAAGGTCCTCCCTCCCTTGGGCTTCCCAGGTCTTTGTCTGCTAGCAAGGCCCGCAGAAGCGAGCAGCTCCCCCCCTCTTCATTCCCACACTCGTAATTGCTGGGTCACAAGGGGCCCAAAGTGATGGGGACAGAGCAGCAGGCAGAGGGTTTTTTTGAGTGGTGTGGGGGGGAAGTTGCTGCATTTCTTTCCAAGCTTCTTCTAGGAAGGTTCCCGTGGGCAGTGATTCCTGCACTGACCCAGTTTCTCCTGGGCTGCCCCCAAAGACCCAGCTGCCCAGAGCGTCCTCCCCACGCTTTTCGGTGGAAAGGCAGCCCTTGGTGGATGAACTGGCTGGAAGGGTCTTTGGGACTCTAATTGGGGAAAGGGGAGTTTGGAATTTAGAGGCAGTTTTGTGAAAGGGCTGCTAGAACCTTCTGGTGCTGGAAGGCTTCATCTTAAAAGGGGCTTTTCCCCTCCTTCTCGCCCTTCTAGATGTTGGCGGGCCCTGGAGGAGCTCCCCCAGCCCCCTCCTTCCCCGCCTGCCACCCTGTTTCCCCACCCGGATTTCTCTAGTTCCGGCGTTGGGGGGGGTGTCCCAGCCTGACGATGGGAGCCTTTGTGACCCACCCCCCTCCTGTGGCCAGAGGGGTCTTGACTGGCAGGAGAGGAGACCCGCCCCTTGCCCTCCAGGCCCCTCTGCGCCTCCTGCCTTGGGAGGAGGTTGGAGGCAAGCCGATTCCGCCCAAGGGAGCCCCTCCCTCCGGCAGCAGAAGTCTGGGAAGGTGTCCTCAGGTTGCCTCCTGCAGCGGCGGTGGAGGAGGAGGAGGAGGAGGGATTCCCACGCCTCCTCACAGGGAGCATCCCAGGGCCAAACTTCTCACGGCAGCCCTGGCACTTTGCATACACGGAAGAGCATGGCCTGTTTCCCAGGGTTCTCCGCAGGCTTTCTTTCTTTCCCGCGGGAGCTCCTGGCGATAAGGAGGCACCCCTTGCCCCCCTCCTCCTCTTTGATAAGCCCAAGACGAGCTCTTGCAGAGGGACCTGCAGAGAAGTCCGGGTGGGGAAATAGGTGAACCTCTTTGGAGGTAGTACAGCTGCTTCCCCTCCTCATCCTCCCTCACTGGAGATGGAAGACCGGGGGGGGGGGCAGGGGGGCAGCCGTGGGGATGCTCAGAGCAGGGGTGCACTCCTTCCTCATGCCCATGTCCCCTTGGGTTCGGGGGGGGGGTCAAGGACCCCAAGCAGCTCACGTTCTTCCTTTGCCAGTGTTTGGAGTAGAAGCGGCCACCAAGGTCTCGTCCTTTGTGCAACTGCCTTGTGTGGAGCGCCAGCCCTTTGGGCGTTTTCCAGAGGGGAAGGGGCGCCCCTGCGAGTGGTCAGGCCTCAAACTTTTGGTGGGCAGGGACTTCCTCTCCCAGCACCTTTCTTTCAGCTGCGGTGACGTCAGTCCCTCCGGAAGCAGCTGAGGGAGTCAGAATCTGACGTCTCCTCTTCCTCAGCGTCTTTTCGGAGCGGTGCCTGTGAAGTGGGGAGAAATGTTCCCCTCTTTCCAGCCGAGGACATGGAGCTTGTTCAACAAAGGCCCCCCTCCCCGGATGCAGAATTGGGGCCATCGAGGACCACCGAGGCCTTGGCCGGACCGGGCCCTGCTTTGGTGGCCGAGGCTGTGTGTGTGTGTGTGTGTATGTGTGTGTGTGCACACAGAGGCTTGGGGGGAGGGAGACAAACAGAGCTCTTCCTCTGATTTAACTGAACTGCCCCAAGGTTCCCTTCGCCAGAGGGCTGTTTGCGCCTGGGGTCGGGTCGAAGGCAGGCAAGGCAAGAGGCAACCTCTGGCTTGGGCTCCATTCTCCCACCTTCCTTTCTCTCCACACACGGAGGGGATGCCGATTCAACCCCAGCAGTGGTGTGGGGAGTGTGGGGGGGGCAGGCAGAAGGAGCTGCTATGAATTCAAGCCCTTTTCTGCCCCCTTTGCAACAAAAGCCGCAGTGCCCGATGCTTTTCATCCTTCTGACACGGTTCCTCCCCCCCAAAACAGAGCTGCAAGGCTGGAGGGGGGAGGAAGAACTTCTAGGGGGGGCTGCTGCCGCCCCCCTCCTCAGGCCGCCTCCTCTTCCTCCCTGCTGCTGCTCAAAGCCGCCCGCCCTTCCCCCACTTTCCCCCACTGCTTAGCAAGTCGACAGGTTCTCACACTCGGCTCCCAGGGGGCCCGTCTGCTTGAAAGCATGTCCGCTGGGCCCAGGCGCTTCCTCTCCCCCCACTTCCCTGGCCAGGGAAGCCACCCTCCCCCCCACAGGCAGGCACAGGGCGTCCTCCCCACTCGACTGCATGGCCAGAGGCAAGGAACATCCCCAGGAAAAGGGACTGGCACCCTGGTGGGCATGGAAGTGGGATCCAGGCCAGGCAGAGTGGGGCGGAGGAAGGGAAGGGCACTCTCGGAGCAGGCAGAAGGGCATCTGTGGGGAGGAGGGGCCGGGCCCCTCGGTCATGGCAAGAGTCACCAGGCATACAGGAGTCCCTCTGGCCCTTTTCCCCTCCTTCACCATGGGTCCACCGCCACACAGCCCCCCCCCCATCTCGGCCACAGCCACCTTTGTGCTCCCAGGGTTGATGGCCCAGTCCTTGGGTCGCCCTCATCCTCGCTTAACTGTTTGCTGAACAGTTTAAGTTAAAGGGATTAATTTGTGAGGGGAGGGGGGGGTCTCTTCTTCGCTCTGCCTCTTTGTTTCTCTGGGGAGGCTGAAGCTCCCTCCCTGCTTTGCGGGACAGCTCCCTCTCCCTCCCGCCCCCCCCCCGGCCGTGGGGTTGGTTCTCCCCAAAAGGCTCTGAAATCCCCTGACCTTTCTCTGGACTGGGAACCGCAGAACCGCAGGGCATTGGCTAGTGCTGTGAATCGGGCCCTGGAGAAGCTTGAGCAGCTGCTGGCTTTTGCCTCTGGGGGTTCGGATCTCCGCAAAGCCAGTTGCAACTTCCCCACCTGGCCGGAAGGGCCCGTCTTGGTTCTGTGGTTGGCTGAGCGTTCCCAGTCCTGCCGTCAAAACGGGAGACGCACCCCCAGGCAGCACCCCCAGGCTGGTCTGCTTATCGAAGTCGCCTGCCTCTTGCGAAAGGCAGGGCCCACCCTGTCAGGTCCCGCCTGGTAGCAGGCAGCCCTGCTGGGAACAGCGTCGGGCTCGCTCAGGTGTGAAAACAAGGGGGAGAAGTGTGCCCTTTTGCTTCTCCCAAAGGTTGGGGTGTCACAGCGCCCCCAGCAGTTGGAACGCAGCCACCAGCCCTTGGTGCTTCCTTGGGAAGCCCTTCCCTCCCCAGGCCACACGTGCCGGCTAAGCGCCCTTGGGGAAGGGGGCGACAAGGCGCTTCTGTTGCTTCCGGTTCCCCGCTGAATAAGTGCTGGGGGTGGATCAGCAGAGTCCAGCCACAGCGTAGAAGGAACCCCAAAAGTTGTCATGGAGGGGAGGTGTGTTGTTCTTAGGGGCTTCCAAAGAGGCTCCCAGATCTGCAGCAAAAACTGCAAGCTCCCTCTTTGGTCCTTGAGGGGAGGGCCAGGAGAAGAGCTGGCGGGCTCCTTTTTGCAGTTCCTTCTTGCCGCCCTCATCCGTTGGTCTGAATCCTCTTGCCAAGGATGGGGGTGTCTTTGGGGGGGGGCAGAAGTGTGTGGGAACGTAACATTCTGTAAATGACGTTAAATCTGTTTCCTTGCAAGGTTGATATCTGTCGCCTTCCCTCTCCCTCCACTGGTTGATGCTGGCAACAACAAGCTGATGAGGTAGGCCGGGCTGAGTGGGACGGCTTGTCCCAAAGCCTCCCAGGCTGCGTCTGGGACCTTCCCTGCCACCACTCTGCACCGCAAGGCCAGCGGTAAAGAAGGGAGGAGATGGGGCCTGTGCAGATGGGGCGCTGCCATTGCTGTGCAGGGGAAGGGAGAGGAGCCAAAGGCAGGGAGTGCCAAGGCTGAGCCCGCCTCCCCTCCACTTTCCCTGGGAAAAAAGGGGTCTGCAGCAGGCCCAGCCCAGCCGAGAGCAGCTGGGAACATCTGGGCTGTGCCCTCGCCAGGGGAGTGGGGCGGCCTTCTCAGCGTGACCTGCGTTTAGCTCCTCGGATAGCTCTGCCTCGACACGGCGGTTTCACCTTCTGTAAAAAGTCTGGGCTGATTGGGGAGGGGAGCCAGGAAGCTCCTCCGCAGGGTTGCTGCAGGTTTCTTGAATTTGGGGCAACTATCTAGACTGAAGCAGCCTCCCGGGAACGGTCGTTTCTCTGTCTGGGAACAAGCCTTTGGGGTGCAGACTTTCCAGGAAGGTCTGGGACTCGGGCCTGGCGTGTGTGTGGCCAGAGGCAGTCCCGCGCATTCGCCTCCTGTTCATCTCCTTGCCTCTCCCCAGGCCTCTTGGCTGCTGCCCCTGCCCTCCTGGGTGCTGGCAGCTACCCGGGGAGACCTGTTTAGTGACACAGCAGCCCCCCCCCCTTCTCAGGGTCTGGTGGCATCCTGATTCTCTAGGTGGTTTTGACAGACTTGTGTCCGATCCCCCGCTTCCCTCCTCTGCTCCCGGCTTGTTCCACCTTGTGTACAAGGAACTGGTTTTTCTCCTTCTCGGGGCCTTTTGTTTCCGCTCAGTCGGTTACGTTGCTTCTGGGCCTCGCTCGCATTTCCGTTCTCACGCTTTGCACAGGGCGTCCTGGTGTCCGCTTCGCTTCCCCACTTTCTGGCGGGTGGGAGAGGACGGGCACAAGCAGCCCTCGCTCCGGTCGGTCACTCTCTCCGGTCCGCTTGCCTAAGTCAGAGGAGAAGGGACAGAATTGGCAGGCGAGCAAAGAAGGGCCTCTTTGATGGGGCAGCCTTTGGGGATAGAAGAGACAGGGGCTCTTTCCTGCAGAGATTTCAGGGGGCCTCCAGCCTCAGATGCAGTCTACCTGTGAATGCAAGCTGCTCAGTAGCAGTGGCGGAAGTGGGTCTGGCTTTCTTGCTCTGGGTGCTGGAGGAGGCTTCTGGAAGGCTGGGCAGGCAGGGCTATGCAATGGGGGGGCACATCCTGACCCCAGCTCCCAGGCAACCCCCCTGGATTCAGCTGGCAGTGCAGCCTCCAGATTGGCAGATGTGGGCCAGACAGGCGAGGAAGCAAGCCCGGCAGGGCAGGGGGGGGCTGGTGCAGTGAGTACTTTTCCTCTCCCCCCGGAGGGGGCACACGGTCCTCACGCGCTCTGGCTGGTGTCTGCTGCCACGGCCCCCCAGCCCTGTTATTCTTTGAGTGGTGGCTCCTGTTCCAGGTGGGCCTGAGCAGTTAGTCAAAGGGCCTGATTGCTCCCAGAGCAGCTTCCTGGGAAAGCCTCTCTGGATTCGGGCATTAGCTTTGCTTTCCCCACACCTCTCTGGGGCTGGCCTTTGGGACCCCCACAGCAGCCCTACTCATATGCCTCCCCCCGACCCTCTTCAGTTGGGCCCCTTCCTTAGCCCCCCTGGCAGCCACACATTTGTACCGCTTCACGGCTGCAGAGACGGGGCCAAGTCAATGCCTCCGGGGGGGGGGGTATTTGCCCAGTCTTCCAGGGCAAAGCGGGGCAGGCAAGGAGAGCAGGGGCGGGGGGGGGCTTGTTTAAGGAATCAGAGCTGAGGCTGGAAAATCCCCACTGTCAGCCACCAGGGCAGGGAGGTTTGGCTCCTGTTGGTGTCTGAGCACATGAGACAGCTCCCAGCAATGCGTGACTAATGAGCACAGGGGGAGAAGCTGCTGGGCTCCTCGGCTGATCTCTGATCCGGGGAGCCCGGCCCAAGCCGCCTGGTGCCACAGCCTTCCTCCCCCCCCCATTCCCGTGTCACGTTCCCCAGTCTTGGGGAAGACCAGCTGCAACCAGCAGACCCCTTTGGCTGCCTTCACCCCTCCTGCGGTGTGTGTGCGAAAAATACACCAGTGCCGTGCCTTCCCAGCCCCCCCCCCCAGAGCAGCCCAAGGAAGCAGTAAAGGGGCAGACCTTGTCACGGGGACCTCCCTCCTTCTCCTCCCCTCCCCAGCCCCACAGAAAGAGCCACGTCCAGCCGGAAGGCCACCTTTGGTGGACTAAGAGCCCTGCCCTGCCTTGCTTGGAGGCAGGGCCCAAAGGAGCAGGAAGGCTGGCAGCAGCTGCTGTGCCGGTGCCCTCGCTCAGGTGAGCACCCCCTTGGGCAGCTGTTCCCACACTTGGGCAGACCTTGCCAGCTCAGCCTGAATCACTGCCAAACCCCGGACGGGCCCTCGCTGCCTCCTGAGCAGTGGGACTTGGCTGGCACCCTCCTACAGCAGCCTTTCAGAGGCTCCCGAGTCACAACGGACCCCAGTTCCCATGGCCTCTTCTGCCAGGCCAGTGGGGGGGAGGGGGCGGCTGGTGGGCCTTGGGCAGAACAGAAACGAAGCCTCGCATCCTGATGGTTGCCAGGAGGACTTTGGTCGCCTTTCCTGGAACTGTCTTGCATGAGCCCCTTTCCTTGCCTCGCTATGCGCTTACTTTCAGGGAACCAGTCCTGACCCTGGGCAGCCATTTTCAGACCTTGACAGATCCGTGGCTGGGTTGGTCCTGCTCTGGCTTACAAGGAGCGGCTGAGAATCTGCCAGCTCTCCCAGAGCCCCGTGTGGAAGAGAGCACTCGACGTGCCTCACTTCGGGGAAATGGCAGCCCCCGCGTGGGATCCGTTGTTCCCAGGAGCTGCCCAGTTGGATGGTGCAGCCAGGATCAATAGGGCCTGTGGGTCCCTCAGAGAAACGGGGAAACTTCTGGGTCTTTCTAGCTCCCTCCCAACCCCAAGCCGGAGCGAGCAGCTGCGGAGACGTGCAGGGCGCCTGCCTGCCTCCCCGGCCCGGGCTGCATGAGCTGCTTGGACTGACAACCTGTGCCGGGCCACGCCCGCCTAACGGCTTCCCCGTGTGCTTCTCGGTTGACAAGGTGTCGGCCTTCAGCCAGCCCAGCCCTCTGGGAGATTTTCCCATCGGAACGGCAGGAGCCGCGTCATCCTTGGGACCTGCGCTGGGAAGCGTTCCCAGGGCTGGGGCTGGGCGCAGGTTCCCTCCTGCCGTCCAAGTGGGACGGGTTCAGCATAAAGAGTCATTCTCAGGGCTGCCCTTCCCTTCCCTTCCCAGAAAAGAGTGTTTGGCAACAAGAATTGCCGTGCAGGTGAGTAAACGGGGGAAGTTCCTGGGAGATTTAGACCCGATGCCCCAGGACGGCTCTCTGGGATGGGAGCTGCATCCCCGCCAGGTCTCCAGGGGCCTGAGGCAGGGGAGTGGCTGCGGGCACTGTGCCAGCCTCGCTCTCGGGTCTCTGCCTGGCTCCCCCACAGGCAGAAGGGGCCCCTTTCCCAGCTGGAGTCCAGGGCTGCTCAGCTGATTGTGATGGGGGAAACAAAGCCGGCACGTGCAGATCAGCCCTGTTATGGGGAGCTCTTTTGGTGGTGCGGCCTCTGCCTGGCCTGGCCTGTGAACCGGATGCCCAGAGAGAGTGTGGCCCAGGCCAGAGCCCCCCTTGAGGAGGAACTCCAGCCACTTCGTTCCCAGAGGCACTGCCTTTCCTGCCTGGGGGGCTCTCCTGGGAGTCCCCAAGGCATCCCAGCATCCGCTCCCCAGAAAACAGTTCTGGATTCTGCTGGGCCCCAGGGAGCCCAGGGGAGTCTTTGGAGGGTTACAGGGAGGGACCCTCCGGCAGTGCTGGGGCCCGAAGCTCGAGAGGGAAGGGCTTCATCACGGCTGCTCCTCCTAAACTGGGGTTCCTCAGACATAATGGCTTAGCTAGGAGCTGGGTGTCCTGAAGGGGGCGTGGAACTGCCCCCTTCAGGGCACCCAGCTCCAGGAAAACAGAGATGAGGAGGCTGGACATCGGTTACCCAGGGATTTTTCCTGCTTGCCCGTCCTGCAAGCCCAGCTTTCACTGGCTCTCCATCCGGCGGTTCTCACGAGCGCCCCTTCCCTCCCTCTGCCTCCCCCCAGGCCTGCAACTGCAGCCGGTACGTGAAGGTCTCGAAGGAGAGGATGGCGCTGCTGAGGAAGCAGAGTGGCTGCTGGACGGGGGAGGATGGAGGTAGGCTGGTCAGGGTTCACTTCAGGAAGCCCAGCAGGGGGCAGGGAAGCGCCTCCCCTTCTTGGCCGTCACAGACGGGGGGGGGGGGAGAGGGTCTCTTGGGAGCCCGGATGGTGCAGCCCAGCAGGGGCTTCTCCGGGAGCCTGGTCTGCTGGGCTGCAGCCATCTCTGGATCCCTGGTGGGACACAGCAGCAGCAGCTGCCGCCTTCTGCACAAGCAGGAGAGGGTCCTTCGCTCCTCTTCCCCCCCCCAAGAACCCAAGGGGGGGGGAGAGCTGCCCGTTTGCTGAGACCTTCCCTGCCAGGGCTGTCATTCGTGTGACTGACCCAACTGGCTGAACAGGTTTCTCCCAGGAAAGGCCTGAGAGCAAGAGAGCAACCTGGCTCCCCCCCCCCTCGCTGGTCTCTCCTCGTTCCCATAAAGAATAGAGAGCGCCCTCCTCCCTGCCCCCCCCCCCAGCTTGCAGGAAGCGGTGCAGCGTGGGGCCAGAGCAGAAGAGCAGGGGCAACCGCTGCCCACTTCTCTCCCCTCCCATGCCAGGCCTCTGTGCCCCCCCCTCCCTGGTGCTGGCTGGGGGCCAAAGAGCTCCTTGCCCCATTTCCTGCCTTGGGTGGGCCTACCCCAGTCCTTCCCCAAGTGGCTCAGCCAGGCTGGCTCAGGGACTGGCTGTACTGTTGCTGCTGGGGGGCGGTGGCAGGCACCTTTTGGCTATGGCTCCAGAGGTGGCCCCCCCAGCTTCTTTCAGAGAGAAGCGATGGAAGGAGGGAAAAGGAGCCGCTGCCCTCAAAGAGGACTGGTGGCTGAGCACGGCTCGGCTGAGCTGCTGCTTTCCCTGTGACCCACCCCAGGTCTGCTTTCCCGTTGCCCACTGTTTTATTTTTATTTTAACTGTGCTTGCGTGTTAGGAGAGGACACTTAATTGTGGTATAATTACTCCTTTGAATTTTTCACCTGGAGCTCTAGGCAGATTTTTCCCAGGCTGTGAGATCCCTTCCCACCCCTTTCTCTCCTTTCCGAGGCCCAGCGCGTGCTCTTCCCCCTCTCCATCTTGGCCACGATCCTCTTGTGAGCCCCAACTGATCTGCCCACGGCTGCAGTGCCAGCCTTGTGGTCCTGGGCACATTCAAGCCTGGACTCTCTCTCCTGCCAGTGAGCGCAGACAGTGGGCAGCCCTTGTGCCTTTCGGTAGCCCACCTGCCGAGAGAAGGGCGAGAAGGAGAACCAGGGGATGGCAGGCGAGGGGGCAGCAGGGAATGGGAGGGCCATGTCCTTCTGGGCATCTGGACTAGGCAGACCCCAGAGGCTCTGTCCCTTTCCCAAAGCAGGAGGGTCACCACTCTGCCTCCCTCCACATGCCTGCAGGCATCTTCCCTCAGCTGCCCTTTTGGCAACATAGGACGACAGTGGGCGGGGGGGGGAGTTCAAAAGGGCTGTCCTGGCACCCCAGGCCCTTCACCCAGAGAACAGGGACCTCTTGCCCCTTGGAGGATGCCCAGGCACCCGAGGGAGTTGGGCTTTTTCTCCTGAGGGCTTCATACCCCTCAACAGACCTTTGGACTCCAAGGACGCTCCCAGGGTGTTTGTAAGACTTGGGCAAGTTTTATGGCCATCACCACTCCCTTCCTCTCTCCAGGCAGCGGCCCTGAGTTAGCAGGCACACCTTCCACATCCTGAGAAGGGCTGGCTCTCCCTGGGGAAGGACTAGCCCCTTGCCTTGCTTCTTGTTGAGGGGAACCGAGACAGCTCCGTGTATGGGCCCAAATTCCCCACTGTTTTTTTTTTACACCCGTGACCTGTCAAGAGGGGCAAATTGCTCCTATCTGGAGGGGTGTGTGTGTATGTGTGTGTGTGGTGACTTTACACAGGAAGGGAAGGCAGGCCATTTGGCCTTTTTTGCCAGGGACACTTCAAAGGGTCACCAACACAAAAGCACTTCAAAGTGGCCGTTTGTCAGTGAGGAACTTGTAAAGCCCCCTCCATCCCATGGCCCCCCCAGGAATTCTTTTCAAAGCCCTTCTCCCTTGGAAAAGCCCCCCCGCTCCCCTCACCAGTGCGGAGAATGCCAGCAAAGGCCCCTCGCCAAAAGGTCACCTCCTTGCCGTCTCACCAAAGACAAAGGGGGTTTTCTTTGGGAAGGGAGGGAGTTGGAGAAGCAGAACGGGGTGGGTGGGCGGTGGAGGAGCCCCCTTTGAGTGGGGAGACAGAGTCACCAGCAGAGTTCTCTCCCACTCTACACCAGGTTGATTTCACAATAAAAAGGCATCAGCAGAAACCTTCCCATTTGTGCTGCAGGTTCAGACTCTCTGACAGGCTGCCTCTGGAGGGCTTTCCAGTAAAAGTGACCGTTTTGCACCGGGCCAGAGAAGGTTGAAAGTGGGAGGGGGGCAGATCTTTGCTCACGGAGCCCAGTGTCTCCTGGGCTTCCCTCCCTCTGCATCCTGCAGGGATGCCTGGGTCCAGGGACTCGCCTTCAGTCACCGCTCCTCTCTCTAGCCCGGCAGAATGGGTCTTCTCCAGAGGATGCCGGGAATCTGAAGCAGCAGCTGCCCCCCCTGCTCCCCCCCCCCGCGGGTGATGCCCAATGGCCCACAGCGGGGAAGGCTAAGCGCTGCTCTTTGTTTTGCAGAGGCCTGTCTGGGAGATCCTGGCCCCACTGCCACCGCGGAGCCAAGTCGCCGCCTCACCCTTCATCAACCTGCCTGCAGTCCCGGATGGGAGGGGCTGGAAGCGGCGGGCCCAGGGGACGAACACACCCTGCTGCCCACCGGCATCCGCTTGAGAGTTGAGGCCGTCCCACCCGGGGTGCTGTCCAAGGAAGAGCTGGACTGCTTCTACTGCTGCAGCCAGTGCGGCCAGGTCTTCTGGGAGGGCTCCCACCTGGGCCGCCTGGTCTCCCAGTTTAGGGAGGTGCTGGACCTGCCGGAAGAGAGCTGAACTGGGGCTGGGGCCTGTCCTTGGGCTCTGCTCAGGAATGGGGAGGGTCCCGGGGCCTGTTGGCAGGCCATCCCCTTTTAGAGGGACCTCTGAAAGGATGTTCAGCTTCTTTCCTCAGGTGCCCTTTTGGCACAACCATCTCACAGGGTCAGACCCACACCACCACTGCCTGTCTTGTGGGGAGGGGCTGTTGCCTCTGGTGCGAAATGGAACGCTAGACCCCAGGACCAAATGTTGTCTTGCTGGTTGGGGGATCCCAACACACACACACACAAACAGAAAACACGCAGCCCTCTGCAGAGTGCAACTTAGAGCCTTTGCCCATCTTTCTCTCCCCCTGCCCTGCCCAGAAAAGGTCCTGCTGTTTCTCTGGAGATAAGAGGCATGGGCAAGAAATGTCTGCCTTGACAGCCAGCCCGCCCCCCCTTCCTGTTGCCCCTTCTTTGCTTGCCCGTTTACCCTCTGTTTCAGCCAAGGGAGCCCACAGGGAGACCTTTAGGCCTCTCTGAGAAACCTGGACCTTCAGTCTGGAGGCCAGCGGCCTCTCTCCTCTCGGGGCTTTGCTTGGCTCTGTGCCCCCCCCCCGCCCCCAGAGGCCCCCTCTCTACACAGAATGAGACGCCCCTGGCAGAGGCGTTCCCAAGACTAGACGAGCAGGTCTAGAGATGCTTTGGGCAGGGGTGTAAATGCTATTGAGGGTGGTAAAAGTTTTGTGTTGAGTAAAATATGTCTTTTTGCGCATTCAGGTGCAGTTTGTTGGACAGAGTTTGTTGGACAATAAAGGACTGTTACTTAAATGAGGTGAGGTCATCCGACTCCTGCTCTTCTGATTTACTCTTCCCAGCCACATTTTGCCCACCAGGCACCACATTTAGGAAGGGGGGATTTAAAGCTTCAAATGTTTAAAGTTACACTTCTCTCAAGGATGAATGCTTGAATATTCTCTGTATGCTGACTTTCCTTCTGGGAAAGAGCTGAGCGATTCCCCTGCGAGCAAAGGCTTTCGCAGGGATGGGAGGCCACCCAAAGACCCATCAGTCTCCTGGTGGGGAGGCTGTGCTGGGGGCCTGGCTCGCTGTCCTGGCACGGGAGCTCCGTAATTCCGGAAGGAAGTTTCATTTCCCTCCCTCATCCTGTCCTCAAGGCAGGCAGGCAGCCAAAGGGCAGGAAGAGGGTTTCTGAGCATCTCAAGACAAGCTCGGTGGATCTCAGAGGACGCCGCCCCTTCTGTGCTTTGGCTCTTCAGAGAGACTAGCACCCCCCAGGAGGAAGGCGACCAGGCCCTTTGGCACAGTCTGCCAGGGCAGCCCCCAAAGCGGCTCAGGATTCTCAGGGGGTCCGTGGTCCCTCTCCTCTTCAACAAGGGTGAAGGTGTCCGGGCAGGCGCTCGGGCCCCTCACGTAATAAAATGGCCCTGCGAGGTTTGGCGTGGCGAAGAAGCGGTCCAGATGGCGTCACCAGAAGCACTGGCTTTCCTTGGGCAGGAAAAGAGACCCCGAAGGCCGGGGGCAGGTGGGCGGCTGGCCCTGGGCGGCTTTTGGAGGAAGCGATAAAGGCAGCGCAACGCGGAAGACCGACGGGCAGGAGCCGTGCATCGATCAGCTGCGAAGAGTTTCTGATCAGGATCGAGGGCTTCGCGCAGGATGAAGGGCGGCGACCGCCAGCCCTCAGATCAGCGTCCCTGCCAGGGGTGGCCCGCCCTTGGCACCGCTTGCTTCGGGCCAGCCTCTGGGCGGACGGGGGCCCGTCACCTGCCCCCCCTCCCCGGTCTCCTTCGCTGAGCCGCCTTTCCCACCGCCTGCTCTGCACGGGGCTCGCTCTCTGCGTGCATAAGCGAAACTGCGCTTCTTCTTCGCCTAGATCTCGGCAGAGATACCGGCGCTGCCCCCCCCGGCCTTCCTCGGCAGCGCGATCTCCCCCCCCCGCCCGGAGACCCACGTGCGCGTGCGCGCGCCCCGCCCCTCCGGCCCCGCCCTCCCCGCGGCTGGGAAGAAAGGCGCGAGACTTTCCCACGCTCCCGGGTTCACGGTAATGAGGGCGCGTCGACCCCGCCCCCGCCGGCAGACCCCGCCTCCTAGGAGGGCCGCCCGGCTCGGACCGCATCGCCGCTGCGGAGGGGGCGTCGCTCGTCCCCCCCCCCCCAGGCGCTCCCAGAAGGCCGCGGCTCCGACGGAGAAGGGCGGCAGCCCGACCCTGCGCGCCCAGGTACGTGTGAGGAGGGCGCCCCGGGGGCTGGCCACGTTTCCTCACACGGAGAGCGAAGGAAGAGCTGGGTTTCCCACCTGGCCTGAGCAGCGATTCACCGGGATCGCTGGCTTGTGCGATACGCGGATCCTCCACATCCTAAGGGCCAAATCAGCCCGCCCAAGGTGGTCCGTCCAGGCGGCTGGAGCTGTCGCGTGAACACACCCTGAGTGTTCAGTGCCTCGATTTTTCTCTCCTCACTGGCCTAAGGGGCGTCCCTCCCTGTGGCAAAGGAGCCGGAATTATTGGGGGGCTTTGCTGCCTCCAGGCTTAGGACGGGGAGGGGGCCTGTAGTCCTGCCATTAAGCATTTATTTTCATGCAAAGTACAGCTTGGCTCCAGGCACTTCTCCCCCTTCTCAGTCTCCCCCCCCACACCAACACCCTCGAGAAAGTCACCCCCAAAGTTTCTTTGACAACATGGGGGAAGGGGTCCTTCAACCCTCAGGGAGGAAACGAGAGAGAAAAGTGTCTCTCGCTTGGAGGCAGAGGTGAACGTGCCGGGCAAACTTTCAGGCCACACAGGACTCTTGGCCTCGTATGGGACGTCTCCGAGAGTCCAGACTTCTTTCATCTTGTTTTAAGTGCTCCTTGGGATGGGAAATACCCCCCCCACTCCCCTCAGCTGGCCAGTGCTTGGTTTTTTCTCACGCCCTGGTTGCCCCCTGCCTCCCCCCCTCCGCCTGTTCCACTTTCAGTTTTCTTCCTCTTTTTCCCCTGAAATTGATTGAGTCAGCAGTTCCTTTGTGGGCTTGCCTGCGGCTTCTGTCTTTTGTTTGCCCAGCAATCCTTTCAATAGATCTGCTTCCTGATAAGGGCCCCCTGCCTCCTGCCCCATGTAAACTGAGTCCTCCCTTTGGGGAGCCAGCCCTATGGCAGCACTCACAGAAAAGGCCTTTTTCTGGAGCAGGCGGGGGCCCACAGACAGCCTGGAAATAATGGCACTCCTGCACCCCATCTCTGCCCCCCCAGCCTCTCTCAGGGGCTTCAGCGGTGGGGGGGGGGACAGTAGGAGGCCTGGGCCTGAGTTTTTGAGCCCAACACAAAATCTTTTCTTACTATTTCTGCAAAAATTGCCAATAGCCGCCCTGGAAACCACAAGAAAAGTGTGTTCGCCAAAAACCCACATTTTGTCTTATAAAATAATTACTTTGGAAGTTGTAATGCATGGGGGGGGGCACAGCTGGGGAAGAGAAACCTTCTCGAAGATCTTTCCATTGGGTTTGCTGACATCTCCAGCAGTTGTTTGAATTGGAGTTATCCGAGGTTGTGCTGTCACCTCTGCCCAAGCTCCCCCCCCCCATTTTTTCCCTAGAACTTAAGCCAGACGCTTGACTTTACCTGTGCCTATTTGGCCTTCCAGGATGCCCTGGATCCTGCTGGAACCTGAGGACAGCAACTGCATGCAAGAAGGAGGCAGACTTGACAATCCGTTGGTTGCTTCTTTGGGACAGAGAAAACAGGCGAGTTATCAGGTCTTTCAAACAAGCTGGTTTATTTGTTGTTTCTTGAGCTATGGAATTGTGCTGTAGTTTACTTGTAGTTATTGTAGTTATGCGGGTGGATGCCCAACCGGGAGCCCTCCAGAGAGATCAAGGGGGGAGGGGCATCTGGGAGACTTCCGTGGTCTGAAAGCTACAGGTGGTCAAGGGGACAGGTGCTTCAGCCACGTAGCAACTTCATCCTGCAGCCCATGGACAAAATGTTAGTCCTTTGTACTTCAGGACTCTGCATTTTTAAAAGTTAACAGAAGCAGCAGAAATCCAGCCAGGCAAGCATTTCTGAGCGGAAAGTAAGGGATGGTAGCCACCCCTGTTGAATTTCTGCCTCACAAGCTTGTTTTAAAAGTGCAGGAGCTGTTTTGAAGGGATGGGAAAGTGGCGCCATGTCAGCAAGGACCTGTTGGCTTCTCTTACTCAGGAATTGGGGCTGATGTGTGGGCTCGGGTCTTTTCCTGAGGAGGGGGAAGAATGGGGAAATCAGGGTTGGGGAGCTCTCTACACCTGGTGAGCCCAAAGGCCAGCGGCTCTTTCTGTCCATCAGCACCTCTCCTCCCGCCCTGGGCTGCATCTGCCCATTCCTTCTAGGCACTCCAAGGCGGAGCTGCCCCTCGGGAGACCAAGTGGGGACAAGCAACCCGCCCGCCCCTTTTCCTCTCGATCCGCCCGATCCTGCCTGGAAGCCCCGGGCTGGGAGAGGAGCCGTCGCAGGCAAAGACGGGCAGGGCAATCCCTCGGTGCTCGCCCGAGCCCCGCGAGCCCTCCTCGCCCGGCTGCTGTAATGCAAGCGAGGGCTGCGCTCGCCCGACCCCGGGAAGCCGCCGCCCACCTCGGGCCGTGCGCAGGGAAGGCGGGGCTCCGCCGGCCCTCCTTCGCCATGCGGCGACCAATCCGCTCCCGAGGGGGCGGGGCGGGGCGGGCTTCGGCCATTGTTATGCAAATAGAACAGGGACGCCTAAAAAGCGCCCCCGCCGGCGGTTCGCTCAGTCCCCGGCCGACCCGCGGCGCCCGGCGCCCGTACCAGCCCGCGATCCTTCGAGCCAGCCGACGATCCCGGCCGCGGTGTGGACCTAGGAGCCCGGCGTTGCGAAGCAGGCCAGCCGGCCTCTCCGGGGCCCGCGCGCCTCGCCCATGCGGGGCCGGGCGCGACGCCTGCCCCGTCGCCAGCCGGGCGCGCAGCCATGAGCCAGGCGGAGTTGTCGGCCCCCCGCGCGGCGCCCAGCCAGCGCGTCTTCCAGGAGGCGGTGCGCAAGGGCAACACGGCCGAGCTGCACTCGCTGCTGCAGAACATGAGCAGCTGCGAGTTCAACGTGAACTCCTTCGGCCCCGAGGGCCAGACGGCGCTGCACCAGTCGGTGATCGACGGCAACCTGGAGCTGGTCAAGCTGCTGGTCAAGTTCGGCGCCGACATCCGCCTGGCCAACCGCGACGGCTGGAGCGCCCTGCACATCGCCGCCTTCGGGGGTCACCAGGACATCGTCCTCTACCTGATCACCAAGGCCAAGTACTCGGCCGCCGGCGGAGGAGGCGGCGCGGGGGGCGGCGGCGGCGGCCGCGGCTGAGCGCGCTCCGGGAACTCCGTGGCGGCGGCGCCCCGAAACCCCTCCGGTCCAGCCAGTTGTCGAGCGCAGCGGCGCCTCAGTCGCCCGAGTCCGCCTGAGGGACAGCCCTGCGCCGATTCCCGGGAGATGCGCGCTGTCGGCCGGCCGGCCGGCCCCGCCGTTCGGGCAGACGAGACGCGGGCGCTGGCCCGGACCTGCCCGCCCTTTGAGCCGCCGCGCTCCGTCCCGCCGCCGCCGCCGCCGCTCTGCCTCTCATCTACCTCGGTTCTTCCACAGTGTTGGCTCCCCCGCTCGTTCGTTCCTTGGGGCCGATCGGCCGATGCCCACCGCAGCCCGGACCTGGTTCCCCGCCGCCAGCCGCAGCCGCCCCCCCCCCCAGGCAAGCCGCGGCCCGGCGGGGTCCTCTCCGCGGCTGAGGGTCGCCCTGCAGCTCTTGCTCTGGAGCAAGACGCTCGTAGCTTTTGTCTGGTGTCCAGACCGAAATAGCCCCTCCTCGGCGCAGCCCTTCGTGCGGTCTTCTTATCCACCCCACCAGAGGGCGGGAGAGCTTCCCCCCCGCTTTTTTCCTTTTTGGCAAAAAGAGTGAATTTCGCCCGGGGAAAGGGATGCTTTAGGAAGCGTCTCCGGAAGATCGAAGGCGCCCCCTGCTGCTGATGGAGGGAAAGCAAACTACTGAAAACCCGACCCTTTCGAAGGAGGCGATTCCCACGCGGGGCTGGCTTCGGAAAGGAGAGGGGCGCCGTGCCCCGGAACTGAGCGCCCGCGTGCCTTCGATGCTGCTCGTGAGTCTCTGCCTGGTGTGGTGCGCCCGGGCAACCCCGTGAATGTCGAGGAAATCACCCGCCTCTTTGGCCCCCTTTTCGTGTGCACTAGAGAGAGCGAGAGAGCGAGAGATGAATAATCCCTTCCGCTGCCCCCTCGCCTGCGTCTCTTCTCCCCACCCCTCAAATAGCCATTAAACCTTTTAAAATATAGTTTTCCACTGTGTTTGGGCTGAGCGTTTAAGTATTTATCTTGTACGTGTGCAAGGATGTGTGTGAACATGAATAATTTGTGACTTGGGCGTTTTTTTTGAAGGGTTGTTTATTTCGGTAGTTCAGAAAATGCAGGGTTTCTTTTTGAGGGGTGGCTATTACGCTATTTCTTCCCTAATTCCTGCAATAATTTCCCCTCCCCCCATTGCACTGAGTTATTTTGCTATCTCCAGTTCCTCCATGCACACCCCCCCCCCCCAAAAGTGGGAGCCTGTTTTGTGCAGCCTCCTCCTGCTTACATTCTTCCTGGTTGATTTGCAAAAGGAATGGCAGTTGGGGCTCCACCAGCCCTGCTGGGGGCTTGCAGGGAGCCTGAGGATCCTTGGTGGGGGAGAACCAGATCCTTTTTTCAACTTTGAGGGGGATGTTTTAGAGTTGCACATGATTTCTTTTTGTCTTAAAACAGATTTGCCGCAATAAAATGTCATAACATTTATGGCATAATTATTAAATAAGAAAAAAGTAGCTTGTGTTCAGAAATCCAAGATCAGATTTCAGTTTTAAGAAAAGATCTTGGTTAAAAGCCGGTTTTTCTAAAAAAAAAGACTCATGTAAAGATGTTAACACATATTTATATTTTTATATATGAAAAGTATACTTTTGGAGACTGTGAAACCTTTTTTTGGGGGGGTGAAATGAAATATCCTCAAGGCTTGTTCTGCTCTGATTCTGACATTCCCACTCTGTCCTTCTTTTAAAGAACTAATGGGAGAAACTCCCCCACCCCCCAGGTGTTTTTCCCTGCTATGGGAACTCAGCCAGGAATATCTGCCTTTGAGGGAGAAAAGGGGGTTCATTATCTTAGTTAGCAAATGAGCCAATTGGCATCGGGCAGGTTCTCCCCACAGGAAGGGCTCCGAATCCTTGCTCTAAAGTGAGACCTACCCAGCTTGGTGGGACTTGCACTGCTGGGCTGACACAGGAGGGAATAAATTAGATACTTTCTATGCAACCCCATAAAGTTATTGAATGTAGCCATGCATGCACCCCACTGAGACACAAAAGGGATAATGTTATTTGGCTACTTGTGCTGCTGGATCCTTTGTGCCAAAATGGGAAGTGTCTCTTTGTTTGAGATGCATCAATTTTGTGCTGAACCATCTTTAAGTCTAAATATTTTTCTTGGGAAAATGCATTAACACTTGTGAAAAAACAGATATTGGAAGAAGCTGACCCCCCCCAGATTACTTTAATGAGCAGCCTTTTGCTAGACAATGGTCGTTCCCCCCCTCCCGTTTCTAGACGGCAAATAACTTTCTTAATTATGTTAATTATTTGTGCAGAATTTTAGGCTTATGTTGAAGCTCTATGTGGGTAACTGTATGATCACTTTTTAACTGGATGACGGAGACTGCAAGGCTGTATTGGGGAGGGCTGCGTTTCTGAGTATATCATAGCATTGTGTAGTCCCAGGGTGAGAAATTTATAAGTAATTTTTCCACTGATCTTTTTATATAAAAAAATGTTCCTATGTTTGTGTGTGCTTTGTTTTTCTTTTCCTGACCAGAGGCTGAGATTTCAAGGAAGCTGCAGATGGACAGGGAGCACGAAGGGGGCAAGACAGACAGACAAGGGGGCGGGTGTGAGAGAGAAAGAGGGTGGGGGTAGCTGGAGCATAGCCACTCTCCACCATGTTGGCAGTACTCTTTACTCCCAGGGTGGCCTGGCAGGCCAGGGCTGGAGGTGGGGACGGGGTGCCTGCCTCCACGAGAATCAGACCCGGCTCTGGAACAGCCCACCCCCTTAAATCCTTAGGGTTTAGTCTGTGCTGTGTGAGCAGATCACCCAAGGGGCCGGGCGAACTAGAGCAGGGCACTCAGGCCTCAGTACAGCAACCTTGAGCCCCTTCTCACAGCTGGCACCCAGGTGGGTTGCTTTGCTGGCGTGGGGAAAGGTTGCCCTGCCAGCTGGGCCGGTGAGAATATCTGTCTCCAGCAGCTCCTGGCATTTTGGATTACAGCTCTGCCATCCCAAGTGAGGCTGGCTGCTGTGACTCGGGGTAGGAAGAAGGGAAGGTGACGCCTCCCTGCCCTGCTTGGGGCCGCTGCGAAGGAGGCTCCTGGGCCATCCAGCCCTGCTCGGTTGGCTTTCAAGGATTCCCCCAGGCAGAAGGGCAACTCCCAAGCACCAGCATCTTGGTTTTTCCCTTAAAAACGGTTTTGTTTTGTTTTGCTGCTCTAGGCCTGTGCCACCCTGTTATTCTAATTTTACATTACTTTCCCTAATCTCATTGTCCCCGAGTTGCTCTTGTTGCCGAGACCGAAACCTGTGAAAGAATTTTGAACTTCTCAAGTGTTTCCTGCAATTGTCTCCAGTTTTTTTGTTTTGCACGACTGACTCCAAAGCAGATGGACAGGGCACCTCTCGGCCTTGGGGGGGGGAGGGGGCGCAAGAGCTTCATTTCCCTTGTGATTGACGCATATGGAGAGAAAAATCCGTCATCCGTAAGGGTGGGAGTGGGTGTCAGATTTGAATGCCTTAATATCTGAAGTGGGGGGGATCAGGTTGCTGCAAAGTCTACGGGGACCCCCATTTCAATGTACTTTTCAGATCCTTTGTTGGGAATCTGCATCACCACAGACAAGAAATTGAGCTGAGTCCAATTGAAAAAATATTTCGCTGTTTTTCCATTATATAAAGGGTAGCCTGGTTTTTGAAGGAGGGACTTATTGAATTGGGAGAAGGATGCCCCAAATCTGTCTGGATTCTCTAGCGGGGACCTTGTTCAACAGGGCCTTTGCATTGGGTGTGAATTTGGCTCCCTCCAGGGGTCCAGCTGACCCTTGCACCCCAAATCCTCTTCTGCAACCTCCCTCAGGTGGGAATCTCCCAGGAGCAGAAGCCCCTCCAAGGCCCCTCCTTATCCTGGCCCCTGGCCCACCCCTGCCAGAGCGGAGGGCTCCCCCCTTCCCACCGTGCAGGGTGGACCTTCTTGGTGGCAGGACCTTTTGTGAGCGTGGGGCCTTTCCCATACCCTCATCTTGGTGGGGCTGCCCAGAAGAAGACAGCCCCCTCCCTCTACTGTTTGCAGAAAGGGTCTCGTTCAGCCCCTCTTCCTGGGTCTCCTCTCCCCCTCCCCCTGACCAGCCACTCCCCCCTTGCCGAGCTCTTTTCTTTCCCGAGATGGGCTGGTTCCCTGAACCCCTTGGAGCCCCCTCCGGTTCCTTTCAAAGCAGCATTGACGCCTCCTCAGCCCCTGCCTCCTCCCCCCTCGCGCACCCCCACTGCTCCCCTTCAGCCTTTTTCCAGCTATTCATTCCCAGGACAGCCTCTCCGTCCTCCTCCTGCTCCCCTCTCTCAAGCAGCTGGTATGCTAATGAGGGCCCCGCAGAAAGGGGCGGGAGGGGGGCTCCAGAAGCCATGCCAGGAGCAGCAGCCGAACAAAGGAGGCTCCCACCAGCCCTGGCCTGCCAGCTTTTCACATTCAAATCCTTTAAACAGGGAGCATTCCCTCATTCAGAGCCCTGCATTAAATCCAGGAGGGAGGGAAGGAGGGAGGGAGGCTGCTTTGCCTAGGCCGGCGGGGGCTGGTGTGTGTGTGGGGCGGCAAGGGGGCTGTAGAACGGCCTGGGCAAAGGATCTACCTGGGCCCCTTCACCCATTCCCAGGTATTGGTGGTCCAGGATAGGAACTGGGACATCAGTCTGTTGGGGAAGGAAGCAAGCAAGCAAGCAAGCAGGGCAGTCTTCTCTTTTGCCACACAGTCTTTAAGTGGCCAAGTGTTCTGTGTTGCCAGGCTTGCGGGCTGGCACTTCAGAGCTCGGTCAGCAAATGAGGGGCCATCGTCCACCTGAGAGAAGCAGGGCAGTGGGCGACCTCAACCCTGGGGAGGGCATCCTCCCCTTGCTGTAGCTTCCTTCCCATCCACTCAGAGATACTTTGTAGCCTTATAAAACTGGGGGGGGGGGTAAATGGCTCTCACTGGCGTGATCTCCCAAGGACCTGCGCCCTCTGGGGCCACCCCGTTTCCTTGCCGAGAGCCCCAGGGCCAGGGGTCCTTCAAGTAGGACCGAGGACTCTGCCCCAGACCAGCCCTGCTTGACAATGCAAGTGGGGAGAGGAAGAGGCCGATTTCACTCCCCCCCCCAGACCCTCTTCCTTGCAGGTCAGTGTGCTCTCTGATCCTGGCTTGCTTTTGGGGGTCCTTCCTTCCCGGTCTCTCCATTCGGACCCCCCCCCCGCCTATGGGAGTGCAGGATGGTCTCCTACCGCCATCTTCCAGGATGGAAAGCAAGGCGAGGGGCGAGGAGGGGTCCCTCCCTGGCGGAAGTGCCAGCCCTGGGTCTCTGCTCTCAATGCACCATTCAGCCTGCTCAGCCGCACAGAAAATCTGGGTCATCGGATCCTCGCCCTGCCTGGAGACAACTGTGGCTTTCTTCCTTTTAAGGGCTGCAAGCCGCAGAGCTGTCCCTTTTGGGGAGGGGGCTGAGAAACAGCGGCAGCTTCGGTGGGAAAGGGCTGAGCCAGGCTGGTGTGGGGAGCAGTTGCCCACCCAGCCCAGGGCCCTGCCTGCTGTCTGTGAACACCTCTCCCTTGCAAGACCCTCTGAGCAGGGTGTGTGTGTGTGTGTGTGTGTGTGTGTCTCCTGCAAGCTCAGCACAGGCCATTGCAGGGATGCCCCCCCCCATCCCTTTCCCCAAAAGCACATTGGGGAGAGCTAGTGCTATTCTTGCCCCACACAGGAGACCAAGTAGCTCTGGCTGCTTGGGGGGGCGAGTGTGTGTCCCCCTCCCAGCCTGCCAGGGATGTTGCCTGGAGCAGCAGCTGGACAGGCCAAAGCCTCAGTGCCCAGCTGAGATGGCGGCTGGGGTGCCATGAAGAGTCGCTCCCTGAGCAGACCCGACCCCGGGATAGGACTGGAGCGAAGGCATGCTGAAAAAAGCAACAATTGATGGGGAGGGGCAAAGGCCCCCCCCCCACCTGCAAGCACCTTATAGGATTTGGCTCCTGGCTGACTGGCAGGGGCACTCCATGCCACGGATGCCCAGGGCAACTGCTGCCTTCCCAGAGAAAACTGGGAATATAGAGTGCTGCCCCCCCCCCGGCACCCCCTGCTGGTTCCAAGGGGAAACAGCCAGCAGGGAGAGGATGGCAGAAGCCCCCCCTCCCCGCCCCTCCCGGCCCAGGGCTTGAGATGGGAGGAGCCAGGGCAAGCAAACTCCGTGGCCAGAGCCGGCCATTGGGGCGGGGAAGGAAGGGGCAAACAGGGCTGCAGAGAAGATTGTGGAAGGACATGAGAAAGCAACCTGAAATCCCCCAGGGATCATGCCAGGGAGAGGGAGGGTCCCGGAGAGAGGAGACGGGCTCGCTTTGGTCCAGCAGCTGCGTTTATTGATGCCAGCAGGAAGCCGGCTTTGAAAATGGGGCTGGTCCTCTTGCTTCCTCCTCTCGCTTGCTGGCCTCTCACAGGGCAGACGGGCGCAAGAACTCCTCCCCGTCTGCAGGGGGAGACGGGGCGGTTGGTCCCTGGGGCAAGGGGGAGACCCCAGACTGCCCCCTGTGAGCTCAGGAGAACCCAGCCTGGATCAAGGATCCCCCCCCACTCCATTTCTCATTCGCTCGTTCGCTCTCCCTCCCCTTTAGCATCAACCCCCCCCATGGAAAACTGCCGCCAGGGGCTTCTTCCCCCACCTACCGCTGGGGAGGAGGCCACAGTACTCCTGGCACTCCTTCTCCAGGTAGAACTTGTTGGCGTTGCCTCCGCAGCCCCGGAAGGTGAGGCACTTGCCCTGCTTGGCATCGAAGGCCCAAAACGTGTCCTTGCAGGGCTCTCCTGGGATGATGGGCAGCCGGCAGGCGGCTGCAGGCAGAGAGGGAGGGAGAAGTTGCCGCTGAGGGTCAACGCAGGACGGGGGGGGGCACACGAAACCCCCCCCCCCACCTCTGCTGGCCTTGCTGCACTCACCCTCCGTCCGGCAGGTCTGCAGGCAGCCGCGCTCCGAGGGAAAGTTGTTTTGGTTTCCCCGGCAGCCGCCATAGAAGAATCTCTCGCAGTTCTGGGATGTGGTGTTGTAGAAGTAGCGCAGCTCCATCCCCAGGCAGGGGCCGGCGTCCTTGGGCTGCAGGCAGAAATCTGTGGGGAGAGAGCCAGCCCAGTTGCCTCCAGGAGAGCCGTCTCAGGCAGAGGAGCAGGAACCTCCAGCAGGCATGATCGGAGTCATGCCCGCACTGCTGGTCCCCCCCCCCAGGTCACTGACCGCCCATCTGATGAGGATCCCCCAGGGAGGGCCAGCTGGGGGTTTGAGGCCTCCTGGGGTCCCTGGGAAGCTCACCTTCCCTGTTGCCCCCACCAAATGATGGGGAACCATCGGCAGAGCCTGCTTCCTCATCCCAGGTGCTCCTCCGGTCTCTCTGGGGGAGAAAATGGGCCAGTCCTGAATTCGGGGAGGGGGGGATTAAGGGCTGAGCCCAGGAAGGCCTCTCAAGGAAATTGTGTACCTGCACGTTGAGTTCTGGCTGGGGGGGGACGCACTCCCCTGAGGAAAGAGAAAGCAGTCAGAGGGGTCTGGGGGGGCATGGTCTCCACAGCCAGTGGCCCTTTGAGGGAAGGAGGGGCAGGCCAGCCAGACAGCCTCAAAGAGTGTGGCATGAGCGGGGGGGGGGGCTCCCTCCCTCGCTCTTTCTCCACCCCCCCACCTCTCCTGGCCTGGGAAGACCCTTCCCCTCCTCCCCTCTAGCTTTTGGTTTGCCTGTTTCCGTCAGTGTGAAGATGGAGTCCTGGGGAATGCCCAGTGTCACCGAGAACTCTCTGAACGCCTCTATCAGGTCCTGGGGCAGGTGGGGGCTCCTCCCTGGAACGGACAAGAGGCGCACGGCATTGGCATTCCCGCCATATGGAATCCATCTGTTCAACGATGAACGGAGCCTCCATCTTCAATAGCAGACTACCTCTTCATACATGCGATGGACAGGGCCGGCGGTGGCAGCACTGTGTGGCAGGGCTCCTGCTGAGCTTTTGGGGCTCTGGGAGGCAGCCTCCTTGTCCTTCCCCAAAGCAGCCAGGGGCCACCCAGCCGCTTGGGGGAGGCTGACCCGGCAGCCCCGGAGGGCAAATTCTCCTGCCCACCCCCCCACCCCGCCTCTTGAAAATCAGAGTAAACAGGAAGGCTGTGGGCGTGGCCTTCCTTTGCCCTTTGCCCCAACCCATCTTGGAGCCCCCAGCTTGCCACTCCCAGGTGGGCTCCTGTGCAGGGGACCAAGGGGACGCTGCATGTCTCCAGCTGGGGGCCAGAGAGGCGGGTCTTTCTGGAGGCAGGCGAGACCCCAGTCGGATCCGGAGGGCTGCCCCGGAGGTGCTGCATGGGGTGTCTGCAGCCCTCAGCAACTCCTCTCTGGCCCCGAAAGTAGAGAGCCAAGCCGTCTGTCCCAGGAACCCCCCACCCATGTTCAGTTTTGCACCCAGGGCTCCGGGCTGGCTTCCATCCCTGTAGCAGCCGCCTACCATAAAGTTGGGTGGTGACGGTGTAGCCGTAGCTGCTGTTCTTCTTCCAGGCGAGGAAGGCATACTCATCGTAGTTGGTGCGAGCCACGTAGCCCTCACTGTGGGTTTCCCATCCTGGGGGGGGAGGCAGAGTGATTTCCCCCCTTCCGATGCCCCAGCAGCCCCCCCCATTTCCTTCGCCTGAACCCCACTCCTGCACCTTCTCCCAACCTACTAGAATTGTAGTAATGGTATTTCCCGGGGGTGCTGCTCTTCTGGTAAACTCCAACCGCTTGGCTGCAGGTGCCTTGCCTGCAAGGGGGGGGGGGAAGAGCGTGGCTGAGAACTGATTAGGTGGTGTTAATCACTGGCAGGTCTTGCAGCCGTGATGGCTGTACCTACCGTAGCCTCGTGGAGGTGACCGAGAGCTCGTTGCTGGTGTCCCCTGGAGCCACCATCAGCGTCCCCATCAGGTAGTGCTCCTTATATTTCTTCAACCACTTGCAGGTTGTGCCGAGCGCGATGGCGTACCACTTCCCGTAGACCTGGTGAGGACAACCAAAAGAGCTTATGCTAAAACCATGTCCAGTGCAGGCCTTGCGGCGGAAAGCAGACTTCTTCAGCGGAGTTTTCCTCTACTCTTACAGGTTGGTGCTTCTGTGGCTCTTGGCAACCATATTTTTGTGCCTGTCCTCCGTTGGAGTTGGGGGTCCTCACGGTAACGCTAGCTAGAATTCCAGCCCTTGCTGTTCTGTTTGGACTAAGTGCAAACAGAAGGGGGCTTACGCCAGATCCATAACAATGACAGAAATGGTTAAAGAGATTGAAGACTGAGCTTTAAGAGGCCACCTGAAGCCCATTCCTCATTTTACCCTGTCAACACAAAGGGGTCTTACTCTCGCTTCATCGAAATCCCTCTGGATTTGGATGGGGTCAGCTGGAGCGACTGGACTGCCGCTGGTCGAGAGGAGAATGGTGGCGCAGACGAGAAGAAGCACTGGCGGCTTCATGGCTGTGGCTGTACTTCTGCTCTGCTCAGCTTCTGCGGGCAGCTCTGGGGCTGCAATGGGGCAGCTTTGTTTTTCTAGCATGAGGAAATTCGAACTTTGGTCTGCGGGTTCACCACACCAAAGGTGAACGGCCTTGCGATAGATGCCCCCCCCCCAGAGCCTGAAGATGGGCTCCCCTGCACCTCCCAGTTGAATTTGAGAGGGGGGGCGGAGAAATGTATTTATTTGGATAAGGGAAGGGGGCTTCCCTCCCACTGTTCCTAGTCCATTCAGCTGAGGCAAGGGGGGTCTCGCCAAGCCCTGGCCTGATTGCAAGACAGTAACCGCCTTTTAGCAGTGGGTCCCGGTGGGCAGCTCTCCGTCCTGGTCCTTTGCAGAAGGCCCTTCCTGGAGACTCTTGCTTTGATCTGGATTGACCAAAGGCATCCTGACACCGTGGGGTCTTTCTGTCAGCCTGCAGACCCTCAAGCCCTCCCTCGCTGCCTGTGTTCCTTGTCCCAAGAATAATTAACCAAAGCAAACAGCGGGAGACAGCAACCCACATCCAAGGTTGCAAGCCCTCCAAGGTTTTCAGTTTGGACCTTGGTTTCTAAACAGACCATGTTGTTGCAGGCCAGCAGCCAGGATTCATTGGAAGTGGCCGAAATCTGAAATGGGCTATTTTCCTCTGGTTTTGCTGTAAACAGATCTCCAGCATCGCTGCCTGCCGGCTGAAAAGATTGGCAGCTCAGCCAGCCACACAGGAAACAGGCCGCTCAGCCCAGATGGGATTCAGGCAGAGCCAGGAGGGACCCTTTCCGGGCCAAGGGGCTGAAGCAGCCGTTCACCTCAGCCTCAGACACTCTGGGGAAAGCCAGCTCCAACCAGGGGCTAGCAGAGCTCCAGAAGCCTTGGCTAAGCGAGGCCCAGATGGAACGGGGGGCTTTTCCCGGCAGGGATCAGGTGGCCCCCTCGGTCACACATTAGGCTGGCCATTCCCCTCGCTAGCTGGGAGTGACCCGCTCTGGGGCGAAGTGTGCGGGAGCCCCGGACCGGCCCCTGCAGAAGAATTGGCTGGCTCTTCAAGGCAGAATTCCAGCCGAGAGCGTCCCGACGGGTTCCAGGGGGAATCTTCAGATTGTGATGCCTTCATGTGACACATAAAGGCATCGCAATTTCCCTTCAGATGTCACAGAGCCCCAGCAGAGGCTGCACAAAGCCAGGCTGGAACGAGAGGGGAGCTTGGCTAGCACTTGCTGCCTGTCTCCCTTGAAGCGCAGAAAGGGTTTTTCCGGAGCTCAGGGAGGCGCGATCCAAAGGACTCAGGATGAGGTTCAAGAGGAAAAAAGACCTGAAGGAACAAATCCGTGAGCTGCAGTCCATCATTCACATCCAAGGTAGCCCTTCTCCGGCCCTCCGAGGGCACCCACCTGGCGGATCCTGGCCTCTTCCTCACTGGGGAGGGGAGGGGAAATGCTCCCGGCTGGCCTTTTGCAAGTGGGTCTTGCAAGTGGGCTGCTGCTTATGGGACGGCCTCCGAGAAGGGCCTGGCTGGCTTCGGCCTGCCCAGTGCAGCGGCCCTCTTCCCTCGGTGGCTCCTGCGAGTCCCCTCCACCCGCCTTTCCTTCCAGAACAAGGGAGGAAGCTCCGCACCCACGGGAGCGAGGAGGCCGTGCGCAAGAACAGGGAGCTGATCGGCTTTCTGCGCACCACCCTGCAGGGAGAGATGCATGAGCTGAATCTGGGGCTGAAGGTGAGCGCTCTGGGTCTGCCCCACACGCCTGCCTGGCCCAGATAAGCCCTGCACAACAGAGAGGAGGGGAGGCAGGGTGGCGCCTGCTTTGTTCCCAGCTCTCTCAGCCGTCCCGTCTGCAGCTCTTGCCTCTCTTTCTCTGCTCCTCGTAGTATGACCACGTCACAATCAGCAGGGCCTGCCTGGACAGGAAGCGGCTGAAAATCGCTTTGGCGGAATATACGGTGGAGGTAACTGGTGGGCACGTCCTTTCCCCAACACCTTCCCTCCAGGTCTCCTCAACAGGCCCTTCCACCCCTTCCTAGCAAGCTCGAGAGTCCCTGAGCAAACGGGTCTTCGACCGGATGAACACCCACAACGTCCTCTTGTACGAAGTCAAGCGCCGGGGGAAACGCCTGGAGGAGCTCCAGGTGACGCTGCAGGACCTCATCGACCTGGAGATGGCCAGTCCTGAGGTCCAGCTCCAGCTCCAAGTGAGATCCAGCTGCCCTGCCCTGCCCTGCCCTGCCCTGCCCTGGGATGGAGGACCCTGGAATGCCCAGGGAGGGTGGGGTGCCTTTCCCTCTGCCTTTTCTGTGCATGCAGACCATCCGTCAGCTGGAGAACAACATGGAGAAGATGCAGGTGAACATTGTGACGGCAGACAAGGTCCACATCCTGTACGTGAAGATGCTGGACGTGCTGAGAGCTGTGAGTCCAGTTTGGTGCTTCTGGCCAACCTCTGCAGAGGATGCTGGGTCTGATTAAAATTGTGGCAGTCCCTCCCTCCTCATGCTTGGGGAGGGGGGTGGGGGGCCTCAATTCTGGGCACTCCGCAGGACTGACCTCATTGCCAGAAGCATTCCCCTGTGGGTACTGGAAAGAGAATGCCAGGTGGGAGGGAGGGAGGGAAGGGAAGGGGAAGGAAGGAAGGAAGGAAGGAAGGAAGGAAGGAAGGAAGGAAGGAAGGAAGGGCCAGTCCCCCTTCCTTCCTGCTTCAGCAGCAGTCCTGAGGGCTGTGCCCGGGACAAGGGTGCCTCCCCCCATTGCTGCTTCCAAAATCTCCTCTTCCCTGCAGGAGCTTTCTCAGCTTCCTTTTGTCCTGGATGCCTTGGCGCGCCGGGTAGGCACCTACCAGATGGAGCTGCAGGGGATGGACCTGATGGCAAAGGATATGCAGGAAGCCACGGAGGCCGCCAAGGTGAGAGCCACCGGAGCAGTTTTCGGCCGCGTCAGCCTCTGCCCGGCACTCCCACCCATCCCTCGCTCCCCCTGTGGCTGCAGATGGACATGGCCAAGGCAGAAAATGAGTTAATTGCGGAGAGGAAATTCCGGGAAAACTCGCTCAGCATCCAGAGGAAGCAGATAGAGCGGATCCGTGCGAAGGATGCCGTTGAGAGGCACCGTCGGACGGTGAGTCCTTCTGAGGCGCCTGGAGCCCTGCTGGCCTCCTTCAACAAGCCGGCGTGGGGTCTGGCTCTGAGGGGACCCTCCGCATTTAGGCTGCCTCTGAGGGGACACAGCTCAGGGCTGAGGCCTTGAGCCCCCCGGGGGCTTCTGGGTGCCTTCTGCAAGAGTACCTTCCTCTAATTCATGGCTTGGCTTCCATTATCAGCAAGCCCGGCGAGACATGGACTTCCCTGCCCTGATGATCCGTGAAGGAACAAGGGGTAAGCAGGTCGGTGCGCCCCCAGCCGCCCTCGTCAGACGTTGAAGGTTCCTCTGAGAGGGCACAGCCTGGAGACGGAGAGCGCTGGGGTCGAACCCCCCTGCAGGTCTACTGTTCTTCCAGGGGCAAAGCTGGAGGCTTCCAAGGCCCAGATTGAGTACCAGGGTCTAGTGACCAGCGAGGTGGAGAAGATCAAAAGTGCCGTGCAGTGCTCGCATCTCTGGGTATGTCCAGGAGCTCAGCCCAGCCCATTTTTTTTCTTTGCTCTGACGCGATTCCTCCAAAGCTCAGCCGTGAGCAGGGCAAGGGGAGCGCCAGCAGCCCCACATCCTGGTTGCCCCCTTTTCCTCTTCTCCAAAAGTACCCTCAGGAGCTGCGTTTTAGGAGTTCTTTCAGGGGGGTGAAAACGACCCGCTTTGCCACCTGGTGGAGTCCTCTCACTTGCAGGCAGGACTTTCCCGGCTCCCCAGTCTCTGGCTTGGCTTCTCTCCTTAAGCCCCTGACACCAGCTGAAGCCCCCACCCGTGTTTTGGGGAAGGATGCTCTGATGCAGGGGAGAGGAGCGGGTTGGGGAGGTGAAGCATGGGGAAGGATGGCCCACAGACGCCGTCTTCTCTTCCCCCTCTCTCCCTCCTTTCCTGCCAGGATATCGCTGGGCGCTTCATGGCCCAGAAGAAGTCTGAGGAGAACCTTCAGCAGCAGATCGCCGAATCAGAGAAGAAGCGACGAGGCCTCAAGTCCCAGCTGAAGGCTCTGGAGCTGCAGCGAGCCGAGCTGACATTCCACCAGTCCCCGGGCTTCCTCAGGTACCTGCCACCTTTTCATCAGCAGAGGCACCAGGACTGAGAATGCCTCAGCACCACCTCTGGCTGCCTCAACCCAACAGACCCAAAGTAAAGTGGTTTCTCCTCCCAGCTCAAAGAAGCTAGAAGAGAATCTGCGGAAGAACCTGGAGGAGGAGGAGGAGCGGCTTTCACGGGTCCATGGCCAGGCCTCCAAAAACCAGGAGCTTCTCCTCCATTTTGAGAACGGGGTCGACAACCTGATCCTCAGGCTGTGTGACATCCATGTGCCTGGCCAGGTCTGTCACTCTCTCGGAGGGTTTCTCTAGCCAGCAGCCCCTCGGCCGGCCCTGACCCAGAGCAGGTCCCCCAGAAGCCCCCTGCCTGTCCCCCCCTCTCTTCTTCCCTGCCCCTTATGCAATGGGAGAGCCAATGGGGAAGGCCCCTCCTGCAGAGGAAACGGTGGGGAGCTGGAGGGTGGGCCCAGGTGCAGCGGGTCTGACCTGGACCTCTATCCCCTGCTTTACAGGAGGGCTTCCCCAAGATGGAGGATGTCTTCGAGAAGCTGCAGTTTTGTGAAACAAAACTTCTGCATTTGAGCCGAATGATGCTCAATTTGCCCTCCGACAGATTCAGCGCAGACGAGAGCGACGAGGTGAGCCTTCTCCTCCAGCTGCAGGCTGCAGTCGCTGCCTTTATGCTGGGCCAGGAGCCAGAGGGCTTCCCTGCAAGGTGGCGGAAATGTGTCCCAGGAATGTGATCCAGGGACTAACAGGATCCTGATTCCGCCTCCTGTGATATTGCCAAGCTGGTTCTGGGCAATCCCCCCCCCCACTTCCTTGACTTAGCCCATCCCTGCTTGCGTACCAGGCAGTCACCCCAAGCCTGACAAGGAAGTTCTGGGCTGAAGCGGCCATGGGCATCTTGGTGGGCATCCCGCTCTCTCCGCCCCCTCTGCCCGTTTCAATGTCTTGCCTGCCACCTTCTAATACGTAATTTGGATAGACGTTTGTCCACCTCCGGAATTTCCTTGAGGAGAGCACTGGGGATGAAGAGCAGAACCTGAGAATCGCTTTCAATGAGGACGAAGAGGATGTCCGAGGTCTGTCCTGTCTTGGGGTCAGCAAGGGATGGGCTCCCAGAAGCTCCCCACTGGCATTCATGCAGCTCTGGGCTGAGCTTCACTGGGGGAGGGAGGAAGGGGGGGCTATTGCTGCCAGATCAGAAAGTTATGCCTTATTGGGAGTTTCCCACCAGATGCCTCTTCGTAGGCTTTCTTGTGAAACAGCCTTTGAGTGTTTTCCCAGGGAAGGTTCACCGTACTGGATCCACTCTGGAGCAGCAGAGTAGGGGCTGCCTGGCCTCAGTCCAGCTCAGCAGGTGGCCACCGTGTGTGGGTGAAACAGAGGTTTTCTTTGCCTGACCCACTGCCACAGGGTCAGCCTATGGGCCAAACCGTGGGTTCCTTCCTCCCCTTGTCTCTCTTTAACCCTCCACCACAGAAGCCTTTCACTTTGCGGACATCGACCACAGCTACGTGCCCAGTCGGGAGGAGATCAAGAAGGAGGGCCTGAAGCTGATTGAGGAGAAGACCAAGGTGACTAAGAAAAAGCAGAGAGGGGCCAAGAAATGAGAGTTCCAAAAACTTGGCTGCCCTTATTTCTCGGAAATGGAGATTTGACTCTATCCTCTATTTTTTAATCTGTATTTGTTTAAAATGATATTGAACGTGTTTTAAACACGCCTCCTATGGAATGTGCAAAAGAGAAGTCTTCCCATGTTTCCACAAATTGAGAATAAAGGCAAAAAGAGGTTGATGTTGGCTTGCTCTGAATCCGATCTTCCCGGGTGCGGAATTCTTTATAAAGGCGATAACAGGGAGGTTGTTCAGTTCAGGCTGGGAAAGTGCAACTTTGGGCGCAAACGTTGCGTAAATCTTATTCCGCCAGTCACACACACGAGGGCTGGGTAGGAGAGATTTGTGGGTGGCCCCGAGGTTGCAGGCACGTTATTCCACGACTTCATTTGGCCTTTCGGAGGCAGATCCGTTGAACTGGGACCGCGAGCCACGTTTGCGGGGGCTTCGGCTGAAGCGGCTGGGCAGGGACGGTGGCGCCGCCCGGCTTGCCTGGGGCGGCTGCATTTCGCCTGCAGACACCCAGGCGGCCGCTTGGGGGCGCAAGCAGACCCAGAGGCCGCCTACTGACGGCTCCCAGTTCAGCATCCAGCGAAGGACGGAGTCCGCCTTTCGAGGAGCCGTTATTGTCCTCACGGGCCACCGTCCTAAGACTGCGCGGCTTGCCTGGTTGCTAAGCTACATGACGCACGGTAGCGCGCGCCATCCCGCGTTTCCGGCCCTTTCCGTCCCGAACTGGTTGCCGTAATCCGCTAAGGTGCTGCTGTCCTCCGTTCCCCCCCCCCATTCCTACATCCGGAGCTGTAGAAGGCAAATCGGGGCAATGACGTGGTTTAAAAGCGGAGCGGCTTCGTCCTCCCGCCACGGCGCGGTTGCTTCAACAGGCTCAAGTATCCCTTTCTGTCCTCGTGGGATTCCCGTAGTTCCGGAACACATCCGCTTCCGCCCTGCTTTGGCGGGGCATCCCTCCCGCCAAGTCCCTCGCGGGCTGCCGTAGCCCGGCTCCGCGCGCGCGTCCTGCGTCGGCGCCGCCTTCCTGGTTGCTCGGAGAGGGAAAGGGAAGATGGCGGCGGCGGCAGTGGAGGCGCCCGCCGTGCAAGCAACTCCGGCTGCCCAGACGGGGACGGCGGCTCCGCGGACCGCGCGGAGGACGGCGGCTCAGCGGCCGCGGGCGGAGAAGTAGGCGGCCTCGCCGGCCCGGGCGCAGCAACCGCGGAGCGCTGGTCCGCGCCTCACGATGCTGTCGGCCTTGAAGAAGCTGGTGGGCTCCGAGCAGGCCCCGGGGCGGGACAGGCCCATCCCGGCGGGGCTGCAGTCCATGAATCAGGCGCTGCAGCGGCGTTTCGCGAAAGGCGTCCAGTATAACAGTGAGCGGCGGTGGCGGGGAGGGGAAGAGAGTCCCGCCGTGTCCCGGAGGGCCCTGGACGGGAGTGGCTGGGCTGGCTCGGAGGGCTCCCTTAATTCCTCAGTTTTTCTTTCTCTAGTGAAAATTGTCATCCGAGGTGACAGAAACACGGGGAAGACCACTTTGTGGCATCGGCTGCAAGGAAAGAAATTTGTTGAGGAATATATCCCAACCCAGGAGATCCAAGTCACCAGCATCCATTGGAATTATAAGAGTGAGTTTTGCCAGCCGTTGGGGATGGAGAAGCACTTTCCTCTTTGCTGTCTGAGCCGCGTGTTGCTAGAGTCCCCTCATTGCTAAAGGCACGTTGCCAGTATAGGTTTCTCCTCATTTTTTAAAACACACTCAGCCATCTGCTCTGTGCCATGTGGGTCAAGGGTAGTTCTAACAGTGTTCGAGTTAACTGCATTTGAGCAATCTTTTCTAATTATGTGCCTGGGTGTCTTTTCCAGCTACTGATGATATTGTGAAGGTTGAAGTCTGGGATGTGGTAGACAAAGGTAAGGTCTCTTCTTTCATTCTGATGTTACAGTCATCATATAGTATTTGGATTATGCCTGATAGTATTGGCAAACGGGCATCTTCTCTACCTGCCCCACTGGGTTCCTAACGGTGAGTAAGCATCTCTTTGCCTGTGGCTATTGCTTTCTGGTGCTCCCTTGAATGCCCCCCCTGGAAATGCATGTTAAGCTTGTCCAGTTGCTGTCTCGTCTTTCTACAAAGTGATGGGATGTCTTCTTTGAGCTTGTAAAGACAGAAATGTTGTGGATGAGATTTGAGGTGGGGTGTAGGAAAAGCTACGTATTTGGGGCTCTCTTTTCTGCTCAGCTGGGAGACCGACAACTTTCAAAACAGTGTTCTTCTCCTTTCAAACACCGCAGGCAAGTGCAAAAAACGGGGAGATGGGTTGAAGCTGGACAACGATCCTCAGGAGGTGAGGCACACTCTGACCTGCTGTCTTGTAAAGCACCACGTCCTTCATTTGCACATGGTGCAGCCTCTTATTTCCTGTAGGCTGTGAGCCATCCAGGGAAGCAGCTGGGTTTTTTTGAGATCTTGTTCTCTTTCCACCCCAGGCAGAATCCGAGATGGCCTTGGATGCGGAATTCCTGGATGTATATAAGAACTGCAATGGTGTCGTGATGATGTTTGATATCACCAAGCAGTGGTAGGGACTGTTGCCCTCTCCATTCCCTTGCTGTAACTCTGTACAAGAGAAAGGGCTCCCGGTCTGAAAAATGCAAAAGCTTCTTGTTGTCAGACTTTACACAAAGCTTGTAGGTGATCAATGCCTTTATCTGTTTCTGAAGAGCTGCGAGTGTCAAGTAGAACTGATAAAGTAGGTGGCTCTGGGGGGGAGGAGGGGGTCTCCTTCAGCTGCTCTATTAACTCAAGAGCCCTGTATATTGCGCTAGGCTGCTGTGCCTCCTGTAGTGGCAGAATTGACCTGGACAAGCATCGTTCAAGGAGCTCTCCTTTCCATCCAGGACCTTCAACTACATCCTGAGAGAACTTCCAAAAGTCCCAACCCATGTACCAGTGTGTGTGCTTGGGAATTACCGGGACATGGGCGAACACCGGGTGATCCTGCCTGATGATGTGCGGGAATTCATTGACAACCTGAACAGGTAAAAACGTCAGTCTTGTTAAGGAGCTTCAGGCTACCTTCCTGGCAGGGAAGCCTTCCTGAGGCCATACCCCTCTTGTGCTCTAGTTCATTGCTCCACTTAAACCTGCCTTCTGGCTGGACTTGTTACCTAAAGAAGCAAAGGTCTGAATGCACATTCTGCTCCAGTAGTGAGCCGCCATTGTCCAGCATTTCACCAGCACCCTCTGGATACATGTGTGCCAAATTACTGCCCAGGCAGTCAGTGAATTCTGCCCAGACCTTTTCTCTGTAGCTGGCATCGACTTTGCCAGTGTCCATCGGCAGCAACTCGACAGGATGTGAGTGGGCAAAAGTGCTGTGTGCATATGATGAAATGCCTGCAGATTCATTGTGGGCCTCCTTCATCTAAGCTAGGATCCACCAGCATGGTGGCTGATGAGGGTAAGGTTATGGGCATAAAAACTGGACGTGCCCTACCGGAGAATGGATGTATGTTCCATCAATTCTTGTGCCTTTTTGGACAGCTGTTTTCAGTTGAATTGCTGCCTGCCTGCCCCATTCTTCGAATCTGGCATTAATGCACGTCTTGGAAGGGCTATGGACAGCATAACCCCTCACAGACCGAGTCAGCTGCAGTTGGAGGGTCGGTCCCAAGCGATCAGCCTGCTTGGGCCCCTTTGGAGCCTCTGGCTCATAGTCTGTCTCCCCTCTTCCCCTCCGCCTTTTGACATTGAACAGGCCCCACGGCTCCTCCTACTTTCGTTATGCTGAGTCTTCCATGAAGAACAGTTTTGGCCTCAAATACCTGCACAAATTCTTCAATATCCCCTTCTTGCAGCTACAGGTAGGACTGCTCCAGCTCCCACCTTGTAGCGACCGGGAGGGGGAAGCATGGCCCCAGCCCAGCCAAGTCCCGTCTTCTGCAGGAAAAAGAGGAGTGGGTTCCCCAGGAGTAGAGCTGCTGCTGCTGCTGCTGGCGCCCTATAGCTGGACACCAAGCACCTGGTTGCCTGTGAGGAGCCACACAAACCAGAGGAGAATCGTAACCTCTGTCTGGATGTGGTCCATCACTAGATGCTCTTTTGGGTTGGGGTGCTTCCACCTCACTGGCCACAAGTAGCTGTCCAATTCATGGCCTCCCTCTTGGGGCAGAGGGTAGCAACCCAGAGGTGGTGTACCCAAGCAGCCCCTTGCATGCTCTGAAGCAGGTGATCTCCCCTCTCGTCTCTTGCAGCGGGAGACTCTGCTGCGGCAGCTGGAGACCAATCAGCTGGATATTGACGCCACCTTGGAGGAACTCTCTGTGCAGCAGGAGACCGAAGACCAGAACTATGAGCTGTAGGTCTGATGAAGCCGCTGGGCTTTGGGAGTGACTGCTCTCTCCTCTGACCTCAGGCTCTGTCTTCGGGCTTTTCTGGGAGCCTCTCGCCTTCCCTCTACAAAAAAATCCTGGGAATTGTAATTTAAGTCTGGCCTCTGCCACTCTGTCTCCTGAAGTCACGTTTTCTCTCCCAACAGGTTCCTCGAAGTGATGGAAGCTCGTGGCCGGGGACGTGTCTCTCCTTTGGCCACCAATGGACAGACCCTCTCCTCAGGTTCCCAGTCTCCAGTGGTTCCACCTGGCAATGCTTCCGGGGGCTCTAGCCCCGGCACCCCCCAGCAGAGCATGGCCAACCCCGGCCTTGCCACGGACCCTGCTGAGCCTCCAGAGCCAGGGCTGCTGCCTGAAACCCAGCCTCCCACAGTCAGTCCTGCACCAGCTGTGCCACAGAAACGTGGTATCATCGCTCGGCTCTTTGGGACCTCCCCAGCTCCCGAGACTGGTCCTCCCTCTCCAGGTGAGGGTGCAGTGCTGAAAACATCCAGGAATTTGGCTCCTAATGCCATAGTTTGGTGGGGATGGGAGAGGAGCAGACAAGAGGGACACAGTGCCAGCTTTTCCAGACCCATTGTTGAGCCTGGACCTCTGTCTGCTGGCAGACTTTAGCAGGGCTTCGCTGGTTCCCTAAGATGCTTCTCTTGTCTTCCAGATCCTGCCGTTCCTGCCCTCCCTGCAGTTGCTCCCTCAAAAGTCCAGAGCGTAGAAGACTTTGTCCCCGAGGACAGCCTGGATCGCAGCTTCCTGGAAGACCCCATCCTGCAGAGAGACAAGAGGGGGAAACAGGCAGCAAAGGCCCCCACCGACAGTGACAGGTAGGAGAGCCCGCTCTGCAGCTCTGTGCTGCGGGCGGACCCAACACAGCTGCTCTGCACTTGGCAGTGGCCACAAGGGCTTGCCCCCTCCCCACATTTATTTTCTGGGATTGTTGGTCGGCAATGCTGGGAAAGCCCCTGTCAGCCAGAGAGAATTCAGGAGGAAGACCATCTTTCAAGCAGAAGCTTCTGGATTTTGTCCCTGCTTTTTTCTACTCCTGCTTGCAGGGTGTGTCATCACCCTTGATTTTCTTCTTACAGTGACAGAGATGCTCCTGGTGGGAACCCCTTGGTTGCTGGCTTCCAGGATGACCTGGACCTTGATGAGCGTCTGTCCAGCAAGCCCCCGTTAGCAGCAGAGCTGGTCCCGAGCAAAAACGTGAACCTGTCAAGTGAGGAAGAAGAATCCTCCAAGTTCTCCATCATGGGGGCTGAAGATGCTGGGTCAGAACAAGAAAAAAAACGGTAAAGGGGAGCTGGGAGTTGTGGAATGTTGCTGACTACAGGTACCAGCAGCCTGGTACAAGATGCTCAGGGAGAGGGAAGGAGCTGGGCGCTGCCACAGGGGAGAAGATCAGAAGTTCTCAATTCCAGCTTTAGTAAGTCAACAACCGTTGCAGTTCAGTTTAAAATGTATCATTTAAACTTTTCATCAAGTCTTAAATAAAACCGTAACGTAATGCGGCAAACTTTAAAAACAAAAAGAAAAATATAGCAGCTAAGGAAATTCAGTTAACGTGTACATTTTGGAAAATGCATATGTTAGGAAAACCTTCAGTCCCTTTCTTCTGACAGCTATTGCCTTGAGGCCTCCAGGCGCTGTCCTCACTTTCCGTTTCCTGTTTGCCCGCAGAGCTTCCAAAAAGTCCGTGAAACTCCTAGAGCCCTCGGCACCTCCCAGATCCGCGGAGCTGAAATCTCTCACCAGCCAACCTCCAGCTGAGCCAAGCAAACGCTTGATGGCAGCCAGCGGCCCTGAGGCCCGTCCGCCCCCAGCGCCCTCTGCCTCCAAGCAGCAGGACTCCGAGAGCGACTCGGAGGGGCCCTTCGCCTCGCAGATGCTCTCCTTCGTGATGGACGATCCGGACTTTGAAAGCGAGGAGTCAGAGAGCCAAAGGAAGTGCCCAGTAAGCCCCTGGCCCTCAGTTCGGTCCTCTGGGTCCGTCACATTGTTTCCTGTGGGTCAGCTGGTGGTTTTGTCGCCCCAAGGAAACACATGCACAGGTGGCTCAGAAGGGATGGCTTCCCTGGGGGTCGTTTTGGCAAGGGGGGTGGGGGTGGCAAGAAGGGCTCTGTAGCGGGCCCTAAAGTGCCTTTTCCCTCTCGCCTCCAGGAGGAATTTCCAGTGCGAGAGGACCTGTCAGACCTCTCCGAGGAGGACCCCCCTTCCAGACCTCCCCAGCTGCCCAAACCTGTCATCCGCTCCTTCAGAGTGAAGGACGAGGCCGATCTCTTTGGGTTGGGCCTGGATAAGCCGCTTGGCCGAGACAGCAGCGAGGAAGGTGAGGGGCCTTGGCCAAAATCAGACCGCGGGCCAGACTCTGCCTTGCGGAGAAGGCTGCGTGCAGCCACGGGGCGAGCACGCTGAGGGCAGCGGCCACGGTGCTTCTCCCCAGCTGAGCATCGCCACAAAGGCACCTGTCCCCCACTAAACCTGGTATCGGTTGGAGGCTTTTCATGCTGCCGCAGGTTGTACCCGTGTCTAATTGGAAGCTAAACCTCCTTTTTCCTGCCCCTTCTCATCCCGGCTGCAGATAAGGAGAAGCAATCTTTGAAGGAGAAAAAGAAAAAAAAGAAGAGAACTGGCAAAGAGGTGGGTCAGCCTGCAGGTGTGTTTGTAAAAGTGCTAAGCTCCCAGAGGGGACCCTGAGGGCAGTTGGAAACTGTAGCTAAAGGAATCCACAGAATCTGGCTAAACAGATGCCCAGGCCCTGCGCAGAGCAGCCCCCAGAAGAAGCCTTTTGTCACCCAGAGCAGCCCTTGCCTTCGTCTGCCCTCCAAGGGGGGAAGGCGGCTCCTCCGCTTGCAAGCTCTGTGGGGCTGGCCCTGGGAGAGCCGGGCACGGCCTGGATTTGGGGCAGGTGGGCAGCCTGGAGCCTGTTCAGGTGCTGCTTGGCGTGTGTGTGTGTGTGTGTAGAAAGGATGTTCATCCTTTCTCCCCAACTCCTTTTCCAGGAAGAAACAGAGAAAATTTCAGGGAGGAAAAAGAGCAAGCCCAAAAGGAGCAGGGAGAAGGAGGAGGAGGAGGAGGACAGAGGAGAAAAGGAGAAGAAGCCGCCCAAGCAGCAGCACCAGCGGAGCAAAGCCAAGCCCAGCAGGATCGATGAGCTGGAGGCCTTTCTCGGGGGCGGTGCTGGGGCCAGCAAGCAGCGGGGGGGTGGAGACTACGAGGAGCTGTAGCCCCCCCCCAGCCAGGTGCACGGGGCAGGCGCTCCCAGCCTCCACCACCGCCACCCCTGCCTTTCTCTGCCGCCCGTTGCCAGCGTGGCTGGAGCCCGAGGAGGCAGGAGCTGAGGAGGGGCCTGCAAGTGGCTCAGAAGCCCCCAGCCTTTCTGTCCTTTCAGCCAGGGAGCCCTGGGTTCAGGCTCCTGAGAGGCGGCCCAAAGTGGGGCTGCCCATGGAGGCTGCATCGTGTCCCCCACACGAAGTAGCTGCTGCTGCCCGTCAAACGATGGAGCCGTGCTCTTTTTTTACAATGGCTCCCCTGAGGGCTTGGCAGGTTGCAGGGTCCCAGCCAGGTGTGTGTGTGGAGGGGGGGCAGAGGCCCTCCACGTTGTGGGGGTGTTTGAGTAACCCGTGGCTTCATTCTGGGAATTTGGGGAGAGAAAGACAGACATAAATGCCCCCCTCCTCCCTGCCCTTTTCTCGGTTATCCCAGTTTGTGTACCCTGGAAGCCCGTCTGCAGCTGAACATCTGGAGAAAGGAGGCTAGCTTCCGCGGGTGAGGGGTGCTGTCCGCCCTTTCCTGGCTCCTCCTCAAGTGGGCTTTCCCCCTTTCCGCATCCCTGCCTCCCAGTCACTGCTGCGTGTGTTTGCCCTGAAATCCAGCCAGTTCTGGGTAGCAGCTGGTCCCACCTCAGCTGCGTTTTCTGTGTCCCCCCCTCCCCTCCCCCCTCTTGCACCTTCACTCGCCCTCCTGGCCTTGCTGGGTGCCTCCAGCGATCAAATTCCGGAATGCACTCCGTTGTGCCCTTGTGTCCCTAGGTATGGATTGAAGTGGGGCTCTTTTAACATTCCTTCCCTCTGCCCCCCCCCCCGCCCTTGGGGAAATGCACAGGTCATCCTTGACCTCTAGCAGCTTGCATGGCACAGGTAGTGCTCTCAGGGCCTCTGGCCTCCCTCCTTACCCTCCATGGGGGGAGGGTGTGCATGACAAACCTACTCTTGACCCCTTGCCCCCCCCCAAGCCTCCCAGCCCCATTCCCCCTTGCCCCCCACACATTCTCCCCCCTCCCAGGAGCCTAGTCTCTGGAATGCAGCTGGCAATAGAGACTTGTGCTGATCCCCTCCTTTTTCTTTTACTCCCTTTTTCTCTTTGCTTTTGGGAAAAACAGTCCCAGTGATGCACTCCTCATTCCAGCTGATAAAGCTCTTGGTTGTACAATTGTGTCTGGTTTCCTTTCTTTGGGTGACCCTCAGCTGGATCCAGGCTGCTTCTGGGTAGCTCTCTCTGTGCGTGTGTGCGCCCACTTTGTGACCCCATCCTGGGCCCAGCAGCTCCTGCCTGGTTGGGAAAGGGCTGGGCCTGGCCTGCTCCTCCCTTGCTCTTTCCTCAGCCCCCCCCCCCCCCAGGCGCCTCCTCCTTGGCGCCCTTGGGGGAAAACTGGCGGCTTCACCAGCTTTTATTACAGTTCTTTTAATCGCAGTTTGTGTTCTTTTGTGTAATTTTAAAAAGTGCCCCTCTTTTGCAGATGGTTCCCCCCCCCTCCCAGGCCTTGTTCCTGGCCTTTCTCCAGGTGTCCAGCAGAGCTAGCCTTTGTATTTTGTACAGGAAGGGTGAGTGACCCCACGCGTCTTTCTGTTGTCGATTAAGTTACTGAGCTCCAGGCTTCCCTCGCCATCCCATGCTGCCACCCACCACCACTGGCGTTGCTGTGGTAACCTGCCAGGCAGAAGAGGATGCTCTGGTCCCCAGGAGGACGGGGGAAGGAAGAGGGTTGGGGGATTCTTCCCAACCTTGTCACCCGCAGAGAAGCTGAGCCCCTTCGTGGCCTGGGTGTGAATCCTTTGGGGAAACTGCTAATTCCTGCCATCCCTGCCACCTAATTCCACCCAGGTGAATCCTTCCCACTCAGCCCCCCCCGACCCCCCCAGCAAGTCAGCCTCAGAGGGATCCCAGCTTGATGAGAAGCCAGAGGCCAAAGTGGCCAGCTGGCGCCCAGAGCTTTTCTCTGCCGCCTCTTGTGCCCCCCCAAGCCATCCTGATCCAACCCCCAGACTGAAAAGTGGGGAGCCAGATGGCTGGACAGGCACGTCCTTGTGCTTTTTAATGGCTGGCAGGTCAAACAGCAACAAGGTGGGACAGTAGGATCGTGTGGCCACCCGGAGCAGGTATTTTTTGGTAGCTAAGAAAGACCAGCCTGGAACTGACGCCCAGCTTGTGAGGGTGAAGATTCATGGGTGCCCTGCAAGTCCCAGCCCGGAAGCGGAAGCGGAAGCCCAGGAGTCGGCTGGATGTCAAAGACACCGCCTGCCAGTGGAACGCGGCAATCCTAACCTGAGCTGGTGTGGTGGCCCCTGCGGCCATCTTAAACTGCTGGGGTTTTTTGTTTTTTTTTTTTGTCCAAGCACATCAAGCCATTGCCATCCCTTTCTTGCTGAAGATAGAATAGTTTTCCTTGGAAGCTTCATCCTTCTTCCCGAATAGGCTGCCGGGGGGGGGGGGGAGTGGACGACTCGGGATGCCCCTGTTCCTAAAGGGGCCGTGGGCGGCAGGGTCTGAAGGGGCGTCCTCAGGGCAGCTGCTCAGGGACTGAAGACCCACAAAGAAGAGGGATATTTATGATGAATTTGCTTTTTGACAGATTTGGCGTGTGCCAACCGGTCCTGGTATGTGGCGAGCTTAGAGGCAGTGGGGTGCTGACCCGTCCCCACAGAGAGCCCACCGGAGGGCAGGATGCCCAGTGCTACAGAGCCTCTGCCTCTCGCAGCATGACCCATGTTGGGGAGCCCCTTCTGTAGCCATGAGAGCCCATGGAGCCTCCACATTCAGGAGCAGTATAGCATGAATGCCAGTTGGCACAAATGGGCAAGCTGTCCTGTCGTGTCCTGTTAACGTGGTTGATCCAAGAAGGCGAACGCTAGATGGAAGAGAAGAGGCAGAGTAGACTTCAGGCTTCCCTTTCTGGAGCTTGGCTGGCCGGCCTTTCCTGGCCCCAGACCTTTAGCCCACCTGGCTGCAGGTGAGAAGGGCACTCCCTGCCCGCCCTCTTCCTGGCAACGTCACCCTGAGCAAGACGTGGCCGGCTTCTGGCCAAGCTGTCCAAACAGCCTTCCTTCTACTGGGTGTGGGGACCACAGGTTGCCCTCTGATTTGGGGGAGGGGGGGCTGGGACAAGCAGGGAGAGTTGCTGCTGCAGGCCAAGGAGGAGTCTGGCCAAGGAAAAGAGGGCCCGTGATTAATGGAGGGCAGGCTGGGCAGCCTTCCCGGACCCCTTTCCTAAGATGAGGGGAGTAGAACTGGGGCGGCTTTGCCCAGGGCAGGGGGTCCCAAGAGGAATCCGCCCAGCGAGAAGACATCCCTGGCATTCTGACTGCTCTCAGAGGCCGTCTTCCTGCTGCACCTGCAGACCAGGGATGGGGGAAAGTCTTCCAGTTCTCCCCAGCCCCACGGGTGGTGGGAAAGAAGAGACTTGGCTGGAAGGCCCTCTCCTCTGATTGGCTGGGAAAGAGAGAGCCTCCCTCTCCCAAAGCAAATTCAGCGAAGGGGGTTGGGAGGGGGGCAAGCACCGTGCCTCTCAGGTGGGTCCTCTGGAAAGCTGCAGGTCAACTCCCCTTCCTCTGCCCTGTGACGTTGGCCAGATGTTCCTGGTGGATTCCTGCCTCCTGCTCTGCGCTGGACGCGTCCCCTTTAAGGGCTGCCAGTGCCCGCTGGGGGCGCTGTGGAGCCCAGGAGGGGTCTGTGCCGGCCGCCAAGCAGGTGCCGGAGCCTCTGCTGCGGGTGTCCAGGCGAGGTGAGGTGAGGAGGCCGGAGCTTGCGGCAGAGGGGGGCAGTGGGGAGGTGGGGGCAGGGGACGGCATGCTAGGGATGCTAGGCATGCTAGGTGGGGGCAGGGGACGGCATGCTAGGGCAGGGGACGGCATGCTAGGCAAAGTCCTGCTCCCTGAAATGGGGAGTTCGGTGCGTCTCCAGCTGCAGCTGGGAGGGGACTCCCCCTGCCCCGCCAAGCCAAGGAGCAGCGGAGGAGTTCCGGGCTGGAGGATGCTGTGCCTCTTTCCTCTGGGGGCAGCTTCCTGCCCCCTCCCCCTGCTGAACTGCTATCCATCCGCCAGCCATGACGTCTTCTGAAGAGGGAGCCCCCCCCATCCCTTTCCAAGTGCTGGCATCATCTGGACCCAGCAGCCCTCTGGGCATGAAGAGGGGCATCCCTTCCTAGGCCAGCGCCCCCTCTGCCTCGCTCAGGTGGGTAGACAGGGTTGGCCTGGATGGGGAGGTGGGGGAGATGGGGGGGCGTTTGTGGCCCTGCCCGATGCCCTCCAGATGGCCAGGCCCCTTGGGTTGCCTCTCCGTCACCTGCAGAGCCATCCCGGTGGAAGGCAGGCAGCGGCAGCCGAGGGGGGAGAAGTCTGGTGAAGGCATCTGATGCTGCTGCTCTTAACCCTTTCTGCTCATCCCTCTTCTTCCTTCAGGAGGCTTTTTGATGCAGAGCGAGAGCTTTGTTCCAGCAGAATCTCCTGCCGAGAAAGCTGAGTTGTGGGAGGGGGAGAGAGAGAGACACGCTTCTAGACATGTGCAGAGTGCGTTTCCTCCCCAAGCTGCGAGGCAGAGTATGTAACCGGGGTGGGGGGGGGCATGGTGAAATTCAGATGAGGGAACCCCAGGTGGGTGAGCTGAACCCCACCTGGTCTCCCTCCCCACCCGGCCCTTTGCACATGGTCTGTTGGGTGCAGGGACACTAGAGGAGGACGAAGTAAACAGGCTTCTGGGTTGCGCCTGCTGAGGCTGGCCGAATCAGAATGGCCGCGGTGAGGTCTGGGCTGACATGTTCCCAGTTGGGGAACTCCGTTCCTCCGACCTCCACCGAGAGGGGAATGGTGGCGCAGGCCCACCTGGCAGCGCTGTGGGGAGACAGCTGTGCAGGGAGGATGGTTGTGGGGGAAGGGTCAGCAGAGTGAGAGGCGCTCTTGGCCTTGTGGCTCCTGCACCAGGAGAGCCGACTTCCAGGGGACGAGCGCCAGGACGCCAGACCTGGCAGGAAAGGCACCTGGGCAAAGGGCGGAAGGCAAGGAGGGTTGCCTGGCAACAGGGTAGCTGGCACTGCCCTGCTGCTTGGAGTGCCAGCTGATGGCAGCATCCGTGTCATGCTTCGGTTCCGGAGTTCCCAGGGATGTTCTGGCCTGGAGGAGCTTGGGATGGCGCCCTCCCTCCTCGTCAATGGGCGACTCAGAGACCGAGAGTTGAAATCCCCTTTCTGCCTTGGCTTTTGCCAAAATGGATTGGAGAAAGGGAAAGGATTTGCAGAAAATGCAGACCCTGTGAAAGGGATGGGGGAAATAGGAAAGGAAGGGGGCGGTTTGGCAAGGCTGCAGGGGATGAAAGCCCTACTGTGGGAGGGGGTGTCCAGTGGGGGGTTTCTGAGTCACGTGGAAGGAGATCTCCTGCCTCCCCCGCCCCTCGCTCCGTTTCCCTGGGATTCAGTGCTGATGGGGAACAGGCAGGTTCTTTGATCCAGGGACCTTCTCTTTTCATAGCTCGGCAGTGAGGAGGGGAGTAAAAATAGATTGCTCCCCCCCTTTTCTGTCCTCCCTGTTTGATCGCAGGGATGCCAGAGGCTGATCTTAGTCTCTGTCTGAACCAGCCAAGCTTCTCTTCCTCCTGGCCCGGCCTTCATTGGAATTTCCCAGCGTGCATTGCTTCCCAAAAGAGGGGTGTGTGTGTGTGTGTGTGTGTTGTGTGTGTATGTGTGTATGGGAGAGAGAGAAAGGAGAAACCATGGTAACCATGGTCTAGGAGTGAGACCTGCTTGTATTTCTGTGTCTGCTCCCTAGTGAACATTAGCGAAAATGCCAGCCACTTTTTAGGCTTTCCCAGTCCGGCTCTGGCCAGAGAGCGGCCCGTGCAGGGTAAGGTTGCCAGTGCATCAGGAAGCGTTTGGCCTGATGAGAACGTGAGCCGAGGGGAGGGGGAGCTCCTTCACCTGTCACACCAAGCTTTGGCTTGCAGAGCTGTAGCTTGTGAATCAGCCATAACTGGCTATGATCCCAGCCCTCATTATCCCCTCCAACAAGTCATCTACCCTGAAAGCAGCCACGATGGGACTCCTGAGAGCGGTCCTTGGGCTGCCTCTGATCCCCGATGGGGGCTGTGCTCAGTCTCCCTGCTGAGGGCCTTTTTGCTCCCTTTTTCCAGGCCTGGGTGCCTTCACTGAGATGATCTGAGGAGGGCTGGAGAGGAGCAGGACGCTGATTCTAAGATGACCCGAACAGACCCACCTGACGTCCTGGTGTCTGCCGTGTATCAGGACGTCCCCGTGGCCTCCGTGGGCTCCACCTGCTCTGCCTTCTGCCAGCCCACCTGGCGATGTGATTCCTCCATGTCTTCGTCCCTGGAGAACCAGCCTGCCCAACACTTCAACAAGAGACACTGTCGCAGCTTCGATTTCCTGGAGTCTCTCGACGACCCACCGCCTGTGGCTCCCGTCATGGAGCGGCATCCCCGGCGGCCCCCCACGCCAGAGCCCTCCTCGGCTCCCGTTGGCAAGAGGGTGTCTCTCCGGGCTGCTCTGCAGGAAAACTACATTTCCCAGGGGAAGGAGGTGCCAAAGGAACTGGCTTCCCGAGCCGAGCCCAAGAGGCGGCCCCGATCCAAGAGCGCGCCCCGCGTCAAATCCACCTTCACTCCTGTGGGTGTCCCTATGTCTTCGGGCTCCCCACCAGCCCCAGCCAGGAGAGGACGGGAAGTCCATCGAGTGTCCCGAGAGCCCCAGCGGGCAGAAGCGTCCCCTCGCCGGGAGAGCAGCTACGCCTCCATGAAAGCCTTGATGAGCGAGGTGCACCCCATCAAGCTGCAGCCTCAGCGGGCCGGCGGCAGCCGCATTTCGCCTCTCTGTGTCACGGGAGCAAACTGCCCTGAAGAGGCTGCCCTGGCCCCCAGGCCCCCACCGCCCAGCGTGCATGTCAAGCGTCGGGTGGACATTAAGCCAGATGAGGCTGCTGTACTGCATGCAGCTCGCAGTGCCAAGGGGTCACATGGCCATGGTGAGGCTCTCCTGCCCTGGCCTCGACCTCCAGGCACGCCCCATAGCTTGACCGTGCCCAGCAGCAGGCAAGTGCCCATGTCTCGCACTCCCACGCCCAGTGATACTTATAGTGGGGAACAGCGAGGGCTGGCCCCTTACCCCCCTGAATTTTGTGACGGAGGTCCTGCTGTGCCTGAAAGTGGCTGCCTTCCTTACATCCCCTACGTGCCCCCAAAGTTCTTCTACACGGAGGAGCCGGGCAGCTACAAGTCCTACCCTCCTTCTTACGGGGGCCAGGTCCTCCCGCCCCAAACCTTTTATGCAGAAGAGCCTCCCCCAGGGGGCTTTTACCCTCTTCCGGCGAGAACCTTTTTTGTGGAGGAAAACAGGACTCCTTTTCCCATTCAGGAGGCCCCTGCTCAGGCTTACTATGGGGACGACCCACGCCTTTACACTCCCAGGACCCTTCCCGCAAAAGCGGTTTACCCTGAAGACCCCAGGCCTTACCCCGCCTTGAGGGCCAACCCACGCATCTTCTATACAGAAGACTATGGGAAATACCACGAGCGGGAAGCCCTGTCTCGCACTTACCCCCATTCCCGTGTGGCTCCCTCAGTGCAGTTTAACGACTGGTACTGCTCCGAAAGGGGGACGGTGCCCTACCCAACTTGGCAGATGGCCCGCTTTCCAGCTCATCAGCCTGCCTCCCAAGCCATGCTGTCGTCGTGGCACGCCAGCTATAGCGTCGGTCCTCCCCGGCTTGGCATGGACACCAGGCACTACTCCAGATCCTGGGACAATATTTTGACCCCTCACGTGCGCCGGGAAGACCAGCTGCTGCGTGGCCGTAGCTACGAGAACCTGCTGTCGCGCGACCCGCATCGTGCTTTCTCCCCTGATGACCGGCGTCAGCCAGTGGTGGTGAACCTGTCCAGCTCTCCCAAGCGTTACGCTGCCCTTTCCCTCTCGGAGAATTCCCTCATTGAGAAGATGCACGCTGACCGGGGGCGCCATGGTTGGTTCGTCACGCCAGAGATCACTATCACAGACAACGACATCCGAGCCAACAACGGGCTTGGCAGGCGTGAGAGGCGGTCAGCCAGCTGGGATGTACTGGATTCGGGGGATGCCCGGGACAGGGGCTGCGTCCCACGCCAGCCCTATGGCCCGGAGCCCCATGCCGGAGAAAGCGCCGCCTGCCAGCGTAGCCTGGAACAGTTGGACGAGCTCATCACCGACCTGGTCATCGACTACAAGCCGCCTTCCGTTTGCCCACCTGGCCAGGTCAGCAACCTGGCCGATCAGCTGCGGCAGTTGATCAGCGATGGGCTGGGGCTGCCTGCCAAGAAGCCGGAGCCCTGGAGACCCGTGGAGCCCCATCCCACCAAAGAGCAGCCTGGCCGCAGCTCCTTCCACGACGAGCTGCGGAAGGACCAGGGCCGCCGCTCTGCCGAGCCCCCGGGCCCCCCCAGGCCCTCGGAGACAGGCCCGGAGGATTGTTCCCCAGATCTCAGTGCTGACGAGGACGACCTGATGATGTGCTCCAACGCCAAGTGCCGCCGCACAGAGACCATGTTCAATGCCTGCCTCTACTTCAAGTCCTGCCACAGCTGCTACACCTACTATTGTTCCCGCCACTGCCGGCGGGAGGACTGGGACACCCACAAGGAGAGCTGCATCTACGGGCGGATTGGTAGCACCTGCCGCCACGTGCTGCAGTTCTGCCGGGAGAATGGCGAGGTGCACAAGGCCTTTTCCCGCATAGCCAAGGTGGGCTTCCTGTCCCGGGGCCGGGGGGTGCTCTTTCTGGGCTTCCCCAGTGCAGGCTCCGCCGAGAACTTCCTGCAGTTTGGCCTGGAAAGCTTGCTGATGTCCCCCACTTACCTGTCGCTCCGGGAGTTGGAGGGCTATTCAGACAACCTTGGGGAATACGCCCAGGAGCTGCAGGAGGCGGGCCAGCAGTACGACCCCCAGGAATGTTTCCTGCTGAATGTGACCGTGGCGGTGGGGCAGGAGGTGCCTGACCGCCCACCCCCCAAGGCACAGGTGCCAACCGTCCGCAAGTACGCCAAGATGGCCTTGGCGTCCTCCAGCCCCGAGAAGAAGATCCTCAAGAAAGAGCGAGATATGGAGACGCTGATCTTGACGCCCCCTCCCGGCACGGCCGACCTAGACAAGGACGGTGAGGAAGGACGCAAAGCGCGAGAAGTTTGCTTCATCAACATCCAGCGCGAACTGCGCATCCGTGGCGTCTTCCTGCGGCACGAGTTCCCGAAGGTTTACGAGCAGCTGTGTGCGTTTGTGGAGAGCAACCAGCGCTTCACACCCACCACCATCTACCCCATTGACAAGAGGACCGGCAGGCAGTTCATGTGCATGATCCTGGCCGCCTCCGAGCCGCGCACCCTCGACTGGGTGGCCAGTCCCAACCTCCTGGACGACCTCATGTGAGCCGGCCTCTCCTTCCCTCCTCCTCTGACGTCAGTGCTCAAGGTGGTGGCTAGTCTGTCCCGCTTCTTTCCAAGCAAGGACTGGTCGAGACTTGGCCCAGCAAGGGACGGAGCCCCTGGGAGAGCGTGGCCCTGCGCTGGTGGCCGTTTGTTCGCCCTTCCTGGACGTGGGCATTTCTCATTGTTTGAAAGACGAGTCCAAATCTGGTCACCTTCAGAAAAGCAGATATTTTAGGAATCCCATGCTTTGTTGGTCAACTTTTAAGATAACCATGCTCAGCCTTACAGTCCATTTTATTTCTTAATTCCTCCAGACAAGAATGTTCTTACTTCATGGGGTGATTTCCTTTATTATGAAAAATTGATCCTGGAGAATAAAAGTGAGGTAGGGGGAGTTTGCCACTGGCATTTTAGTTGGGGATCCTTCTCCCTGTCAGCTTCATCTTGCCATTTTGCAGCTGGGCTTGGCAGAGGGTGGGTTGCAGTATTGTCCTCCTCCCCCCCCTCCATCTGCTGTCCTGTAATAAACCAAGAGGGGGGGGACTGTCAGCTTGGGCATACTGTGCGTGGAGGGGGGAGGTTGAGTCACTTCCCACCAGTGATGCCTCCTCCTCCCATCCAGGCAGGGAAATCCAGGTCAGGAGCTGTGAGGAGGAAGAGCGGTTGCTAAGGTGATGCTCCATCCCTTGCAGGAAGGTGGGAAGGGGGTCACTGCAGCCGGCAAAGAGCTCGCCTCTTCCCCATCCCTTGGCTGAGGCTCCTGGAGGAGTCTTTCGTGCCTGGCAAAGTGAAGGGCTGCACACAAGAGAGCCTCCTCGGTCCCAAAGTGGTTGGGTATGCATGGGGAATTGGGTGGGGAGGGCTGTGTGATTGTTTTTTGCCTGGGGAAGGAAAATGTATAACGCAGAATAGATTTGAGCGGAGAAGAGAGCTCCCAGGCTCTGCCTCTGGAGAAGCGCTGGACAAACCTTGCTGCTGTGTTCCGAGTTAGGTCTGGAGACCTAAGAAACCTATTTGATTAAAGATACGCTGTGGCTTGGGAAGGAGACCGCTTCCAGCATCTCTGCATAGGTCCCTGCTCTAACCAGGTTGCTTCCCTCCCTTTTTCTTGCAGAGAGTAGTCTGTCGGTTGCCCCATTCTCATGCTTGTTCAGGCCTATGAGGAAAGCTGGGGAATCTGCCAAGGGCCACTGCGTCTTCCTAACGCGTCTTCCTAAATCTCTCGGGTGTATTGAGTAAGCAAGAGAGCGAGGGGAGGTGGGGGTTTCAGGAACCAGGTGAAGACAGAGGGCTGCATGTGTGTGTGTGTGTGTGTATTTCACTGCAGTGTGAGCATCCTCAGGACCCCAAATGTGAATGGCTGGAGGGAGGGAGGAGGAAGCTGGCCTGGAATATCCCTCAGCTCTGGTATTGCCCCAATGTGACAAAGGTGCGGCTGCTTCATCCATTGCACTAAACTGTAAGGCATGCCCTGTTTTAGCAGAGTAAGCTACAGTGGCACTCTGGAAGCAGACTTCTGCTCTCCTCTAAAGAAAAGTCCCTCTGCCAAGGGGGAAATGAGCTCTTGGTCTGCAGGCAGCCCCCTCCCCCTTTCTGGCAGGCTAGCTGGAGGACCAGAGGCCCCCCTTCTACCCCGTGTGGCCCCTCAAGTCCCTTCTCCAGGATTCCCTGGTGAGCTTTATGAGCTCCCCCCCCCCAGGAGAAGTTTGCTGATCCGTTTGCTTGGATTTTGCTTGTGGGGTGGGATAGGGTGGGGGAATCAAAAACACTCTCTAGAAAAACTGGCTGGAAAGAAGTGGTTGTGGCTGAAAAGTTAGAAAGGTTTTCTCTTGCTCGGCATTTTCTGACATTACTATTGTTCCAGGTCTGCTGGTTTCCCACACTGCAGTTTGGATAATAAAAAAATAAACATATGAATAAATATATACACCCAGACACGCTCGTATAAATATATAGATACATAGATATATATAACTGAGACAAACTATTCCGTTTGAATAAACATAAACAATAACTTGAACGTGCTGTGTTTGCATTTTTGGAGGGAGGGAGGCTGGGACATTCCCCCCCCCCCCATTGCTTGGACTCTACCAGCGTCTCTGCTCGGAGAACGCCCCACGCCAAAACAGCCTCGGGGGGGCGGGGTGTCGCTTTTCTATGGCGGCTCCAATGAGTTCTGCGGGGTTCGACTAGATGACCTTCGGATCCATCCTGACTCAGTTATACACTGTTTCCTCCATTTGGGGAGGGCGTCCTTGTGGGACGACTCCCATCGACTCGGACAACAGCGCCACCCTCGTCCAGCCACGGTACTGTACGCTGGGGGGGGCAGTTCTCCCCCCCTATACATTGCTGGGCCGGAGCGCCACCTTCTAGGATAGGTAGCAGAAGGGAGGCTGTTGTGAAGGCAATTTGTTCTGCCGATGGTAGCGAAGAAATCTGCATATGCTCAGAGGAACAGTCGCTTCGCTTCCCTTTAGCAGACATTTCCGCCCGGTCGCGGGCGATACCAAAGGGGAGCGGATCGCGCATGCTCAGTGGTTTGGCTTTCTCCCGCCCTTTCCCTTCTGCGGTACTTCGATTGGCCGCTACATCAGCCTCGTCGTGGTTTCTCATTGGGCGAACAGTCGCGACCGCTGCGCCTCGAGGGGGTGCGTCGGCAAATGCGCGCGCAGAAGCTCCCAAGCGGGCGCGGAGATGGCGGACGGAGACCTGGCCGGCGTCCCTGACGCGCTCATCGACTCGGACGGCGTCTTCAAGTACGTTTTGATACACGTGAAGCCCGCGGGAGCGGGGCCGGGCAAGGACATCGTCCGCGGACATGCCTGGGCCGAATACCACGGTAGGTGCGCCCGGCGGGCGGGCCCTCCTCTGGCTGCCGGCAGCCCGGTCGCTGCCATTGGGAGAGGATCCGGGGAGGGCGGGCTCTGGGGCGGGGCTCCGTTCCCCGGCAACCGCGGGCGCCCCCACGAGCGGGGTGGGCGCGGGGGGCCTCCGGGCTCGCCGACCTCTCCTCCTTGCCCTCCCCAGCCGACCTCTTCGAGCGAGCGAGCGAGGAGCTGGCGCAGCGGGGCTTCCGGTGCCGGTGCCTGGGGGGCGGCCGGATCTCCCACCGGAGCGGGGCCAAGAAGATCCACGTCTACGGCTACTCCGTGGTAAGGACCCCGCGGACCGTCTGGCTGCCCGCCAGCGCAGCCCAGAGCTGGGGGCTCCCCCGGGGCCACCCAGTCTCTCCCTGTCTCCAAGCAGAGAAGTCGGTGATCTCTGACCAGATCTGGTCTCTCTTCGGGGAGTTTTGGGTCCTGCCGAGTCTTCTCTGAGCAGGATTTGCTTTCTGGGTCCTTTGAGCTCCGTCACTTCCCCAGCATTCCCCTCAAAGACCATCTCCATCCCGTTTCTGCCTTTGCCCCTCGCCACCGGATTTAGGGCAAATAGGAAGAAGATCCTAAAGCCAACTGATACGGGATTACTTTTCTTGGAGGAAGCATCCCTTCTGAGGGACAGCCTGGGTAGAGAAGGCCTGGCGGCCCTGTAAGATCCCCCTGCCTGGGGGAAATCCCTTCCTCTGGAGGATGCTGTAAAAAGGATTCAGAGACGCGTCCTGGTAGAGCAGAGCTGGGATTTCAACTCTGCTGCTCCTTCGCTGGCTTAATTTGCCAAAGAGACTAGCCTGCCTTGCCTCTGGTATCTTACAAGGCATCATCCTGTGTGCAAGTAGTAATGGTGGCCATGCTTTTTGCAGGGTTTTGGCCGAGCAAAACATGCCATTGCCACAGAGAAGCTGAAAACCAGGTACCCCGATTATGAAGTCACCTGGGCTGATGAAGGATACTGACCTCTGCCTTTAAGCGTTCACCTTTGCGACTGAATGGCAGCAAGCGGGACTGATGCGGGAAGCCACCTGTTGAAAACTTGTCATCCTCTGGATCTGTGGTGGACTGCCCTGTGATCAAACCTATTGTGCCTGTACATTAGTAGAAGGAAATAAATGATTGCGCTCGCTGCTTAAGTGTCATGTTCCCTCGCACATCTTCCTGGATCCATTCTCTTCCTGTGGTGTCTTTTGACTGAGAGAAACAGCGGTGAAGGGAGGAAGATAGTTTTACGTCTGTGCAGACTGGGAAAAACGCAGAGGAAGCAGCTGAGCCCAGCCAAAGCAGCTGAAATAAGCATGGACACCGGCACTATTTAGAATGCAAACTCACAAATATTGTCTTCATCTGCCTGCCGCAATGCTTCTGCTTCTGCTTCATGTGTACCCAAAGCAGCAATGTTCCCAAGGCCGCTTGCAGTTTAAGTTGCTTTGTTTTCTTGATAAGTAGCCAGTAGGTTTTTTTTTTCCTGGAAATCAGAGCACTTGTAACATTTTCTAATCTGGAAAGTTGTGAGAAACTGCAAGAAAGGGAAATAACCTGGCCTGATCCAAACTGCATGCTGAGGAGGGTTTTTTCTCTGTACGCTCCTGTCCAGTATGGAAACTTTGGTTTCTTTGGCGGTTCGGGTTGGTGCTTAAGCGATGCTTTGGCTCATCCTGCTATGACCTGCAGATGAGATTTCTGGACAGCGTGCGAGTCTGCAAGATCTTTCCTGGAGATTATTGCACGAAGTCCAAGGGCAGCTTCGCGGAAATGAGGTTGAATTTCTTGCATGTGAGAGCAACAAGCTCTTGTGAAACCTCACTTTCTTGGAAACAAGGTTTTGTAATCTGTCGCAGTCTGGCTCTTGGGGTGTATTTAAATAAAAGAGTACGTGACTTGTGACTGAACTGGAGACAGATACTCACATTCCTACTTGATAGCAAGGTGACCGGAGTCCCTCGTTCTTTCCCGTCCAAACAGCTGCCTTGCTCTTTAATAGCAGCGCTTTCTACGGCAAACAATAAAAAATAAGACGCTTCCCAGGTAGCCTTGCAGAGATGTTAGAAGTCCCAAGGGATAGCAAGAGTCTGGAGGAAGAGCACTGTGGGCTGAGGAAGAGTCTCTCAGCAGCCCCTTCTCGAGGGGGACTGAAAAACATGCCCTCCTCCAGTGTTGCCCAGAGGTCTTGTTCCAGCCAGGGATTCACCAGAGAGGCTGGCCTGAAGAGTCTTCTCCTATTCCTGAGGCAGGCAGCAACCAAGGCTGTCATCCCCAAGCCAGACCTGAAGTTAGACCAGAAAGGGTCCAATGTTTGATGCCACCTCCTCTGCCCTATTAAAATAAAAGGCTGGTAGAAGCAGCCAGTGATCAAATGCTCTTGACCCTAGCAAGGAAAGGAAGCTGGGACTTGGTGGCGCAGGGGCACAAGGGTGTCGGTGCGCTTGCTAGATTGGCACGCAGCTGCCGTTCTTTGCTTTTATTGCCCCACAAATGTGTCCAGGCCATTGGGACCCTCTTCGCACGGAAGGTGGGTGGGAGTATTCTGCCCGCGTCCCCCTCCCTATGGCCAGTCCCCACCCTGTGCCTGGGCAGTGCTTCCCTCCTACTCGGCCCCTGCCGCGTGTCTGGAAGGCAAGGTGCTCGGGGAGGTTGAAGTCCAGGCAGCCTTTCCTTCTTCTCAACTGAGCAGGCTTGATCTCGCTGCTGGCCAGGATGCGGGGATCCTGGGGGCTGCTGTCCTTCCTGCTCCTGCTGATGCTGATGGGTGAGTTTTCAGAGGAGGAAGCCACTCCGTCGCTAGGGCTGCATGGAAAGATCCTAAATCGGGGGGGGGGGGAACTGAACTTTGATTTGGGGGAACCGAAGGAAGGGAGCAGCCAGCCAGCCTGAACACCTGTTCCTCCTGGGGCCGTTTTATGTCTGCTGAAAAGTTTGAAGCCTTTCATGTGTTTTGAAATGTGCCCTTTGGGGCTGTGCTTGAGTTTGTTTAAGATGCAAGAAAAGTGGCTACTTGTAGAGAGTGAACATTCTCTTGGCTTGTCCAAGGTCTGGCGTTTTCCTCTAAACTCTGTCCGCTGACACCTTTGTACGTTTCTGGAGAGAAGCAGAAGTTTGTCTCCAATCCTGAGAACTGATTTACACTGAATATTCAGATCTCTACTTTCTGCATTCAGGTCCGAGCAGTGTCTTGAAGTCTTGAATGTGAATTCCCTAAATGGGATCGTTAGCACCCTCCTTTGCTCTTCTGGATCAACGAGTGCAAGATTTTGTCTTGACCAGCCTGGTTCATGCCAATCTCTGCTGAATCGGCTTCGTGGGTCTTTGCTGTGTGGGAGGAGGAGGGAGCCGTGGAGAATGGCTAGAGAAGGAGCAGGTGGAGCAGTAGATCGTCTCCGCGATCCACCCATTTGGGGCTTCTTCCTTTGTCTCCTAGCTGGGCCTCCGTTTTGTGTCCAGGCTGTGTTTGTCAACCGATGTGGGAGTCCAAGAGTCTGTGATTTTGTGTGTGATTGCTGGGATTGTTCAGATGAAAACCAATGTGGTGAGTTGATTTCCTTTCTGTTCCTTCGGGATGAGTTGAAGAAAAAGTTGCAGCAGAAAAGGTGGGTGGGAGGTGAGCATTTTCTGCCGAAAGCAGGAGGGTTCCTCCCAGTTCTTTTCTGCCCGTCCCAGCACACACCTGGCTGTGCTGAAGAGATTGTGGTCTTGGAATGGGCTCCGACGGATTCCAAAAGGCTTGTGGACAGGATCAGTTCCAGACAATTCCTGGCCATGAAATCCTCTCCTTCGTCTACCTTGGGCTGCTCAAACCCCAAGAAAGGAGACCCCCAAGGCCCCTCCCTCCCCACAGCAGCCCCCTTGGGGTCCCAGGGTCCACTGGCCCTTCCTGGCTAGCCTTCCGTCTGTGGGCAGGGGCAGGAGGCGCTCCGTTGAGAGCGGGTGGACTGCTGCCTCTTCCAGGCTATCAGAAGGCATCGGCTCTGGGGGCTCCCTTCACCTGCACCTTCGAAGGCACCATGTGTGGCTGGGAGGACATCAGTAACACAGCCTACCGGTGGGACCCAGCCCAGGCCAGCATCTCCACGGGGCTGCAGCTTCCTTTCGACCACACGCTGGGCACGGATTTGGGTAAGCGTTTCTGCTTGGGGGGGGCAGGCACAGGGGCTGGAAATCTTTGTGAAGCTCTTCCCAAGTGTGTGTGTGTGTGGGGGGGGGGGAGTCCTCACCTGGGAAGCCTGGAGTTGAAGCACTCCCAGGGAGGTGCCCAGTGCTGGGGGCATCCACGTTCCATTTCTCCTCTTAGCTTATAGGGGCTTGTCTCGCCCCAAGATGAGCCCTAGGTGTGGGCACCTTTCTTCCTGCTTCCTCTGAACACCTCCATTGCCCTCTGGTACAGGCTGGTACATGGCAGCGACAAAGCAGAGAACAAAGCCCTCGGGCCCGGCTCGGCTGAGGTCCCCCCTGTTGCAAGGAGCAGCTGCTGCTTGCGAGATCCGAGCGTGGTATCACCTGTGGGGATCAGGTAGGCTGGCAGGGGGCAACCAACAGTGGGGTGGGCCAGTGCTTTGCATGATTCTCCCCCCCCACACACACACATAGCCCCCCCACCCCGCCACATACACTCCTACACAGTTGACAGAGGAAACAGGTTGAGGTGAAGCCTTCTCAGCTGGTTGAAAGAGCTCTGCCATCTCATGGTCTTTTGAACACAGGTCTTAACGAGACTCAGCAGCCTCTCCTGACCTTGGAGCTGAGACAGGGAAATCGCACCGTCCGCCTGTGGCAAAGCCCTCCCGGGGGCACCTACTCCTGGCAGGAGCTGGTGGCCTACACCGGTCACATCCCGGGCAGCTTCCAGGTATTTGACACCTGAGCCCAGCCCTGCCTCCAGCCGTTGGGAGTGCCTCACTCTCACCTGGAGTCTTTCCCTCCCTTGCAGGTCACCTTCTCCGCGGTCCAGGGCTCCTCCTCCACAGCACAGCTGGCCCTGGACGATGTGGAATTCCGGAACTGTGGCTTCCCACGTAAAGGGGGGGCGGGGGCTGTTCCTTTATTTCTTCCTGAACGTCTCTGCAATCTCCATTCCCTATAAAGGCCCCTCAAAAGAGGCCCCGTGGGATGCTGTCTCTGTGACCTGCAGGCTACTCTTGCTTGCCTACGGGCCATGGAGGCTGGGGATGATGGTATGTGTTGCAGCGCATCTAGTGGTGGGAAAGGCAGGCAGACAATGGATCGCCACAACCATTCCCCAAGAGAGATTTTGCCTGTGAATAAAGCAGGGTGAATGCAGCGTAAAGGAAAAAGCACTTGCTGGAAGCCCCCACAGTTGGCTCAGCTGCTTCCCTGAAATTGACAGGGTGACACGCACAACGGTGCACTTGACTAGAAAGCGGCCTCCATCTGACCTTTTGCCCCCCCCCCAGGTCCCCAGACATGTGGCCCAGAGGCCTTCCACTGCCAGCAGGGCGGCTGCATTGCAAAAGACCGGGTGTGTGACGGCACCGCCGATTGCAGGGCTGGTGAGGATGAAGCCACCGCTGACTGTGGTGAGCACCGTGGGGGCAGCTGGGGCGAGGGGCTGGCTCTCCGCCGTTTGGCCTGGGAGGGAGCCTCCTCCTGAAGCTGGATCTGCAGCTCTTCAGATGGCAGCGAGGCTGCTGGGGGGGGGGAGGGAAGCACCAGGGTCCTGCTGCTCCCCTTGCAATTCTCGCCTGAGGATCCGGAATGTGATCTGGTGGTTCTGCTGCAATTGACGTCTGGGGCTTGTGGCTTCTCTTGAGGGGTCTTTAAGGAAACCCACAAACCTCTTCCCTGTCGCCCACTCTTGTACCCGCAGCCTCCTTCACAGCGTGCTCCTTTGAGGGGGACTGGTGCCAGTGGACGGTGGTCCCCAACGCCACTCTTCCCTGGCTAAGGAACTCCAGCCTCCACCTGGCCTCGCCTTCCGTGTGGCCTTTGCGGGATCACAGCACCAACAGCCGGGAAGGTGAGTTTAGGCAGGCAGCGAGTGTTTGTCTGAGGATGCAGTCTCGGTTCAGAATGACTCCGTCTGCAATAGGCGCCTCTGGACTTTTTAGGGTCTCTGCTATCCTTAAAGCCCAAGGCTTTGAGTTTATTCCAGGAGAAACCCCCCACCCCACCCCACCCCGGCTGCTTTCTGCTTTGAGACAATCACGGCAGATGCAGCTGCCCAGCCCCAACTGCCTCCTGCCGCTCTGCTGCTCCTGCTCTGGGCTGCCCTGAGAGAAGCCGTTCCCCAGCAGCTGCCCTGGCTCTGGCGGTCTGCGGGAGGGGGTCCCAAAGGGGAAGGGGGGGAGAGGCATGTTGGGGCTGGTCAGCTGCTCTGGCCCCGCTTGCTGGCTTCTGTGCTCGGAGCCCTTTCGTCCCTTGACTCCGTGTCCCGGTCAAGGTGCAGTATTCTGCTCTGGATTCACCCGCCCTCCTGGAGATAAAGGGATCTGCCGGGGTCACCAAAAGCGCCAGACCCTGCCGGACAGAGTTAACGTTTACAAGGCTTTGAGATCCAGGCAGCATCTCTGCGTTGCTTGATCCACTGCAGGCTTCTTCGCCTACGTCGAGACTCAGAAGCCGGACCTGCACGAGGGAAGAGCATGGCTGAGCAGCCCAGTGCTGGCCCCGGACACCCCCCAGCCCTGCTACGTGAGTCGCCTGAGCATCCCTCGGCCACAGCTGGACAGGCTGCTCCTCTCTTACAGGGGAGGGTGTTCTTGGAGGTTTTCCTTCCGCTTGCGGTCAGAGCACGTCCCCCTTTGAGGCTGGCCTCTCTTTCTTGAATCCCCCTCTGGCTCTGGGGGGGGACGGACAGGGTAAGAAGGAAACCTCTCTGTGGCTTCCCAGAGAGCGGAGGCCTTGGTTGCTCCAAGCCCCCATCCTCCCCTGGGGTTGCTTGAATCCAGTGGCCGGAGAGGAAATGGAGGCTGGGTTGCCCCTCCCTCCCTCCCATCAAGTGGCTTTGGCTGGTTTTCCTTCTAGCTGGTTCTCTACCTCCACCTGCATGGCTCAAGCAGCAACAGCCTTAATGTCTACAGCCAGACGGCAGAAGCTTTGCGGCTTGTCTGGAGCCGCACAGGAGACTTGGGCAGCTACTGGTTCCGAGAGAAAGTGGATTTCACGGAGGCAAAGAAGTTCAAGGTAGACGAAGCCCAGAGGCCAGGGGCCTGGACCTCTCAGGTGCAGCAGGCTGAGGGGGGCAAGGAGTCTCGGCAGCTGCTCCAGCTCTGTCCGGCGGAGGCCTGCATTGCCCTGCATTGATCAGCTGGGACTTTTTTCTCCCAGATCATCATCGAAGGCAGGATTGGAAGCGGACACGAAGGGAGCATCGCTCTGGATGACCTTCGCCTTTCTCCTCACTGCAGGGCGGTGCAGGACGGTGAGTAGGAGAAGTAGGATGGCCGGCTGACCCACGCTCTCCCAGCCGGCCTTTACCACGGTTGAAGCCCTCTTTCCTCCCCTCCTGCTCTTGGCGGAAGCCCCAGGAGCAACAAGGCCGTCTCCGAGGGAGGGAGGGAGGGAGGGGCTGTCGAAACAACTGTGTTACCTGAGCCTCCTGCAGGCCCCCTCGGATGCCCCTCGGCCGGCTGCGCCCCTGGCTCTTGCGGTGAGGCCTTGGTGTTCGGTCCCTTTCAGCCCAGCTCCCGACTCCCCCCGTGCTGCAGCCCTCCAGCCCTTGCCCTGGGGGGCAGTTTGCGTGTGACCAGGGCAAGCGATGCCTCGACTTCCAGCTGCTCTGCAACTTCAAGGCCGAATGTGAGGACGCCTCTGACGAGCAGCAGTGTGGTAAGGGGCTGGGGATTCTTGAAAAGAATGGGGCACAGCAGGCACCATGCGGATCCCGGGGCCCCTTCCCCGTCTCCCCAGCCCCACGCAAGCTCCTCAATAGAAACGTTGCTGCTGTGAACTGTGTGGCCTGTCTCTTGGGACCTTCCCTTCCAGGAATGACCGATTTTGCCAAGGACTCCGGGGGCTGGATGGACATCAGCGTGGGCCGCCTGCGATGGACCGCCAGCCGTCTCGGTCCTGTGGGTAAGAAGGTTGCAGGAACGTGTCCCTGCCAGGTTGGGAGTGGAACTGGGGCAATACCGTGGAGGAGGAGGGTGTTGTAGCTGTCTTTGGCTCGGCCCGGGGCCCACCCTGGTCCTGTTCCCCCTCAGGGCCCGTTTTCGGTCTGCAGGAGGGGCCGGGGCAGATGTTCTCCATGGCGCGGGCTGCCACTCCCGTGTTGGGCCCTTCAGGCTTAGGCTGCGTGCTGCAGATGGATTTCACCACTGGCCCAGAAGGTATCGGGGCTTCCTTTGTCCCCTTGGCACAGCCAAATGCCGCCTGGCACTGAGGCCGCTGCCTGCTTCTCCCCATCCCGCAGGCCTCCTCGCCCTTGCCGTTGCCGATGAGAGCCTGGGCACCCACTGGTGGGCTTGGTCTGCCCGGAGCAACGGGACCGCTTCCTGGGCAGAGGCCATGGTCCCTCTGGGCGCAAGGAGAAGGCCCTTCCAGGTAGGGGGCCGTCTCCAGTTCCTTCAGGATGGGACCCGGGATGAAGGACGAGGGGAGGCCGCCACTTGGGGTGCCTGGGGCTGCAGCTGCCCTGAGAGGAAGGAAGAAGCGGGGAGCTGCAGGTGAACACCTTGCCCCGTTTCTCTTTTCCTGAGCTTGAGCTGCTGGCCACGAAGCGTCTCGATGGCCCCCGGGGACCCCTGCCACTTGCCGTCAGCAATATCTCCTTTGTGAACTGCAGCGCCGAAGCCCCAGCCTCAGGTATCAGCCCCTGCCTGCCCTGCGGGGCCTCGCCCACTGGGTTCATAGAGGGGAAACTGCAGGCACTGAGGACAATGATGGCGGGGGGGGGGGCACAGTCATCCCCTCCTGTTGGCTGCGGCTGATCTGGGGAACCTCCCCTTGCTGCTGCTTCCTCTCCCCCAGCCCCCCAGGCAGGGCTGTCCTGCAATTTTGAGACCGACTGGTGCGGCTGGTATCTGGAGCAGAACGACGGCTTTGAATGGAGGCTGAGCAGAAGCCGAGGAGGGGCCGTGGACCACACCACAGGCACAGGTAGTGCCGCAGAGGGGCTGGGCTGGGGAGCTGACTTTGAAGCCCGCGTGGGGCTTGAAGGTCCATCCAGAAGCCCCAGCGGACTCCACCCGTGCCGAAGACGCCTCTTCCCCGCCAGCAAAAGCGAGCGTGGAACAGGTGGGGAGGTTTGGCTTTCTCTGGCTCAAAATGACGTTCTTGCTCCCGAAATCAGAAGCGCTTTAGAAAGACGTGTGAGCCACAGAGTCCCCCGTCTGGTTCAAAATTCCCCAAGTTGCCACGGAGCCCTTTGCTGTCTGGCGGCCTCTGGCAGTCCCCCTCTCCTCTCCAACAGGCTCTTTCCTGTTTGTGGATCCTGGTGGACCCTGGAATCCAGGCTGGCGTGCCCGGCTCGTTTCTGCTCCCCAGGCGGCTGCTGCCACCGTAGTCGAGACCTCCTGTCTTTCCTTCTGGTATCGCATGGATGGCCCCCAGATTGGTAAGCCTTCAAACTCCCCTGCAGGAGCCCCCCCCCCCGCCTGCTGCTCCCTCCGAAGCGGAGCCCGGCTAGCAGGGGCAGGTGGGGGGTTCCGATGGCGGTCAGGTTGTTCTAGTCCCGCATTAGAGAAGAAGCCTACTGGGGGGGGGGGGCAGCAGTGGCCCCTCCCCTCTTAGCAGCCTTCGCTCGGTCTTGTGCAGAAGGCTCAGAGGCGAGACAGGGCTGCCCAAAGGAGGCCCTGGCTCTTGATCCGGCCGCCTTTCTGAGTTGTGTGGCCGTTTTCTGGGAACTGCTCCCATGCACAGGCCATCTTTCCTCTGCTGAGGTGAGGGACCTTCTCTGATCAGAGGCTCCGTGCCCTTCCAGCGTGCTTTCCGTGAAGGAAGGCGGCATCCTGAGGGATTTCTTCAGCGTGAAAGAACAACTGTGTTGCGTGATGCTTCCGGGTTGGCATCCTTCAGAATGTTTACACGTACAACACAGACACGGAAACTTTGGTTTTGTAGGGACCCTGGCCCTGAAAGTGAAGGAGGCCGGAGAATCGGGGGAGCAGGTGCTTTGGACCAGGACAGGGAGCCACGGGGCGGTTTGGCATCGAGCCGTCTCTTCCATTTCCCCCAAGCCTGGTCAGAAGTATCAGGTAAAAATAGGGGGCCTCTCCTTTGCACAACGGAGACCCAGACCCAGGTGCCGATATCGGGAACACCTGGAAAAAAAGCTGCTCTTGGGAAGAGCTAGGCTGAGGGGGCCTCCTCCTGGTCAGCCAGACAGCCCCCCCCCCCGCCATGTCCCTCAGCTTTAGGATGGTGGCGGGCAGGTTAGGACCGCCTGCCCTAGTCCGGCTCCAACTTTGGATTGGATTGGCATCCTCTGTGCCCTCCCCACCCCCAGCAGCCTTGGAATAAATAATCCTCTTTCCTGTATCAAGGAAGCAGTGCAGAACGATCAGTCTGGATAAGTGGCTTCCCGGGATTTGAATAGGTTCCCAGATTCCAGTGGGCCTCAATTTTTCTTTATGCACTGAGGGATAGAAACTTGGCCGTTAGTTCTAGCTCTCTGAAGCAGCTTCTGCCACTTGTCCTGCAGGTGATCCTTGAGGCTCTTCGGGACGGCTTTCTGGGAAGCATAGCTGTGGATGACATCACGGTGACGTCTGGGGCCTGTCTGGCCCAGCACCACTGTTCCTTTGAGGTGGACGAATGTGGCTTCTCGGTCCCCAAGCAGCAGGCGTGGCAGCGGCAGAATGGCACAGGGGGCTGGGGCCCCCCTGTGGATCACACCGTTGGCGAGCCGAGAGGTAGCAGGCAGCAGTGTGCCCCTTTTTGTCACTGGGGAGGATGGGACTTAAGAGGCCCCGCAGGACTGGGCCTGGGGCTCCCAGGGAGACTTGAGAGAAGGCACTGCGCTGCTTCTGGGCCCAGCACTCCTGCACAGGAGACCAAATTACAGCCTGGCTCAGGAAGGCAGGTAGTACTCACAGCAGGTACCACCCTTGGAGAGTTTATTTCGGCCGTTTAGCGTTTCCCCTCCCCCCCCAGGGCACTACATGATCCTCTGCACTGGTACGGACAAGCTCCCTTCGGGGCAGGTGACCGTCCTGCGCTCTCGCACCTTCCCTCCTCTGCTCCGCACTCACTGTGTCTCCTTTTGGTACTACCTGAGTGGCAGTGATCCAGGTGAGCGGGGGGGGGGGCGCAATGGTGCCTAAGATCTCAGCTCGCTCCCTGCCCCCACAGGTAATACTGGCATTGCCCTTCCCCAGAGGTACGGCAGAGGGCAGATGCAGCCTTCGGGCTCTGGACTCTTCTGCTCTGTTGGTTGCTCCCCATAGGATCCTTGACCGCTTACGTGGTGGAGGAAGAGAAGGAACAGGAAACGGAGATGGGGATGTTCAGCCTGGATCAGACACAGGGGGCAGCCTGGCGGTATGGCAGCTTTGTGGCAAAGGTCCACGGGAGATGGCAGGTGGGCATGGTGGCCTTTTTGAACACAAGCTGAATCTCTGGCTTGCTGGCAGAAGCGAAGGCTGTGCCTGGAAACAGTCTGAGCTGGCCACAAGCCTCTTGTGCCGTCCGTGTCTTCCGGGAACAGGTGGCTTTCGCGGTGGGAGGTGCTGGCGGAGGGCTGGCCTCTTACATTGCCCTTGATGACATCTTTGTGAGGGGAGGCGGCTGCTCTGAACCAGGTGAGGGCAGATGTAGACTTACCTTCTCCTCTTTTCTCTCTTTTAGAAAGAAAAGGGAATATTATGGGCACAGTAGGGGGGCGGGTGGGAAGGGAGACTCCACCTGAAGCGCACAAGGCTACAGCAGGGTCTCCTCTCTACTTGGAAAAGTTGTTGGGGGCAGCCAAGGTCATAGGTAAGCATGGTGTGTATCCTTTTGGCCCAGGATCTTGTGACTTCGAGTCAGGCCCCTGTGGCTGGAGCAAGCCCCCCGGAAACTGGTACAGCTGGGACTGGAAGGCAGCAGCCACCACGTTGCGCTCCCCATCTCCCCAGGAGGACCACACCCTCGGCACCAACGCAGGTTTGTGCCCGGTCCCTGGGTCGCTCGAGAGGAGCCTGGGCTGCCAGGAGGCATCTGCTCTGCCCCCTCTGCCCCACGGCTCAGCCTTGAACGTTCACTGAACCAGCCAAGCGGCTGTGAGTAGGAGGAGTTGGTGGCTCCAGTTTAATGGAACAGCTGCCGTTTGGCTTGCCAACATTTTGGGCTCCGATAGTCCTTAATTCATGAGTTATTAAATGATCTCGGCACGAGGAAACCGAAGTCCTGAACTTGGTCCATTTAGTGCCTTAAATTTCCCCACAAACGCTCTAAGTAGCTCGCAGATCAGGCAAGCCCCTCCATGTTCTGGAACGCTCTCCATCCTTGTCACCACAGCCTTGTGCACAAGGCCCACTCTCTGGCCCCTATTTCCTTCCTGCTGTTCAGCTTTTTCTTTGTAGGTCACTATGCTTACGTTGACCTGGCAGTGCTGAGCTTGGGAAAGAGCACAGCACGCCTGGCGAGTGAGCCCCTGGCACCCACCACAGGCTCCTGCCTGCAGTTCCACTACCACATGGACTTCCTTGGGCACAGCTGTAAGTCAGAGGAGGAGATTCTCCCCCCCCCCCCAGCACTGCTGCAGAAGTGGCATTATTAAAGCTCCTTTGGCAGATCCCTGGTTAGAGGAGGGAAGCCACAAGCGGCGGGCGCTGGGTTGTTGGTGGAGGCGGAGGGCGAAGAGAGCTGACTCCCCCCCCCTGCATTGTCAGCTTCTGCAGAGCTCAGGGTGAGGCTGACTGGGGCCCAGGGGGAAAGGGTGATCTGGACCGCCACAGGCCATCAGAGCTGGACTTGGATGAACCAAACGCTCCTGGTGACCAGCCTCGTGGAGTTCCAGGTATTCTGGATTCAGCCTCCCTCCCTGGACCTGAAGGAAGAGGCAGCTGGCAATGCCAGGTCTTGGGACTCGGCCTTTTGAGCCCCAGGCATCTGCCTCCCCTTGCCACAGCCCTCGCACCGCCTCTTCTGAATTAGGGGCTACCCTGCGCCCCTCAACCTGATCCTGCATGCAGTCCTTTGATGGGTCTCTTTGTGAATCCCACCCTCCCCTCCCCTCCCCTCTGTTCCCTGCGTCGGTCTCCCATCCTGCCCTTCTGAGCCTGAGCGCAGGCCTCTTCCCTTCAGATCGTCCTGGAGGCCAGCAGTGGAGCCTGGGTGAGCTCAGGGGTGATTGCGCTGGACGATCTCCGCTACACAGCTGGGCCGGACTGTGCCTCCCCCCAGGCAGAGCAAGCGGAAGGTAAGGCTCTCTGCGGCAGCCACAGCCATGGGCCGATCCTGCAGGTGCCACCCTGAGCGGGTCGGAAGACGCTCTCGCCTTTCCTTTTTGCCTTGGCAGAGAGCAGCAGCAGCAGCCCTCTCCCAGTGTCGACCATCGGAGTGGTGGCTGGTGTGGTGAGCACTGTCCTGCTGCTGCTGCTTGCGGCCACCTGTTGCCTGTGGAAGAGGAGAGGGAGTCGGGAGAGGATGGAGGAGGAGCACGGCAACGGGCAGGGTTTTGACAACATCGCCTTTCGAGACGTAAGGGGCTGGGGGGTGGGCACATTGTGTGGCCCTCTGCTCTCCAGCCACTGGAATCTGTGGCTGGGTGGGAGCTTCCTTTTGATCCTCCGAGCAGACCCTCTCCTTCTAGCTGTCTCAAGGTAGCCTGCGCAGCTTCTCCCCGTTCCCTTGGCTACCAGCTAAGGCCAGCCTGTCTCTCCCCTTGGCTTCCAGGACAGAATTATCCTACCCCGGATGACTCCTAACCCAGCAGCATCCTAGGTCGGCCCCTGCCAGCCCCATCCTGGAGAGGCAACCAGAACGGTCCCTTCGGACTCCAAGGGGGCATCCTCGAGACCTGGGTTGAATCAGCCTCTTTTCTTGACCAGAGATAGCCAGATGTTCAGGAAGGTTGGAATGTTCAATCTATGGCTACTCAAAAAGGAATTCAACAAGAAAGTTAAAATAAACCCCAAAGGAGTATCGCACTCAAGAACACTGGTTTAATCTCTTGTATGAACCCGTTGGATTGCCATCCCCCTTACTCAGATGATTGTTGCTTTCAAGGGCCACAAATAGCTTACCCTCCCCCCCCAAAAGCCTCTGGCGGCACCCCTGCTGGAAAGAGGCTGGTGGGCGAGTGATGGGGAGGTGTTTGCAGGTGAGCCCCCAGTGCAGCACTTCATTGAAAAGAGGTCTGGGCTTTTTTCCTCAAAACTATCAGTTGGGGAAAAAAATCTACAAAAGTCTTTAAAGAACAGCTGCTGGCGCGAAGGGCCACGAGGCAAGCACGAGAGCCACTGACTGCTTTCCTCCCACCCCACTGAGAGCCAACCTTTGCTCCCCACCCCCTTCCAAAAGTCCCCGGCCCTTTGGGGACCCCAAAGAGGACGACAACTCTCTCTCTTGCCCCTGGCAGATTCAGATGCTTTATTAGGATTTGGATACTTTGAAAAAGGAAGGCAGGAACGTCGGCGGTGAGCGGTTCGTTGATTCACAACAGGGTGGAGACTCTGGAGGCTTCAGCCTGGCAGAGGCCCTGGCCGTGCCAGAGGAGCAAGCGGCCAGGCGAGATCAGTCGGGGCAAACTGATTTCGAGGCTTTGTCCTCACTTCCCTTTGGGGCCCGGCTCGAGGGGCCTGCCGATGTCCCGCCCTCGGAGCTTAAGGCCTGGGAAAGAGCAAAGGGGCAGGAAGAGACTCAGTCGGGGACGGGCATCTGCCGGCAGCCACGCTATGCCCCCCCCCATAGCAGCTGCCCTTGGCCACCTATAGGTGGTGGATACCCTGTGCAGATGCCGAGACGGGCACGAACTGGGCATTTGGGCCGCAGCTCGGCTACCCACAGGCCAGAAGGCTGGGACTCACCGATGGCCCTCTCGATCTTGCCCAGCACCTGGTTGTTGGGGATGGCCCTCCCGGACTCGTAGTCGGCGATGACCTGGGGCTTCTCGTTGATTTTCTGCAGAGGGAGAGCCGGGCATCTTAGATGCACGGGCAGAAGCAGGGGGGGGGCTCCCTCCTCATCCGGCCCTGCCGGCCGCTTACCGTGGCCAGGTCCTTTTGGGTCAGCCCCTTGCCCTGCCGGCCCTGCTGGATGACCTTGCCCACCTCCAGCGGGACCCGGTCGTGGTGCAGCTCTTCGGTCTCCCGGTCCAGCTTGGCCGTGTTCTTGGTGATCGAGTGCTGCTTGTTCTGCCCTGCGGCCCCTGCGGGAGAAGGAGCAGCGGCGGCGGTTGGGGAAGCGGCCGGGGCTCGGAGGGGCGCCGGCCGGCCTGCCTGCCCGCCCCCCTCCCGGGAAGAAGCCGGAGCGGCCCACTCGCCCGCCGGCGACACCTACACTTTTTGGAGGTCTCCACGTCCTCGCCTCGCCTCTGAGCCGTCAGCACCGCCTGAGGAGCAACGGGAGCGTTACCGGCCGGCCCGTCCGCGGAAGGAGCCCCTCCGAGACTCCGCCGGGCGCCTTTCCTTCCCTGGCCGGCAGGGGGCGGCCTGCGCCCCGGGAGCGCGATGGGCCGGGGGCGGGGCCGCGGCTCTCCGGCCCGGAGCAAAGGTCGGGCGAGGCGCGGCTCCTGTCCCGGGGCGGCAGCACCTCCGATGGGACGCCCCCGCCCACCACGAGCCGGAAGTCCCCCCGCAGACCGACCCCACCCGGCCAGACCCTGCGAGCGGAGCCCATGCAAATAAGGGCTTGGTGGGCGTGCCTCCCGATAGATTGACGTGGGCTCTGCGCAGGCACTCCTCCCACCGGGAGATGGGCGGGGATTGAAGAGGGTGCGCACGCGCGCTCCTGCCTACCCCTCACCTGCTTCGATTTGGCCTGGGCCGCGCTGGGGCCCTTCTTGCGTAGCACCGTCACCGTGTCCCAGTCGCTCTCCGCCATGGCGTCTCTGGTTCCTGCCTCCGCTTCTGCCGCCGCCTCTTCGCTGCTCAACCTCCGCAATAGGCCGTCCCTCTCCCCGTTCCCTCCCTCATCCCTTCCTTCCCTCTCGAGGGCGGAGCGAGAGGCACCCCCCATTGGGCTGTGCCGCTGCCACTCACGAACGAAACTTCAACGCGATAGGCTGACGAACAAGACCGTGCCCCTCGATGGGGATTTACGACGTCATAATAACTGATACGCCTCCACACTGTCTGTTTTGAAGTCCTTTAATAGATCAGCTCTTTTGTCGATCAAGGCTTCCCGTCCTAGGATTGGCTGAGAGAAGGGAGAGTTTTCTGGAAGACAGACCCTGAGAACTCTGCCAGAAGCCCCTCCGTTATAGGTTGTGTCTCAGGCCGTTCATGATGCTCTGTCGTACGACTGGCTGGAACGAGAAGAGGTTCCCCCTCCTCTTAAGAGGGAGGTGCAGAAAGTGATGGACCGCAGACTCCTAATCGGGAGCATGCGCAGAAGGCGTGTCTGGCAGGTCAATTTCTTAATCTTCGACGCGAATCCAATTTTTCAGGGAAGCTTCGCTTCTTCGGGAGGATGCGCTGCCTCTCATCCCCCGCCACCACCCGGCAGACCGTCCCTGCAGGGATCGGACAAGGACGGCGTCCCAGGAGGAGAGCCAAGCGCTCCCTCAGCAACTCAGCTCTTTTCTCTCAGGGGGCCTCCTAAAGCCGCCATTTAAGCCGCAGCCCCCAGAAGGCAGATGAACCTGTTGCTTGACCGTCGCAAACAACCGCGCGTCCCTTGGATGGAAAACGGCCGCTTCCCTCTGGGAACGGAGGCGAAATGGAGGCTCTTCCATCGACGCAGCCGATGCGGCCCCCGAAGCGCCCCGGCACCACCACCCTCGGTGAGGGACGCGGAGTTGCTTCCGGAGCGCCTTCGCGCGCGCCGGACAAGTTCGCCACGGCCACGCCCCCGCGCCAATAGCAGCCGGGGGCGTGGCGTCCGGAGGAAGGCAAATGGCGGAAGCGCTGGGCGGAGCTTACGGGAACTTCCGGTCGGCGTTTGGGTGGCCGGACGCTGCTACGGGTGAGTGGGGGGGGGCACCGCCGGGGGGAGGGCGCAACGGGCTTCTCCGCGGCGGGCGGCCTTCCCGGGGCGGGCGGGGGCCTGGCGGGAGTCTGGCGGCCCCTCGCTCCGTGGCGAAAGGGCGCCGGCAGTGCTCGCTTCTGCCTCCACGGCGCCCCCCGCCCTGGCTCGGAAGGCCCCGCGGGGCGGCACGTGGCTCCCGCCCCCCGGAGGCCTTCCAGGGGCTTTCCAGAGCCGTCACGCCCGAGGCCGCAGCTCCTCCCCCCTGCCCGCCCGCCCGCCCGAAGGAGGCGCCGGGAGCCGCGGGTGGGGGATGGCCGGGGGGGGCGGATGTCCCAATGCTCGCTGCGGATGGTTCCCCGACGGCCCCCCCCCGAATGCGCTGCCCCCCCGCCCGGCCCGCCACTGGCTGCGGCTCCTCCGGCCGCGCCTTTCGGGGCTTGAGGCGGTAGAAGCGCGGAAAGGTGCCGTCCGGTCCCCGGTCCCGACTCCGGCCGTAGGTAGGTTGGGGGGGGAGGTTGGCCCTTCCGCAGCCCCCGAGTCCTCTGCCCTCCCTTTGCGGCACGAAGAAGCGGCTGTCCTGGCTGGGCGAAGCCTGAGGGGCTGCCTCCTACTTCCCGCCGAGGCTCCGCTTCGCTCGGCTTTGGGCTCGGCCTTGAGACGGAGGGAAGGCCGCGGAGGTGTCAGCCAGGGCGAGAGGAGACCCCGGAAATGGCCGGGGGAGCCTGCTCGTACAGGAAACGTTTTCTGCCCGCAGCAGAGAAGCCCCCTAAGGGGGAGGGGATGAGATCAGTTGGGGCTTTGATGGCCACTTTTGCGGGAGAGGAGAAACCCTCCTCTTGCTTCTTTGAGTGAGGGTCCTCAGGGTACAGAACGGGGCAACAGCTTCTAAGAGGTGGGTGGGTTAAGCAAGCCTTAGCCGACCCGCCATTGCCGCTGCTGCAATCCTCCAGGCACAGTGGCAGGTTCTCTTGCTATCCCAGCCTGGGGACCTGCTCACAAGCTGTCGTGGGTGATGGATGCCAGCCTAGCAGAGGGCTGAGCTGCTTGAGCCAGTGGGGCTGGGGCTGCGGCTGCCCTTTGGAACCACCTCTGCCCACTTGGGGTCCTAAAGTCACACCCGAAGGTTACTTTGGTGTTAACTCCTAAGAGAAAGCTGTTTTTAACGTGGAGTTGTTTTTCCTTCCAGGGTTGTGAAGGCCACTCGAACAGGCTGGTTCACATGGCATCGGCCAACGCAACCCCTCCTGGCTCTTTGGAAGTAAATAAGCCAGGGTTCCCCAAGGAGATTCTGGGCACTGAACTGGTGGGCAAGTACTTGTGTTCAGAGTGCCGAAACATTTTGCGGCGGCCGTTTCAAGCCCAGTGTGGTCATCGCTACTGCTCCTATTGCTTGAAGAAAATTCTAAGGTGTCTTTGGTTTGCTTTGCTGAGCATCACTCACATATCCTTTGCTGATGGAGAAAGTGTGCTGGGTTTCAAATGCTCTCCCATGAGGACTAACATTGCCCTCTCCCCAAATTCCTTACTCCTTATCAAAAGCCCGAGGGGAACAGATTCCTCCCTTGGCTGATGGCTCAGCCGGTAATCCCTTCCGGCTTGGGCTCTTGACATTTTCCAGGTGGGAAAGATCTCTTAGGATTGCCCCACATGCAGTTCCGCCTGCTTAGTTCCAAACCAAATTCTCACCCGGGAAAGAAATTGTTACACTTTTTTCATTAACTCCCCACCTCCATCCCTCTGCAGAAAGAAAGGAAGCAGGTCAGCCAGGTAGCCAAGCAGCTTTGCAACAAAGACAGTGGCTGCTTAATTATACTCAGGATAGGCAATCTGACACCTGCCAGTTTGGGGATTATTTCTGTTGCTTCAGGAGTTGCAATCTGCGGGGCATTAGGTGTACACCTCAGGATCAGACAGGGTGGCATGACTGAAAAGGAAGGGTGGGCCTCCCAGTCTGTAAACCATTCTCCCTCGTGAGGGTGGCTAACAGCTGTGCAATCAGCCAAACGAGACCAACTGCAGATGCTCAGAGACACACTGAATGATGTCAGGGCAAAATGCAGCTCCGTTCCTTGCTGAGGTGGCTCGTCTTGCTGGGGAAAGGCCTGCCCAGTTGGCTTGGGGGTGTCGCCAGGAGGTCCCTGGGTTCTCATGGTCTTCCTCTTCCCTGCCAGCTCAGGGCCCCAGAAGTGCGCAGCCTGCCTTCAAGAGGGGCTGTACGAAGAAGGTGCCTCGATCTTGGAAACCGGGGTGGTAAGTGCAGCCCCTCGAGTGGAGTTTTGTCCTGCTGTTCTTCCAGGCAGCCCAGGACCAGTTCAGCTGGGTGAGATGCGGCCCTTGAAGTGTAGGGATAGCCCCCCTCCCTCCGGTTCCTCTTCCGAAGGCTTTCCATTGAGGCACTGAACGCAAATTATTTGCTTTCCAAGGAGCCTTGGTCACAACCTGCCGGTCACGGGGACAGGCACGGAGAAGAGGCGCCAAGAGAGCGGGAGCCGCTTCTCCCTCTGTCTGCCGTAGGGTCAGGAAGGGTTTCAGTCCAGCCAGCTAGTCAGTTGGGGGAGCACCCCCGCCTTGCCCCCTCCCAGCAAAACTTTCCATTTGGCCTGGCTTGGACCTCGGGCCTCCTGTGGCCAACTCCCCCAGACAAGCTGTTGGTGCGGGATTGGTGGGCCAGCCTTTTCCATTCCTTCTCCGCACCTTTGCACTTAACCCTTCCTTTTTTGCCCTTTGAGGCTTTCCCAGATAATGCAGCTCGGAGGGAAGTGGAGAGTCTCCCGGCCATCTGTCCCCACCAAGGTTGCACGTGGAAAGGGACCATAAAAGAATATGAGGTAAAGGTCCCAGGAGGAAGCCTCAAGCAGCCCCTTCCTCTGTCTGAGCGGGGGGGGGGTATTGTTGATGGAAAAAGGGCAGGGAATTGGCCCTTCCTTGTCTGGAGGGTTGGGGGCTTTTATGAGACCTGTATGTGGGGCAGTGGCACCGAGCAGGACCTACCTGGGGGCACCACCCCCTGCTCCATGGGAACTTGGGGCACCCCGTCCCCTGTGCTCTGGGGCCGGAGAGTGCCTTCCGTGTGACCTTGGTGTTTACTGCTAGTCTTTCCCAAGAGGGGGTTTCCTTCCCCCCCCCCCAGTGCTCAGGTCCAGTGTCTGTGTGGAGGCAGCCCTGGCTCTGAGGAGGAGGCGCCTGGAAAGGCCTGGGATGAATTCTGTGGAGAGGGGAAGGCCAAAGACTGAACCCCACCATCTCTCCCTGAAGAGGCCCCTCGTATCACCCCCCCCCTCCTCTCTGCCCTGAACCACGTGGCACAATGGAGACAGTGGAGCTCTGTGGATGGGCAAAGTCTCCTCCAGCCCCCCTTCCCATGGAGAACCGGAGACTAAATCTGCCTGGACTGGCTCAGTTAGGCGCCTGTCTTTCTGGGTCTGCAGCTGGGATGGGCTGCGTGCTTTGAATGTCAGAGCTTCCAGCTTGGAAAGTCCCTGGCGGAAGCCTGCAGTGACACCCTCTGGAAAGTCCCTAAAATACTTGCTCGATATTCAACCCCAGGGGAAGGGGCCTGCTGGCAGCGCCAGGAGAACAGCACAGCTCTGCTCTGGCTCTCAGCAGCTTCTCCTCCCTGTCATCCGACACCAGCAAAGAGAAGCTGCCCCCACCATTGACCCCCGGCTGCCTTCTGGCACTGGTTTTACTTTCTCTTTGGGGTGGGGCAACACTGCAGACTTGGCTCTGGAAAGCGAAAGTGCTTCCCTGCTATTTTTAACCCTTGAAGACTGTAGCCACAGAGAGCCTTAGTCGCTTCTCTGCTTCCAGATGTGCAGCTCCGAGAAGGGCCTTCCCAAGATCTGAACTGGAGAAAGAGTTCCAGGTTCCAGGCCTAACGGGGTGCAAATTGGCTTTCAGGACAGTTTTGATTTCAGTGGGAAGCTGGAGTATCCCAGCCAGGCAGGACACACAGAGTTTGGATCCGGTTCTTTGGAAGGTTCTTAATAAATTAGCCCTGCCATAATACGCAGAGGGCCACCCACCTCTTCACAATAGCGTGCATGCTTGCTTCACCCCCAAACCTGCAGGGTTCCCATCTGAAACAGCAATGGGCATACCTCATCCCTGGCCTCCCAGTATGTTGGTTTTACAAACAACAAATTATTGAGCTAATTGGAAAATAAATAAGAACCAGCGAGAACAAGCTGGGTGGCCTCCAACAGATCCTCTCCATAGCCATCAGTCGATTACAGATGTTCTCTGGGCGCAGTCAGCGCAGTGGGGCTTGGTGCCTCCCTTTGGGGTGAATTTCCAGGCTCAGCGGCCCCTTCCTTCAAGGGCAGCCATGCGGAAGGCCCCGTTTTCCTGAGCTGCTCCAGAAGGGCCTTGGTGGCGAGGGCCTTCCTTCGGCCTGCTGGCTGGGCTAAGTGCTGGACCTTTTGCTGCAGAGCTGCCACGAGGGGAACTGCCCGGCCCTGCTGGTGGTCTGTCCGGCGTGCCAGGGCCTGGTCAGGCTGGGCGAGAAGGAGCAGCACGCCGAGCAGGAGTGTCCCGAGAGGAGCCTCAGATGCAAATACTGCCAAGCTCTTTTCCACTTCTCTGAAAGCAAGGTACAGGCCCGAGCTACCCCCCCCGCCTCCCCCAAGGCCAAGGAGCCCCGAGAACTGCCCTAGGGAAAGCCAGGCCTGTTGTTGCAGTAGCAGCACTCAAAAGCATCCCAACGCAAAGCCCAGAGGAGCTGCCTTGGTTTTGATTGCTCCAGTGCCCTTTTCCACAGGCAGTTTATAGCTCTACCTTCCTTCCTTCCTTCCTTCCTTCCTTCCTTCCTTCCTTCCTTCCTTCCTTCCTTCCTTCCTTCCTTCCTTCCTTCCTTCCTTCCTTCCTTCCCTCCAAGTGCCAGCTGTGGAAGGCCGGCACTGTCCTTGGAGAAGTGGGGCAGAATGTGGGCTAACCTGCAGCTTTTGTTTTCCAGGCCCACGAAGCAGTGTGCCCCAAATTTCCTCTGGCCTGTGAGGGCTGCGGAAAGAAGAAGATCCCCCGGGAGAAGGTCAGAGTGCTCAAAGCCCTGGGCTTTAGCACCCCAACAAGGCCCCCAAGTCTTCTGAGGAACCGCCCCAGAAGTGCCCTTGGGCCACGCACCTTTCTCCCCCGTAGCGGGACAGGGCAGTGACCTTGGCCAACCCGAGCGGCCCCCTCCCTCCACCAGCAGAGGACGCCAGGAGGTTGCCTGGTGTCGGGTCAACCTCTGGAGGAAAGAAGGCAACCGGCCGTTGTTTTGGGGATGGGCCCCCCTCACCCCTCGCATTACGATCAGGGAAGTCCCGGCCAAGATGGAGCAGAAACAGGGCCTTCCGGTGGGTGAGAGGAATGTGCCTCCCCCTCCTCCTTTTGAAGCTTCTCTCTTTCTTCTGCAGTTTCTGGACCACGTCAAGAGCTGCAGCAAATGCCGAGCCCCCTGCAGATTCCAGCCGGTCGGCTGCACCCACCTGGTATGGCTGCTTTGCGCTTCAGAGCGGGGAAGGAGGACGTCCAAAGCCAATTTTGGGGGGAGGCTGGCCCTAGAGCAGCCCCTCTGGTGCCGCTTGGGCAGCATCTCCCTGTGTCCTGGCCCAGCCCCTGCCGTCCCCACCAGCCCAGCCCCACAGAGGCGTCTTGGTCCGCCTGACCCGCCTGCTCCTTCTGGCCTCCTTCGCAGATGGAGAACGAGAAGCTTCCCGAGCACGAGAGGAGCCACCTGGGCGAGCACCTCTACATGCTGCTGAGCTTCGTGCTGAGCTTGGGCTCTGCGTCCAGCAAGATGGAGCCCCTGCTGGACCGCCTCTCGGCGGAGGCCGGCTGTGCCCTGGCGGGGGGCAGGCCCCTGACCCCCGAGGCAGAGCTGCCCGGCTCCTTGGGACTCCTGGGGAAGTGCGAGGCCCTGGAGAGGAAGACAGTCACTTTCGAAAACAGTGTGTGTGTGCTGAACCGGGAGGTGGAAAAGGTGTCGCTCATGGCCGAAGCTGCCAGCCGGCAGCATCGGCTCGACCAGGAGAAGATCGAGGCCCTGAGCGCCAAGGTGGGACAGGGGTTCTTGGCTCCCTGGTGGGACGGCCCAGGTGCGAGAGATGCAGGGGGCGTTCAGAGCAGAGCTTGGTGTCTTCCGCAGCTCCACTCCCACTTCCTGGCCTGGGGGAAGGGTGGTGGCGGTGGCATGGTTCCCTATGCCTGGATTCAGCTTCAGCACTTTGGGATCACAGGGCTTTTCATGCCCCCCCCCCCCGCCCGCCTTGCAAGGCTCTCGAATGCCACTGTGAGCCCGTGTTTTGCCCTCCTGGCCCAGGTGCGGCAGCTGGAGAGGAGCATTGCCATGAAGGACCTGGCCCTGGCCGAGATGGAGCACGCCATCCAGGAGATGGAGGCAGCCTCCTATGACGGCGTCTTCATCTGGAAGATTGCAGACTTCGCCAGGAAGCGGCAGGAGGCAGTTGCGGGGCGCTCTCCGGCCATCTTCTCCTCAGGTAAGGAAAGCCACTGCTGGGAACGTCCAGGGGGAGAGGGGTGCAGTCCGGAGGGGAGGGCAAGCTGAAGGCAGCTGGGCCAGTGTTCTGCACGGTTTCCTCCCCAACTGTCTCCTGCTTCCGTCTTTCTGCCCTGCTTGGCCAGCCTTCTACACCAGCAAGTACGGCTACAAGATGTGCCTGCGGATCTACCTCAATGGGGATGGCACCGGGCGGGGCACCCACCTGTCTCTCTTTTTCGTGGTGATGAAAGGGCCCAACGACCCCCTGCTGCGGTGGCCTTTCAACCAGAAGGTAGGGCCGTGGCGAGCCCAAGGGGGGAAGAGGCAGCTGGGCCTGCAGAAGGGGGGAGAGCGTGCTTGGAGGGGGTCCTTGGCTTCACAGAGCAGCCTTTCCTGCCCCAGTGAGTGACCCAGATGCCTTGGCACCCTCTGGGGGTTTCGCAAGGGCACAGGTCAAGAGGGACCCAGAGATTTGCGAGGCTATGGCCAGGCTTCCTGTCTCCCCCGTAGGTCACCCTGATGCTTCTGGACCAGAACAACCGCGAACACGTCATTGACGCCTTCCGGCCAGACGTCACCTCCTCCTCCTTCCAGCGGCCCATCAGTGACATGAACATTGCCAGCGGCTGCCCACTCTTCTGCCCCATCGCCAAGATGGAGTCCAAGAACTCCTACGTGCGCGACGACACCATCTTCATTAAAGCCATTGTAGACCTCACGGGCCTTTAACGCCTTGCCCGCTGGGGCCTCGGAGCACGGGACTGTGTGGCCTCCTGGGCAACGAGGGCCTGGCGGACCTTCTCTTAGCCTTGGACTACCCCCTGGCCACAGGAAGGTGGCTTTGAAAGCCAGGTGGGTCCTAGTCCCAACACGCTCGGCTCCTCCCCTGCCCTGGATTGCTGTTGGTGGATTGGGAGGGGTGGCTGCTGTCTAGGCCAGAAAGGGAACCGAGTGGCTGGACGCCCAAAGGTCCAGCAGCTGTTTTGGGCAGTCTGGCAGAGCCTGTGGAGGGGACTTTTAGAGGCTGCTGACAGCTGAGCTGCTCCTGGCCAGCCTGTTTGCAGGGCCAGGCAATTCCCCCCCCCCCCGCCTGATCAGGTTCTCTGGGCATGGAGGCCCGGCAGCTGCCAGGGAAGACGCTCCAGCAGCGGTTGAGCAGGGATGGTTCATGAGCAGAGGTGAGCTGGTGGTGGGGGGGGGGGCTTCCACTGGAGCTCGCAACAAAAGAGCCCCGGGAAATCGCTCCTCTCTCTCCTCCACTGGCGAGGAGGGGGCTACTCTGAGGAGAAGCAAGGTCTCCCAGGAGGTTTGAGGCTATCATTGTCCTGCTGAAATGCTCTTGTCTGGGCAGACGAGGACGCTGAATAAACATTGTAGAGGCGAGCCCCGTTTTGCTCTTCTTTGGGGGGCAGCTAGGCTCCTCTGAAAGTTGCGTTGCCTGGCGGCAAGCCAAGGAAGATTTGCCCCACAGCCCAAGGATCATCCCACTGGAGAGCAACCCCAGGGGCCTCGGTTCCCTTGCCGTCTGGTGCCTCACATCCGCCACGGAAGTGGGCCTCGTTCATAGCCGCTGGGAGGGGATCAAAGGGGGCACTCGTGGATGGCAAAGATGCTCAACGCAAGAGCAAGTCAAGCAAAGTTTATTAAGACCAAGCCAGGCCACACTGGGTGGCCAAAGTTGGTGGGGCGCTGAAGCTGCCCACCCCCTCAGTGTACATTCTTGAGCAGCCACACATTTTTCTTTCTGCTTAACAAAAGAAACACCAGTCATCCTTCGCAGCTTATATTCCCCCTCCCCAAAAGAAAATGTTTTACAGGGAAAGAACGCTCAGAGCTGGAAGGCACACGTGCTCCATCCAGGGCCTTGCAGGCTGCCAGCTCCAAAACTTTTCAGAGCGAGCTTCCCTGCCACCCGGGTCAACCAGAGCAGAGGCACTGAAGTGGCCAGCTGTGTTTCTCACCTGCTTTTTTTCTTACCTCCCTGCCAAGCAGAGACTCAGCAGCACCAGCGCAGGTTTCCTGGCTCCATTCGTGGCTGTCCAAAGCCCAGAAGCCACATCAGGGTGGCAGCATCCTACAGAACTATGCCAGCCTGCAAGCAGGTGGTCTCCAAAAGGACCTTGGACAGCACCCACCAGCCTGCGGCTGCGTCCTCAAATGGCGATTGTTCCATGCCTCACCCAAGCAGTGAAGGTCAGTGGGCTGGGCCAGAGTCGCAGGGGATGACACACACACACACACACACACACAGAGCCTGAAGCAAGCCCTGCTCGGCTCACGTTCTCTGCTTCGTGGCCCAGGAGAAGAGACGTCCACGAAGCCTGGGCTTCTCTGTGTGAAGGACCCGCACAGCGCAGGGAGAACGCCACACTTTAATGGTGCTGTCCGCACAGGCTGTCAGGAGGAGCTCCTGCTCCACAGGGCTGAAGGCCACTGAGTTCACCACGTCGTCATGCCGCAGTTTGGCTAAGCAGATGTCGTAGTGCCGGTCCCAGATGTATCCGTGGCGATCCTCCGCCCCACTGCATGGGAGAAGGAGACACATGGGCGACCATCAGCCAAAGCCGCAAGAGAAGCTCTAGGAACATTACGGCCGCCCACTGCACAATGCCTCAAGGGGCTAGCCGTCCAAGAGGTGCAACGGGATCTGGAAGCCTCATAAACATCTGGGCTGCTCCCTTTGCTAAGGAGCCTTCACTGGGCAGGGCCAGGCTCACCTGGCCACGAAGTCCCTGCTGACATCAAGAAAAATGAAGTTAAACTCTTCGCTGGGGGTGAAGGCCCGGTGTGCCCGCAGTGCCCGCTTGGCCTCCTTCATGGTCTTGAGGTCCAGCACACGCAGCTCAATCTCCTCGGCGATGGGGGGCGGCTGCAAAGGATCGGAAATGACGCAGCCCTCGGGCCAAGCGCGGCTGTTGACGTACAAGTACCTGGAGAGGGCAGGGAGAGGGGGGGGTGGTTCCGCTGGCCTCGAGGAGGGTGAAACAGGAACTGGAGTCGGGCGACAGAGGGCTCTTGCCTGGCAGTCTGCAACACAGCCAGCCCTCCACCGGTCCCTACACAAGCCTGTGATTGCCTAGCGCCCCCCCCCCTCGCCATCGTATCACCCAGTCTCCAACCCAGCCCATCTTCATTGGCAGCGTTGCCTACCTGTGGTCTGGGGAGAGGCCCATGCCAATGATATGCCCGTGAATATCAATGACGTGATCCAGCGAATCGAAAAATCTGTCCGAATTCCTTTCTTCCCCCAGAACAGGCCCGGCGGTGGTCATTTGATGGGGAAGGATCTGCTTAATTCCTGGAGGGAAAGCGAGGAGGCGACTTGCCAGCTCGCCCGTGTCTCAAAGGATGATACCAAACCTCTTTGGCTGCCTCCGACCGGACTGAAGATATCAGACAACCTTGCCAGGCATCGGGCCTCCAAAGGGAGGCAGCCAGACATCTCGGCAAGGCCCTTCCTGTTGCTCATCCCCAGGCCCTGGTTGACAATCCCTGAGTGTTTGAGGTTTCAGAGTCTGTAACAGCCCTTCAGCCGCCATTTCTTCCACCCAGGTCCCTTACCAATCTGGTGAGGTGAGTAGGTGAGGCAGCCGGTGCTGAAGACCAGGTATTTCTTCTTCCCACCCTGCAGGGAGAGCAGGTTGGGCTCCGGGGGCTTTGTGCGGTTCCGGGCCAGGAGTCGGGCCACTTTTGTCTCCATCTCCATCTCTGTCATGATTGGCCGGACGTGTCCCGCCATGATGTCACTCAGGAAGCGGTCCAACCCATCTTCAGTCCCTGCCTCCCCTTCGGCCGCTGGGAAACCCCTCAGCTGGGCCCTCTCCTCTGTCTCCTCGGGGGGGCCCTCCTGGCAGGGAGAAGCAGAGCCCTCATCTCCCCCCTGCTCTCCGGGACTCGTCAGCTCCTCAGCAGAGCTGTAGCGGCTGCAGTCCACCACCATCACTGTCCGTACAGTGCTGGCGTTCAGGTTCTGGATTTTGAAGAGCCGTTTCACCACATTGACGTTCTCAGACTCGACGCCCTACGAGTGAAGAAGCAAGCAGAGTCAGGCAGCTGAGGCTGGAGCCCCCAACCCCCCCCCTGTGACCCCAGGGGACAGCATCGGTTCACCTGGAAGGCATTGTTCAGCCACAACACGGAACAGGAAGTGAGGAACCCGATCCGGTGCAGGTTGCTGGAAATCAGGTTGGTCTCGTTCAGCCAGCAGCCAAACACGTCGTAGGGCTTGTTGCGGACGCGGGAGAGGAGTTCGAAGTTCTCTAAAAGAACGGCAGCGGCTCAAAAGGTCTCCTTGCTCCAGGGATAGGAGGGGTTCTTGATCCGGAGGGACAGGAGACCCTCCGCCCGTCTCTCCCTATGCAGCAGCACCTGGGATTCCCCCAGAGGTCCCCCAGGAAGGAGCCTCTTGACAGCTACCCAGACTTATCTAGTCGTCCTCTGCAGCTGCTCGCTGGCTCTGCCCTGGGGGGCGTCTGGGCTCTCCAAGGTCTCGCTGGGCGCCCTGCAGATCTCCTTACCCAGGCCGATGACTGCGATCTCCCCAGACGAGGAGCTTCGGGGGCCCATAAAGACTCCGGACACCAAGAGGAGAGAGTCGTCTGCGTTGAACTGGGAGAACTGAGTGTAGCTCCAGTTGTATTTCTTCATGCTGGTGCTATGCAGCAGTGAGATCTGGCGATCATTGTTCCAGATCTGCAGCCAGGGAGGGGAAGGGCCAGGGCCATCGGGTGGGTGGCTCCAAGGATCCCAGCCCAGACCCCCCCCACACACACACAAACCGGGGCTTTTAGGGCCTTGCCCAGCAACCTTCACCTGGGTCACCAGAGAGGCCTAACAACACCGCCTTCCCAACCGGTCTGGCACAGCCACAACTCCCCCACCACCCCGGGCTCCGTGGGACCCGCCCCCACCCCCGAAGTGGGGCGCCCCCCCCACCTTGACCGTGCAGTCCTTGGAGCAGGAGGCGAAGCGGAGGCCGCTGTGGGAGAAGCTGAGGTGCAGCACCGGCTCGGCGTGCTCCCGCAGGCTCTGCACCTCCAGGCGGGGGACGGCGTCGCAGAGCCGACGGAACTCCCCGAACCAGGAGGCGGCGGCTGGGGCGGAAAAGGAGGCCGGTTCACGCAGCCCCCCAAGGCGGGTCCCAAGGCCGCCTTGCGCCGCACCGCCTGGCCCGACCGGCCGACGGCGGCGGTGGGGCTGCCCCGTCGCATCGGGCCACAGCAAAGGCAGGCCGGGCAAAAGCTCGCCGCGACCCCCCCCCCTTTGCCGCCGGCTCCTCCCTCTCTCCCGGTGTGGGGCGGGGCTTCGGCAGTGGTCCCCGCCCACCTGGGTGCCGCGGGACGTGGCAGGCGACGCCGTAGTGCCGGTAGAAGAGCCGCTTCCAGAGCACCTCGTCGCGGGCCACGCGGCGCCACTGCCGGCACACCCGCCCCGCGGCCAGCAGGTCCGGCGGCCGCACGTGGCGGAAGATCTCGAAGAGGAGGCAGTCCGGGAGCATCGCCGCCCCGAGCAGGGAGACTCCCGCCGAGAGCGGCTCCTTCCCGGCCGCGCACTTCCTTCTTTCCTTCCTTCCGGCGGGCCCCGGCCCGAGCGCGCCTACGGAAGCCGGCAGGGCGACGCGCCTCTCCGGCATCCTCCCCGGGCTCCGCTGCGGCCAGGCTCGACGAGCGGAGCCCGGAGTCGGCCACGCCTCCTCGGCCAGCAGAGGGCGCGCATGCGCGCGTAGAGGAGCGGCGGGAGCGGGCGGGCAGAAGAATTCTGGGAGTTGAAGTCCAGACTTTGTTGAAGTTGCGGGGCCTGTCGGGTAGGTGAGCGGGGTGGAGCTGCAGGCGGGTCCCAGACTCTGGGAGCAGAAGCGGGTCTCCAATGGCGCCACGAGAGGGCGGGCAGACTTGGGCCATGCCAGCCCTGATGCCCCCGATTGGGCAGGAGGCATCGGCGTCCACAGCTGGCAAGCAGCGCTGGAGAGGCCCCGTTTGGAATAATATTATTATTAGAAGCCTCGTTATTAATACGGCAGCAAGAGGCCCAGGGGCTGCAACACAGGCACAGAAGAAGGAAACCTGCTTTAAAAGCCTTAAACTGACATAAAAGATCTATGATGACTGCAATGCTAATGCTAAAGGACAGAAAACAGTGTCCTCCTGTGGTCACGGTTGGAATAGCAACCACAAAAGGAAATAAACCTTTTTAATGGGATTTTGAGGTTACTTTTCTGCATCTTTATTATTATATGTTTCTCTATTAATATTTATTTATATTAATAGAAAAACAGGAGGCCCCGGGACTGTAGAACAGGGACAAATGAAGGAAACCTCCTTCAAAAGCCTTAAACCGAGTTAAAGCCTATGATGCCCTCAGTACTAATGCTATGGTACAGAAAACAGTGCCCTCCTGTGCTCAAGGCTTGGAATAGCAGCCATACAAGGAAAAACCTTGCCCCAAAGAGGGCAAAAAAGTCAGGCTTTCCCAAGATATGAAAGACAATATTGGTTATTTTGTGTGCAAAGTCATCAAAATGCAGCCTTATGTCAACCTAACTCTATTCTAACCCCAAAATTGGTCAAACCTCAGGCCCTAGTCTTTCCTTACCCAAAGAGGGCAAAAAAGTCAGTCCTTCCAAGATAGAAAAGGTTGTCTTGCTCACTTTTGGTGCAAAGTCATAGAATTTAAATTTAAAAACCTTCCCCTGATCAGCACAAGCCTCTCCAGGCAAAATCCAAAATGGGGTGCTGGGTAGGGGATTTCCTTCCAGTAAGGCAGGGGTCTTCCATCTTGGCCCTTTGATGACTTGTGGACTTCAACTCCCAGAAATCCTCAGCCAGCATGCCTGGCTGAGGAATTCTGGGAGTTGAAGTCCACTGTCATACAAGGGCCAAGTGGGAAGACCCCCTGCAGTAAGGGGTCAGCAGAATCTCTGCTGGGTCTGTGCCAGGGAGAGGAGGAGGCAGCAGCAGCAGCCACAGGCTACCAATTTCAGGCAGATGCAAACAAACCATCTTGCAAAGTGCTGCACTTACCAGCACAATAGGAAGCAGAGCAGTTCCCAAAGGGATTACAAAGGACAGAAGGACAGTTCCACAGAGTAACAAAAAAGAAAATATTATAAAATACAGAAGTAATTTTAGCTCTCTAGTCCTCAAGCCCAGCAAGCAGCACGAAAGCAAAAGCAAAACATCTTGCAAAAATCACCCAATCTGCTTCCGCCACGTGACCCAAAAAAACCCCCACTTCCGGCTTCTTCTCTCCAGGCCGCATGGCCGCGGAGGCCTCGTTTTGGTCGCCGTTTTGCCTGTCCCAGGTCAGTAGCCTTTCTGAATTCGTTCGTTTTTGTGAACACCCCTAAACAAACGCTCGTCCCTGGGGAGGGGGGTTACGTGTGTATAGCCATTTGTGTTAAAATTAAGAATAAGTCCCGCTTGAATAACTGCACCTGCTTTTAATTAAACAGCCGGTTGCATTTAAACATGGCGACCTTGTTAAAGATGGACTCTATGGCTCCCTTTTTGTCCAGGCACCCAGCGGAAAGGGTTTTTTTTTAAATAAAATAAAATAAACTCTTAGGGTTTTTCTTTGCATTTGTTCCAATTTATTTTGCACCCTGCTTTTAAGTCCCGTTGAATAACTACCTGCCAGTTGCATTTAAATATGGCGACCATCTTGAAGAGCCACCGATGGACTCTGGGGCTCCCATTTTCTTCCAGGCACCTAGTAGAAAAGTTTTTTTAAATAAAATAAAATAAACTCCTAGGGTTTTTCTTTGCATTTGTTCCAATTTACTGTGCGCCCTGCTTTTAATGAAACAGCCAGTTGCATTTAAATATGGCGACCATCTTGAAGAGCCACTGAAGGACTCTGTGGCTCCCTTTTTCTTCCAGGCACCCAGTGGAAAGGTTTTTTTAAAAATGAAATAAAATAAACTCCTAGGGTTTTCTCCTCAGATTAGCCAGGCGAGGTGAACCAGCTACATGCTGAAGCTGCCTGTGTGCGTGCAGAGGCAGAGGAGAGAGCATTGAGACCAGCTCCTACAGCATCTTGAAAGCCTGGTGTTTTCTCTCCCTTCCTTTTATGCCAAGGGTAGCCTTGTTAAATTTCATTCTGATGTGGTCTTGTTTCTTGAGCTGACCTCCCATTTTGCTAACAATCTCTATCTTCCCCAAGGTCAACCTTATGTTGGTCTATTGCCATTTCTCTTTCAAATGGCTGGGATTTTATACTTGATTGGGTTGTCCTCCATGTAAGCTTGCTAAGATACCACACCTTCACACAACGGGCTTGCACGGCTACACAAAGGATGCTATTTGGAAGCCGTGAATTCCTTGCTCATAGGATCCGGGTCCTTGGGTTGGCTCTGAGGATGCACTGAGGACTTTCTCAGATAGGTGTCTTTCCACTCTGGCTTTCAGTGCCACAATCATAAAGGTTGGGTAGCTGTGCCGGGTCTGACACAACACAGGCCAACTTTAGAAGCAACTACACGGAGCATTTCAGAAGATGGAGATCCCCCAAGTGATATTAGAAAACCTGAGGAGGAGAAACGATGAAGAGCTTGGCTAAGGTCTTTGGTGCCTTCAAGGGGGATTCATCTTGATCCTCACGTCAACTTCTTTCATTCACTAATCTTTATCAAGAGCATGATAGAAGAAAATTAGAGATGGTGCCAAACATAGATTTCCAGATGCTGTTGGACCACAGCCCCCAGCATCCCTTACTCTGGCTTGAGGTTGCTGGGAGTTATAGTTTAGCAACATCGGGACAAGTTTTCTATCTCTCTCATCTATCTATCCATCCATCTCTATTTCATCTATATCTTTATCCACCCTTTCTCTCTTTTTTTTTATCTCTTTTGTCTATATCTTCACATTTTATATCTCTTTATCTCATCTATATTTCACTTACTTATCCATTTGTCTATCCATCTATCTCTTCTCTGATTCCTCTCTCCCTCCCTCCCTCTTTCCCTCCCTGCAATATGTTTTTTTGCTTGTAATCCATGGAGAAAGTACTCTACGTATCATAAAGAAAAAAAACACACTTTTTGTAACATAACTGCTGTTAAAAGTGAAATGAATGCAGTAGAGCCATCATATACCAACAATATTAAAAATACTCATTGTGTGATATCTCACTGGTTGAATAATTTAAGAGATGTCGTAGTTATCCAGTGTGTTAAGTTTTCCTTCTCCCTCCTTGCCTCTTTTTCCTTATGTCGTGTCATCCCGACTATAAGTGTACAGGCCAAATGGTATAAAAAAGACTTTTGCAGAAATATTAGCAACTTTATTAATAAAAGTTAACAACACAATTCTTCATGCAACCCATGTAAAAAACAGGCAGGCTTTGATTTTTTTGTGACTTCTTTTCCCCCTTTCAAGTGCCCCCTGGAGTCTTGTGTAAAGAAAAAAACATACAGCCTCTTTTATCCCTTTTTCTAATTAATAAATACAAAAAAAGAAAGCATCAAATTCTAAAGGAACAAGCTAAAACAAGAAATGAAAACATGCAGGATATATATTTACAGAACATCTATATCCATAAAGGGAAGTGATGATTCATTACAGACATTCATAGCTAATCTATATTCATTAATTGTGCAAACCACAGAATAGTTGCAGCCATATGTTTGTCTTTCCAGGGCTGCCCTTGTGGCTTCTCAAGCATAGGAGCCAGAAGGAAGATGGGAATCCCAACTATTTTCAGCTCTGTAGGGATAGACAGCCCTTGTGCCTGTTTGCTTAGTGGTCTATTTCAACTTGTAATTGGAGAAAGGTGTTATGAACTTTACAAGGGTGGTAGGGTTAGGTTAGCTGGCCCAAGGAAAGCAGAAAAGAGTCCTCCTTAAGGGAGGTGGGCAAAAGGTTCCCAAGAGGAAGCCACCTCACGCAGGACCAAGCAAAGGTAGGGAAGTCCATGCATCCTCTTTGGAGTGAATCTCTCCCACCAGCTATTTTTTGGGAAAAATCTAAGGCCAAGTCAACTGTGAGTCAGCGTTCTGGAATGTAACGTTTGCTCCTTTCTGAAGTAGGACTGAAGATTTGCAAGATCAGAAATTGTCTTCTAACTCTGTTTTTTCTTTCCTTCTGACACTAGATATGGGAAGGAATCGACATAGAGACCATGATGCCCATCCGCTTCCTGACGCTGCAACCCATGGCGCTCTGCTACTGACGGCGGCAGAGTAGCTGCAACCGGGTGGTGGGAGGCTTTGGAGATGGCTGAGCTTGTTTGGGTGGATGGGAGGGCTACATGTCTCTTGGAGCAACTGCCACAGATCCACGAAGTTCAGATTCATCTGGACCAGCCACATGGATTCCCGTCTTGAGTTGAAGACCAACCTTCCAGTGTCCAGTAAAAGGACCTCTGCTTTGATGCAATGTTGTAGTGTTTGATATATTTGTGCAGTTGTTACATGTTTTACTTCTAGCTTCCTGGGCTGTTACAAATCCCCAAACACCAAAAGGACCCCCCACTCCACATTATGAGGGGGGGGTGCCATTATAAGGGGATGCCCATGGTAAGCTAGCTTTCGGGGCGAATGGCTATATATATTACAGGTAGTCCTTGACTTAATGGCCACATTTGAGTCCAGAGCTTCTGTTGCTAAGCGAGGCATTTTGTTAAGTTGAGTTTTGCTTAATTTAATGACTTTTCTTGCTACATTTGTTAACTGCAGTTGTTGAATTAGTAACATGGTTCTTAAGCGAATTGACTTCGCTTTTCAGATCACAAAATGCAACCACCTGACCCTAGGACACTGCACCCATCATAAGTATGAGTCAGTTGTCAAGCTTCTAAACTTTAATCACATGCCACGAGGATGTTGCAATTGTAAGCTACTTCCTTCAGTGCTGTTATATCTTCAAATAGTCACTAAATGAACTCTTTTAACTCAAGGGCTACCTATACCAGCTTTTATGTAGTAATATATATACACATTCTTTTATGTACATATTAGCATTTTGTACAGATAGTTCTATTTATTAAATATGCTAATATGCACATATATGTGTATGTATATATATGCACACAGAGACATAATTTGTCTATTCCTAGAATAAACTAATTATGCCAAGAAGTCTGCATGTGTATATATGTATATATACATGCCCCAACCTTTCGCTTCTCATCCAAGAAGCTTCTTCAGTTCTGACTGAATGGTGGGGAATGGAACGATTTATATTCTTTGCAGTCATCTGGTCCTTAGTACCCCAAAGGTAAGTCGTTAGCTCTCTGAGAGTCGTTGAGGCCACTTGGGGGTTTATCTGTATCCTCGGGGTCACCTGGACCAGTGTGGAGATGGGCCTGGGACCTTCTTGGGACGGCTGCAAGGACCGTGTTGGAGACAGGAGGTAAGTGGTGTCGTATTCCTCCCCCTCTGTTGAGAGGCCTGTTCGGTTTTAACACAGCTGGCCTCTTTGACCCCTCTTTCAAACCAGCGGTCCTCTCTATCCAGACCGTGGACTGTCTTTGAAAGAGTAGCCTTCGCTTTCAAATGCAGATGGACTGCTAAATCTTGTCCTGTTGGGCCATGCATTTGTGGTTTGTTTTGTTTCTCCAGTGTGCAGTTCTGTACGTCTCACTACATTCTACTGCACATATAGCATTGCTCAGTTTGTGAGCGTTTTATTCTTGGGGTGGACAAGCTTCTGCCTTAGTGCAGTTTCTCAATCTTGGCAACTTTTTTAAGATGTGTGAACTTCAGCTCCCAGAATTCCTGAGTGAGCATGCTGGCTGAGGAATTCTGGGAACTTAAGTCCACACATCTTAAAAGTTGTCAAAGTTTTGAGATACTGTCATAGTGTATTTTGGGGTTGAAAGTGTGCACGTATGTTGAGTTAGTTGAAAATCCTTCTGAGCTTTTTAGATATTCCTGTGCATTATGGTTTAATATTGCTTCATTTGTTGTTCTTTTGTCCTTATTGGGGGCAGTAAGCGGGGGGAGACAAAGGCTCCTACTGGATCTTTGTCTGGATTTGAGGAAGGCCCTGTTGGGATAGCCACAGGTTCTGAGGGCTTCAGTGTGTTTTAGTCCTTTTCCCTCTTTGCTGGTAGGTAAACCTTCAGCCCAGTGATGTAGGATTCTGATGACTTCCGTGTTTTTGTTCCAGTGAATGTAAACACTGGGTTTTCTGTATACTTCAGTGTTGAAGTATGAATTGTGTCCTGATGGGTTTGTTCACCTATGTTGTGCCACGTGCTTGTGAAGTAGTAGTTTTGTTCACAAACGCATGGCACAACATAGGCGAACAAACCCATCAGGACAAGATTCAGCAGTTCATCTGTCTGTGGAGATTCTTAGCCAGATCATGGTTTGCTCCAAAGGTCCTTTTCCAAGAGGTAACTAGACTTCCTTTGTTTTTTCTTGAAGATTTTCACTTCTCATCCAAGAAGCTTGATGGATGAGAAGTGAAACATCTTCAAGGAAGAAAAAAAGAAGTGCAGTTGCCTCTTGGGAAAGCACATTTGGAACAGCAGTCCATCTGCATTTGAGAGATGAAGGCCACTCTTGAAGACAGCAAAGTCCACGTTCTGGATGGAGAGGACCCCTGGCTTGAAAGAGGAGTCAGAGGCCATCAGTGTTAAAGCCAAACAGGCCTCTCTCAACAGAGGGGGAGGGATAGACACCTCCTGTCGCCAACACGGTCTTTTCAGCAGCCCCAAGAAGGTCCCAGGCCCATCTCCACACTGGTCCAGGTGACTCCGAGGACACAGATAAATCCCCAGGTGGCTTCAACGGAGCTAACGACGACCTTTGGAGTACTCAGGAGCAGATGACTGCAAAGAATATAAATCCTTCCATCTCCCACCATTCAGGCAGAACTGAAGAAGCTTCTTGGATGAGTGGGGGGGGAAGGGTGGGGGGGAGGTGGGGGGAGGAGGGAGGGGGGTGCGGGTGGGGAGGGGGGGAAACATAAGGGAGGGGGCACCACGCTGAAATCCAGCTCTATAGAGCCAAGCCACAGAGTGTGGGGTTCCCTCTTATACACCCGCCCGCCCACACCCTCCCCCCTCCCGCCCCCCCCTCCCCCCCCTCCCCCCCACCACCCACACCCCCACCACCCACACCCCCCTCCCTCATCCACCCTCCTCCATTACTGTATCTGCCTGTGTACTTTAACACATTCACACAGTCATCTAAGATCTATTGGGACCTTTTTTCCTAATAGATCTTAGCCTATATTGTTCTATGTGTCTGTGTATCTTAACACAGACACATAGAACAATATAGGCTAAGATCTATTGGGAAAAAAAGGTCCCAATAGATCTTAGATGACTGTGTGCATGTGTTAAAGTACACAGGCACATACAGTAATAGGCATATTCCCTAACATATGGTATATGTTTATGTATCTACATACTACCATATATTAAGGTGTATACCAGTGTTTGTTTCTCAACCTTGACAATTTTAAGGCATGTGGACTTTCAACTCCCAGAATTCTGGGAGTTGAAGTCCACATGCCTTAAAATTGTCAAGGTTGAGAAACACTGGTGTATACCATAATAAAGTTACCAGCTCTAGGCTTCAAAAGAACAAAAAAGCCACTAGAGGGCAGCAAATTACATTTGGCACCATCTAGTGGCCTACCATCTTTTTTGCAGCCCAGATCTGGTAACCTTTAGAGCAGGGGTTCTTGACCTTGGCAACTTTATAAGATTTGTGGACTTCAACTCCCAGAATTCCTCAGCCAGCAAAGCTTTACTGGCTGAGGAATTCTGGGAGTTGAAATCCACAAGTCTTAAAGTTGCCAAGGTTGAGAACCTCTGCTTTAGAGCAGTCTTTTTCAAACTTGGCCATTTTTAAGGTGGATGGCTTTGAACTCCCAGAATTACTTGGGAGTTGAAGCCCCCCCACATCTGACAAGTTTGCAAAACACTGCCCTGGCTCTATACACAATATACATCCAGCTGCATGTGTGCATCTTTCTTCTGCAGCTCCACTGATTTTATATATATATATACAGGCAATCCAGGGACCCTCCATCATGTCACAATTTGCCTCTTCGGCAACAGTTTTCAAGAAGGAAGTTCCTAGAAAAGGAAGTGTCTTGATGGAGGCATCAGGATACCTCCAGAATACCAAAACCATCTTCCTGCTCTGGAAAAATTCCTTTGGGGAAACTGCTGGATTAGCCCAATCGGCGTGAGGAAAATAAGGACATTTAAAGTTGCCCAGAAAAGACCGTTTTGCCCATATATACCAATCACTTTTCTCCTGATTGCACAAGGACTGCAAACTCTCAGGTGCTGAGGTCTTGCCCATCCGAGTTCTCTCTGGCCACCAAGTCCCATCATCCTCAGTCCATGCTGCAACGGCCGAGGAGAGGAATAACTGTGGTGCTCTCCCTGCTAGTTTGGCAGCTGCCCTAGCCCACCCAGCAGGAAGGCCCCACGACTTGTGCTTCGTTTTGTGACCAAGCCAAAGAACCGGCATAGAGAACGGATCAGGGAAAGATCCTCATACTGCACCAAGTTAGAGATGCAATACAACTCCAAGCAGCCCCAGGCAGCACGGTTAAAGAGGGGTGCTGCTTCGGCAGTCCTGGTGCGATCAGGCAAAGTGCCAGTGGAGCTGGAGAAGAAAGGATACTTACACACATGCTTGACTTACCTGTGGCGGGATTTTCTCCAACTGGGATGGCCTCTGGATCGTCTCCTAAGGTGGGATTTTGAAAACCAGCAACCCTGACAATAAAACAGCCCTTTTCAAGCATACCAACCCCCTCATCCCGAGACCAACGCTTAATAAAGATATTTTATTTACAAGAAAAACGCTCCCAAAGTCTCGTCTTCTTCTTAAGATCTCCAGATGTTGCAGGTAGCGTCGGCGCCTGTTCCAGAAAGGCAGCACTGAACTATTTCAGCTAGGTGCAAGGAATGGAAGCCCTCCCTTCCACCAGAATGGTCTCTGCACACGTGGGCTACAACCTGTCTTACTACCTCCTGATTTATGGGCTAAAGCTTTTATTATCTTCTCCTGATTCTTGCCTATCTATCATGGCTCCTGTTACCCACCATCTCTTCTTCGGTCCTACAGCACTGTTATTAAAGCTTTGGGGAGACCCCCATGTGTCCCCCCTTCTTCTGCTGCCTGCTTGGCCAACCCGTGGCTTCCGAGCCCTCCAAAGAGGTCTGCAGGAACGCCATCCTTGGGGTTCTCCTTCTCCAGGGTCCAACCCAGCTGGACTTCCCTTCTTCCCACCCTGCCTAGATGTTGTCATAGGGGACCACAAGGCCAATGTTGTAGCTGTAGCCGACCACTTCGTTGTAAGAGGAGCAGCAGATAGGAAGGACGCTCTCTGCCACCAGCTTGTCTGTGGAGAATTCGTAGGTGTAGATAATGCCTCTGTGCCTGTTCAGAGAGAAGCAAGGG